ACAGGGGAGTTAAAATGAAAAAAGGGAGAAAGAAAATAAGAGAAGGACAGAGGGTGGGGAGGAGGCATGTGCACACGATAAATATGTAATCACAAGGCATAGAGAATGATAAATGTATAGCATTAGTTAAATAGGTCAATCATACATTAATAACAACCATATGATAATAGAGTTGGGAAGTCAGCTGTGGCAGAGAGCGTTTGCATAAGTGAGCTCACATAGTCACATACAAAGAGGTACATCGTGTTTTTGCACGCCCCCTAACTCAGAATACCTTTTTAAATAAATTACCATAAAAGAAGTGAAATGTTCAAAATTTCAATTAAGATGGAAAACCATATATAAGTAATATTATTCCACAGGATTTATTGAAATGACACCCGCAGAGAAGCAAATAAAACTGCCAATCACTGTGGGACAAAACACTCTTTGATAAATAGATTTGTTGCTGAATTTTAAGCTGGTAAAGAGCATCTGCAACTCCATGCTGATGCAAGTCACACTTTTGGCACCGGCTTTCAATCTCGACAGCTGAACATGTAGAAGCAAAGTTACTGTGTATACATACGGTGGTTGTCTTAAATGAGGAAAAATGTCACCAGTAAAATAAATGGAGCACAACGAAAGCACATGTGAGCATGTGTAGAGTAAGATTCAGCATGCACAAATAAAACATGACTTAATAAAATCTGTCTGCCCTTTTGTATAAAAACTGTCATTTGACTTGCCGGGACAGATTGTGAAGCACAGCACATATATTGCATTGACCTTCGTGTGATTTATGATATGGTCTGCCACTGTAGCATATCTGCTGTGTATGATTTTCACCGTTAAACTGTTTGACCTTTAATGGACATACAGAGATTGTTCCAGTGATATTTATATCACAGCTCTCAGAAATATATCCCAGCATTACTGAAAGCTGTTTGTGTAAAGGGAGGATTAAAGCAATTGCTTTCCTGTTGCATCTCACTAAGACTACATCAAGACATATTATTGAAAATGCAGCAAACACTAAGTGTTTAAATACGGGAATAAATCAATTATGGCGGCTTTCACAGCACTTAAAGATTCAAAGACCATACTTGTATATTAAGCACATTAACACGGCAATAACCCTCAAACCAAATGGTTCCATTACTGTATTCTCTTTACTTTCTTTTTTTTATTTTTTACTTTGGTGACTTGCAACTGAAACAGAAGTGACTTGAAATAATGTTACCTTGGAAACAAAGCTTTGCCCAGCATCTCCAGCTTGCCAAAATATCAATAAAAATGCCATCAACAAAACATGGCTCCAGTTCTTGGCTGAGGACCGAGAGTTAATGGGTTTACAGGAACTTTAAGGGAGCGTACAGTGAGTCCATGATTTTCTTTCCAATAAAACGACAATTTCCCTCCAGGAAAGTGCGGTTTTGTATCAACTCTGGTGTATTCTTCAAACAGATCCTTGTTGAACTTCTGTTTGCTTGTAGTCCATACTGCACCTAGAAAAAAACATGAATTTGTTGATTAACAGACAAACAGCAGATAAAAAGTTTATCCACAGCATTGAAGATGTTATTGCATTAAGATGCATGACACTTACACTGCATGTCTGATTGGTAATCCACTGTGAAATCATAGTTCAAGAAATCCTGCAAAATATCAGTTTGATGGACAAATTTATAATAATAATAATAATAATAATAATAATAATAATAATAATGCATCAGATTTCATATAGCGCTTTATCAGAGACCCTCAAAGCATTTTACATTGGATACATCATTCATCCGCTCACACAGTCACACTTTTGGTGGTGGTAAACTACCTTAGTAGTTACGGCTGCCCTGGGGCAGACTGACGGAAACGTGGCTGCCATCTCTCCGACCACCACCACACAACACTCACAATCATACACCAGTGGAGGACACACACTGGGAGCAAGGTGGGTTAAGTGTCTTGCCCAAGGACACAACAGACAGACTTGGGATAGGGGGGAATCGAACCGCCAACCTTCCAATTATTGGACGACGGCTCTATCGCCTGAGCTACTGCCGCCTCTGACAGGACATGACAGCTGACAACAACACATGTTCTGTAAAAGTATCATTCAATGGAGAGCAAACATTTTTAGTATTTTCAGAACTTTTGCAAGAATCTTTGTGCATTTACCCTTGAATACAGGACTATCACAACCTCAGCTTGCGCATTAAATGTGATGCTGAATGCATACTAATGATCACGTGCCACTTCTTTCACTGCAAGAATAATGATCAGAAAAGGTTCATTATTGGAAAACACTTTTCTTATCTAAAGATGGAAAACAATATGCTTAAAGAGATAAAGCAAACACCCATAAAGACAGGTGCTAGACGGGGAGATTAAGTGAACTGAGGAAGTGACCTCTTGGGAGCTATTAAAATATAGAAAATGCAAATCAGAACCCTACTGGCTGCGCTACATGCTCGAGAGGGGAGTGAATTTTTCTTTTTAAGTTGATTAATTTTAAGTACCTTTAGTGTCTGAGGATTATCATTTCTAAAATAATTAAGAGGAGAGAAACTGTTATCTTATTTCCAATAGAGGAGAGGGATTTGCATCAACATCTGCCTCGCTCTTTGCAAAGGAGTGATTCAAGGACATTTACACTTCCCTTCATCGTCTGTGTTGTAGATAAACTGTAACTGAAAATCTTCCCATCTCTACCTCCAACTGATGCACTCTGAGCTTATTAATGGACACATTCTCGAAATAGCTACAACTAATGGAAAAAACGGATGAAAAAGCTGACACTCACTGAAAGTAATGGACGGATGTGTTGTTGAAAGGGCCAAAAGGAACGGGGCAATTCTCTGAATAGTTAAAACTTGTGGAAAAATGGTTAAAATGCCAGAAAATAATGGATAAAAGGTTGACATACCTTTAAACAGCAAAAAAAAAAAAAACATTAGCTTTTCTGACATTAATGGATGTACCCTCTTGGCAATACATTCCAGCATTCAAAGGTACGTGTTATCCATGTTATCTGCAAAACTGCCAGAATTGTCAGTCAATAAACTGCTGAAAACACCAGCAGTTAGCAAAACTAATAAATTTGACCTAACATTGACTAAAATTGTGGAAAACTTGCGGTAAGTGCAAAAATACCATTGAAAGTGGTGTCTGTTTCTGGCCTATTAACAGCTTTATATTGTAGGATACTTGCAAAAAATCTGCAGCTATATGAATGACAAGAAAACCCAGCTCATTTACTTTGAAGCACTTGACTGATGAAGTAGAAGTCAGGCCAACATTAGTTTATAATAAGACAAATGCTGACAAATCTCATGTGGTGGAAATATAATTCAATAGCAACAAAGGATTGGGTATCAATATCTGGCCACAGACTCCAATTCAAATGAAGTTGGGATGCTGTGTGAAACATGAACAAAAATAAAATACAATGATTTGCAAATCCTTTTCACCCTATTTTCAACTGAATACACCAGACGACAAATGTTCACTCATTCTGAATTTGAGGCCTGCAACATGATGCCAGAGTTGGGACAGGGGCATAAAGAGACAGAGAAAAATTCAGGAATGCTCCAAAAACACCTGTTTGGATCGGGTATAAAGGGAGCAAGGATGGGCCGCATTCACCACTTTGTAAACAACTGTGAGAGAAAATAGTTCGGATTTCTTAAAGTACAATTGCAAGAAATTTAGGGATTTCACCATCCATAATATCACCAAATTCGTATTCAGTAAATATCTGCAAAAAATGAAGTTGATCAGTTTGAACATGAAATATCTTTACTTTGTAGTTTATATAATTGAATCTAGGTACAGAACGATTTGCAAATTATTGTATTTTGGAATTTACGCAACATCCCAACTTTACTGGAATCTGTAGATGATGCAGAACTTTGAAATGGGTATCTGTCCAGCAGAACTTAAAAATGAATAAATGTTTAGAAAAGCAACCGTACTTATGTCTTAAAAAATGTAGTCTGATGGTTTAATGGCTAAACTAGCTATTATAGTTAACAGCTAATTGCGGCATAAGTTAAATTTACGGTAAAACACACCGTAACACTGAGTGAGACACCCCCTGAGCGATGAATTTTGACGACCGCTTGCTTCTCTAGTTACACCAACTTCAGCAACGACCGCATGATAGCAATACAGAGCAGTCTGTGTCTCCACACGCGAACCACAAACAAAAAGCCACCCGTAACCACAAATAACGCTCAGAACAGCACCTAACTTTATCAACAGTACATATAGGGTCCAAGCATGTAGTACTAGCTATCAAACATCTTTTTAGTTTTGCCTGGTTTCTTTGGCAAAGAGACCAAACAACTTACCCGCTCTCCTCCAGCAGCCGCTTGTTTGTTATGGAGCCATGACGAGTCGATCACCAAGTGCAGCTCAAGGAAGAAAATTTCTGATTATTACTTCATGGAAATGCAATCATTTCCATGAAGTAATAATCATCATAGTAACCATTTTACACCGCAGACGCAGTAGTTCTTATGCCTTAGTGTCTCGAAACAAAAGAAAAGAAAAACACTCTTAAGTGTGTATACCTGCTCTCTATCTGAATAACTATACTTACCCACCTGGGGGTGTGAGCCAGGGGCAGAGCTCGTGGTGTCCTCCAGCTGTGCGAGAGGGACGGTGATGTCAGCGAGTTTCCTGCTGCACGAGCCAATATGCACGTTCTCTCCTTGGGGTCACTTCAGGTATTTTCAGTGTTTATGATATAAAGAGGTGGGAATCAACGGGAGGCCCAGGGTGAGAGCGGCTATGCAAAATTGATATGTTCACTTTTTCCATTTGTAACAAGGACATGTCTACATGGATTTATTTTACACCAAGTAGATGCATAATTGGCATTTTCATGTGGCTGTAGTAAAAGACCAAAATCCTCTTCACACAACCACCTCTTACCATGAATAATTCAAAACATAACAAAAATAAAGCACATATGAGCTTATTCTATGGTCATGCATGATAATAAATTATTTCAAAAATTGGTATGTTTATATTTTTATCAATGACAGCAAACAAAGACGGTATTTAGTTTAAACATTTTCAAAAAAACAAAATATTTTTATTACCTAATGAAGTTTTTTCTTCTTGCTTCTTCTTTTAACTTATAAAAGATGCCTGCTTAATTTTTAAGTCTCCATTTTATAATCAAGTTCATTTCCCAGATGACACTGGATTATATTCACATTAGAAACTTTGTTTAATGTACATTTCTCAAGAAGCAGCAGCTGTATTTGTCTGATTTCTCTCCATTGACAGTCTAAGTGAAGCTGTTTTCAGGAGTGAAACGGTTATAATGCAAATCAAACGAGATCAGTCTGCCAAAATATAGCCTTTCAGCTGTAAGAGGGAAAAATGCTCTTTTTGGTCATTTAAACTCAGCACTAGCAAAGATGAAGAAAAAGCCAACCACCAGGATACAGCACCGGCACAAGCTGGGCAAAGGGTTGGATGCAGTCATACAATTTGCCGTCTTCTGTTCAACAAATAGACCATTACACAGCAGTCAAACTGCTTCTGGAGAGCATAGGACTCTCACGATTTCCCCTCCAGCATCAACAATTCCATTTCACATCTGTGTGTTTTCAGTTTCCATGTTAGGCAGCAGGTATGATAAACGGCACTCGAGCAGAATATCAGCTCTCTAGATTCCCTGGGAAGGGAAAAACATGTATTTATCGACTGGTTGCCTGTTGACTCTCCCAGAAAAGCAATGAGGAGCAGCTACATTCTTGGCACAGGCTTATTTTTGCTCCTCGGGAGCCCTCTATTTCCTGATACACTCCTCACTCTACAGAAATGCTGCCATTTTCCCATTCCAGTTCCCCACACAATCATCAGCATTTCTTTCTCCATGACATGAAAACAAAGTAAGACCGAGTGCCGGTGTGTGTGTGTGTGGTTCAAACCCCCATGTCAGCAATCACTGGGTGGGAGACAGCCATACACTGCACTTTAGAAGCCTATAATGGGCGACTGCAGCGCTAGCAAAACTTATATCATACCATACCTCTTCCCATTCAGACACAAATAGGATCATTATTTTCTATAACTATACAGCAAGCACTGGGTAATTTCACTGCACTCCTTGCCACTGCATAATGCTATACTTCAACTAGATCATCATAAATCTCAGTCATTCCTGTATTTAATTACAGCAGAAGCAATCAATAAATATTGTCATACAAGTTATTGAAACATTAGAGTTGATCTATACACGCCACTCTCAATCATTTCATCTTAAACGTGAACGTGCACGTGACAGAGGGAAACCGGGTGGACTGATAAGCACTCCGACTTCTGCTGAGTGGATCAGTCTATTTCTCGACAGAAGACCTCGTATTATTTGTCAAAAGGCACAAGTGGCAATTTACAGCCGAGGCAATAAAGTCCATCCCACCTGATGTGATGAGGGCAAGGGCCTCACGTCATCCACCCTTATAAAGTGATGGACGCTCACAAGTGTGAAAGCTGAAGCATTTTATTATAAGGACAGCAGAAGACATTTCATGGGCCACCACTGCTGCTCCTTTAATAAAGCCGGGCTGTAAATGCTGGTCGAGGATTGAGAGCCAATTTTACTACCTGTTTTTTCAATCAGTTTGAAAGACCAATTTAAGGAACATTCACCTCTTTTCAGGGTTTCATTTGTGTGTCAACCTTTAATTCTTTACTTTACACTCAATCAACACTGCTTTACAATTATCTTGATTTCTACATGGTCTGGGACTTACCTATCAAACTATAGACATGTCATGGTAATAATCAACACATCTTCAATTGTCAAACTCATTTCATCAGTATATATAATCTCAGCTAATCTTTCTTTCCTTCTCTGCCTCTTATTCTTTCCTCCATAACTTAGATTTTTCTTCATACGGTCTCCTCCACTATGAACTCAATCGCATGCTGAGGGGACTGGCTCGTCTCCACCATCGTAATTTCATTTCCATCCATAGTGATGGTGGGAACGGTTATTCCCTGAGCTCCGAGGACAGAAGACGGCAGGATGACAACCTGTGAGGCGCCCTCCATGCCAGCGAGCTGATCAGAGGGGATCATGACAGTCTCAGCGCCGCCCTCAGTCCCCTGCAGTACATAGATGGTTTGCACTGCTCCATGATCTATCTCCCCTGTGGTGGCAAGAGAAGACAGCACCTTAGCCCCCTCCAGGACCTTCTGGACCTGTGCAGCCTCGGCTGCTTGAGCGGCCTGCGCAGCTTCCTCCAGAGGCAGGTCTCCGTGTAGCCTGAAGTGTTTGTCCAGGTTGGAGCGAGAGCGGAAAGCGGCGGGGCAGTGGGAACAGGGGTAGGGCTTCTCTCCGCTGTGGGTGCGGGCATGCTCGGTGAGCCGGGCAGCCACACTGAAACTCTTGCCGCAGATCCAGCAGCAGAAGGGCCGCAGGCCACTGTGGATACGCTCATGGTCCTGCAGATGAGGCAGCTGGCGGAAGCGTTTCCCACAAGTGGCGCACTAGGAGAGAGATAAAGAGAAAGGGGGAGCCAAAATGAAGAAACTGGAGAGCACAGATAAAGGACATGAGGAAATGCAGTTATTCTCACTCTTGTGAAAATGCAAAATATATAAGTAATTAATGAGCTCAGTGGTTTCCCAATAAAGTTATAACATCAACAGTTCCACAGCTGTGCCTTGCTTGTCGTCCACTAACCACATGAGTGCAAACACTGGTCGTCTACTCGATATTTGATTAAACCTGAAGCACGACGTAACGATGGCTTTGTTGTGCTTTGCTTTGAGTCCAACTGGGGACACTGAGATTGAAACTGTAATCCCTGCTGTCAGATATGCTGATTCAGTATCTCAGAGATAAACTCTCACAAAATTACCTCTCCTGTTGAGTTTGCTCTTTATACACCCAGCGAAGTGATCGGCTGGATGTGAAACGTAAAGAGTATAATCTCACACTAAATGACTGCCTGTGTGGTGGAGGACCGATACTCCTCCAACCTCCCTGCGCCTGATAGAAAATGACTCAAAGCGAAGCCACAAACATTCAATCAATTGTACAGTCATTGGTGCTTTGATGAGCTCGGGTGGGTCTATAGTTGATGTCCTGCCTCATCACCACAGCAGCAGAAAGAGAGAGAAAGAGAGGGAGAGAGAGAGGGTCCCAGAATAGTAACAGGCACGGAGGGGAGCTGACAGGCCCTAACTCAGCTCTGCCATTAATCACAGGTACAAAGGGAGGGAGGGAGGGAACACCCATAGGACACACATCGCACAAATGACCGTGGAGGAGATCTGGTGACATGGCCGTGGCTGTGAACAAGTGTAAAAATTGGGCAGTGCTGGATTTTAATTTGACATACAGGTTGAAAGCCTTGTATAAAGGACAGAACATGATCCACAGAGGGTCAGACGAAGACTTCTTTTGAAGCTATGATGACACATGACACCGCCGTCGGTCTTACCTCAAAGGGCCTTTCATCGGTGTGCGTCCTCATGTGAACATTGAAGGTGGAATTGTAGGCAAATTCCTTGTGGCAAATCTGACAGCGGAAGCGGGGTCGGCTTTTCGACTTGCCGAGTTTCCCCTGGAAGTGGGCCAGCACATGCTGCTCCAGTGTGCTGTTGGAGGTAAATCGGCGGCGGCAAGGACTCACAGGACATTTGAGAGGGGTCTGGCCCGTGTGGGATAAACGATGGAGGTCGAGGCCCTCTTGGGTCATGCAGCGATGGCCGCATAGGTCACACTCAATCTAAATGAAAAGCGGGGAGAAAAAAAAGAGAGAGACAAAAAGGGAATAAAAAGAGATGGTAAGGGAAATCGAGAGGAGCGAGACGATAACTGATGGAAGATAAAACTTCATGTCTCTAAGGTTTATGTAAAATATAATAATGTCACAGTTTGATAACTACTGGAGATCTTGTTGAAATTCAGTCTCCCTGTAGCTAACCTCACAAATTTCTTTCTGTCTGGACAAAATGCCACCAGTTCAGAAAACTCTCAAATGTAGTGTGAAACATGAATTAATAATTAGGTTTCAAATCCGTCTGAACACATCCTTATTTCAAACAAATCTGTGATCCAACCTGTCCTGTGCATCGTCCCCGGCCCTGACCCCGTCCACGACCGGTGTTTCTCTCCTCTTCTGTGGTGGGGCAACGCTGCATGTGGATCTCCAGCACAGACTGGTTCACAAACTGGGATGAACAGTGAGGACACATTGCCGGCTGCTTGTCTGTAATGGGAAATTGTCAAGTTGTAGTCAGGTTGTTCTGTGTTCACACTAAAAACACAGCTCCTTTAATAATGTCTGATTGCAGTCATGAGTTTATTTATTAGTAACTGGCTGCTTATCAAGACAACAGAGTTCACTTCTGACACTGGAGCCCACAGGGTTTAGGGATGGAGCATGTTGAGGAGACATTTCCATGAGAAAAGTCTGACTACACCGTAGGAGGAACAGGTGCAAAATAATAAAAACTAATGACGGCTGAACTGCATGTAGCTGCTTCAGGGCCCTTGTCTCATTGTCCTTCTGTCATGGATTACTGAAACAATAGAAAAGAGTGACACTGAAATAAATGCTGCGAGTCACACACTGGCTTTTCCTTTTACTGCAAGTCAAAATGTTGGCTGTGACAAAACAAAGGTCTGTTTTGTTCGTATTAGTTTTTTTTGGATGTTTTTGTTCTGTTAGCGAGACAAAACAAGAATTCTGAGGACATTTCTTGATGGAATGAGGTTTTATGACATTTAATACAAATCAACAATGCGAATCACCGCCGTGTTTCAGCATTATTAACTGTACGGCAGCTACTTACAAGCATCGAATTGATCAACAGCGCTATTATAAATAAATTCAATGGAAGAATTACAGATCACATTTTCCTCTCATTGTACTCAATGCAAAGTTTTTTTCTCTCCAGCCAAAAGTCAAAAACTACAAATATATTTCTATATATTATCATCAAAAACCACTTACAGCTGAGAACTAAGCAACTTCTGGAAGCTTTGATTTAGTGACAAAATCCACGGTGTACAATGGCTATTTTTTAATTTAGTCTACTCACGTGGCTCATCGTCTAATCACTCCGGCTCTAATCAGAAGGTGCCCTGGTTGTATTCTGGCAAAGTCAACCCTACTCTCACTGGGTTGCTCTTGAATACATGGCTGGGAAAACGCTGACACTGATGGTTCGCCGGCATGACTACAGGTCGTCACGCCAACATCTTGCAATCTGCTAACCATCTGTACTGTTTATCCCAGTGGGGGTGATCTGTGCTGCTCCCTGTTGGGACCCGCTAATTAAACCTTTAATAAGGACAATCTCAGCCGATGGCCCTGGACTGATCAATGGATCAATCCCTCCAATCATCTCTCTCAGAAGAGCCCCATACCTCTGACCTCTGCTCCACGCTGACTTCAGGCTTAACTAATGAGGTTGACGATCCAACGCCCCCCAATTCATTTACCTCCACCTTCCTCCTCTGTTACACATGGGACGCAAATCAATGGAAAGTCATTGACCTAATGCATCAGGGGAACAATGCTCCTATAATATGGCTGTATGTTTGTAAATAAACAAGATAGGCCACCCAGGTGAGCTGATGGGGACATTTACGGCTGTGTTTGCATTAATCAATAGAATCCACTGCATGCTGTACTGATAAAGACATCATATCTAATTGGTTTTCATAACAAGCAAGCAAAGGAGCTCGCATTTGATTACCTGACATGTTCACCATGTTTGGTCCCGTTAAGAGAAACTGAAGGTGTCATAAAAAGATGTTTAAGTACAGAGCAGAGCCTTAATGGCTGTTGTGTCATACAGATGAAAAGCCCGACTGGGCCTTGAACTCTCACCTTGATGAGTGAGAGAGTGCAGGTCCAGGTCTTTCCTGCGTTTGAAGGCCTCTCCACATTCAGGGCAAGGGAATGGATGGCTGGTGTGTAGGAGTCTTTTCAAAAAACAAAAACACCTTTTAAACGTTGGGTCACATTCAAGAAAGGATTGTGAATACATTTGTGGACACATTGAAATCCTTGGTACTAAAAACCTACTTATTTTTCCATGGCATTTGTGAATCTTAAGCTCTAGTTGTAGGCAGCTGCGTGTGTTCAATGTCGATCAATCGCAAATTGACAGCGCGAGAAGAAGAAGAAGAAGAAGAAAGAGAGACTCTTCAGATGCAGAGATTGACGTTCTTTTGGTTCTTTTGGTGAAATGGATTTAACTACTTGGAGTAATTGTACGGCAGTTCCTTTCAGAACACCATTCATGCACTCTTAAGAAATACTCTCAGATTTCCTTCTGCCAACAAACTGAATGAAAACGAAGATGACGCAGGATCAAGAAAGAGGACTGATGCATTTCATGGGTACAGGTAATCGGCATAGTAACAGCTTTGTCAACTGACTATATATAAGTTCCTCAAGAAAAACCAATACGATGTGTACTAAGAGTTAGAGAGCAAAGTTGTGTTTAAGTTTTATGCTGCCACCTTATGTGTGACTCGTAGAAGGATAACCAGCAAGCATGTGCTTAGCAGCGCTTTGGGTTGAATAAAGGGCATCAGCTGAGTGTGTATCAGCTGAAGATATAGGAACAGCAGTAAATACGAGGAGGACCCAGAGCTAGGACATGAAAGACTATATTTATCTATTGCATAACATTACTCTGGATGTAGCCTAAGGGGAGGAGAGAAGTGTTAGGATGTATTCACCTAATGCTGCATTTGGTCTGAAACGTACAGTACTTTTTTTTGTAGCTCTTCACAGACAGGGCAGATACAGCTGGTGTTCAAGTAAAGCAGATACAAGGATTTGCTAAAGGGGGCAGAGATACAAGTATTTGTATTATTCTCTGTAAATCACAGTGCTGCATCTCAATGTTAGACGTGCTTTACAACATGAGTCCCTTAAAGCAAAGCAGGGTGTTAGAGGTGATGTACAAGGACCTCATATGGCCTTCAGATGAGGCCAAGATTTTTGTGCTTACTGTTAAATAGACAAGAGAAATCAATAATTCGTGGACAGCTGACCCTGAGGCGGTTGGGGGGGATTAAAGCTTCAGTCAGGGTCACCTCCTCTCTAGGTCAGATCTTCTTTAACAAACCAAAATAGTACGGGATAAAGAGAACAGTTCGATCAATCAGGTACACGCCAGAAACAGTGCTAAAACTTGAATAATAGACACATTAATACGATTTTTCTCAACTCTTAAAATGGGAAATGATCATTTTAATGTAGTCCAAAAATATTCTATTTACTGATTAAGATGGTAGATGTTGGTTGGAAATCAGGGGGAAAAACTTAACCTGTTTTTTTTTACTTTTTCTTCACATACCTACAGCTATACTTAATAATCTGAAGAAAAAAAACATATTTTAGACTGTAATAAATGTAATAAAAGTCTTTCTTCATTCCCTCTCAAAGAGCAGTCTCTCACAAGCTAAGCTAGTTTGCTGTACAAGAATGACAAAGAAAGTATATGATTAATTGAAAATTATGCGTCGCACTCTCCTCTTTAACGCCCTCTAGTGGACTTACCTGTACCATAAGTGAGGCAGTGTGCATTCAATATGTTTCTAGGGGATGACTTTGGCATTTTCTGCATATGGGGCCTTCAAACTAATATGAAACTCTCTGCTACCCAGGTTTACATTTTAACTATATGTATATATTAAAAGTTTGTGGACTGTTTTTAGGATAAAATGAAACAGTTTGAAACTGTCATCTTTGCCATCTCATGAAAGGCAATTTCCCCAAAACTCGACTTCCAGCTATTGTGACTGACATTAGCCAGAAGATGTCAAGTAGTTTCCACAAAATCCAACTCAAACAGTTATACTGAAGATAAAACTGACATATATTGAATTTTAAGCCCATATTTCACTGTGCTAGACTGGAAACTTTTTGTTACTGCAGTGTTACAACAGACCCTGAAAACACAGGGTTTGCATACATTACAAATATATACAAGAAAAAGTCAACATCCAATGTCCGTTTTGGATCAGAGCATCTCTGTTGCTAGAACAGCTCACTGATTTTTACCAGTCAATATCAAGATAACCGCGAGTCAAGCTTGAACAACTATCCGAACAGTGAAACATTTTAGGGGGCTATGGATTTTTTCATCTTTTTTTCTGCTGAACATTGACTCACAGTACACTAACTGTAGAGGACAGACTGAAAGATCTCACTGTGACACATTTCAACCCACATGTAGATCTATATCATCCTGGTAAAAATAGCAGCAAATGTTACTACTGACACGTCTGTGCCTCAACCCAGCAGACACCATTTTAATGTCCGATGTGCTCTCGCCAAGGCCAATAAAGCCCATCCAGACAGCGAAGGCGGGACCAGGCGGCTCTTCCCCTGTCCCGGGTTTATCATCATCATCATCATCTTAATTTCCTCGGCCTCTGTCTGTCAATCATATGTATCTGAGGCTCAAGGGCAGGCAGACATCTCGGTCAGCACGTTTACTACACAGCTTTAAGGTCTAACTCTGTGCACAGACACTGACACTGACACGGCTTTGCGACTACGGCTCCAGGCAAGCAGAAGGAGGTTTATCTAAATCCTGTCCTGAGCTCACTTTCGAACCATAAATCTGGCGTATCAACTCAGTAAACAAGGTTAGAAATGATTGATAACTGAAAATATTCACAGAGAAATCAAGACTGTTGGAGTGGAAGAGAACATCGTTTTAAGTTCATTACATTTCTACAGTATGTTTCAGCAGTTTCTACTATTATAAATGCAAATGAAGACCATTCTGGCTGGTACTGTTATTGTGTCATTACTTGTGATGGTTAAGCTGATCCTCCGTGTTGAATTTTGATGGGCAGTTAGGACATGAGAAAAGATGAGCGGCCCCCTCATTGTCCAAAATGCACACCTGCAGTGAGGGACACAACAGATGAGGTCAAAAAACAGCAGATACTTCTCCTGCACACACACATTATATAATAGAAGGCTTTCAAGTTATCTAAAACGTCAGTAAGTTACTATCATTTTGGAATTCAATTTTGGTAGTGGAGACTGTACCGGTTTGCGTCCACGCTTGCGTCGTGGCTGTGTGGACACGTGAATACGTTGGTGCCTCTTCAGGGTGGCTGCCTGGGAGAAGTTTTTGCCACAAACATCACAGCTGTAGGGCCTGTTGCCGGTGTGGCTCATACTGTGGCGCAGCAGGCTCTGGGAGTTAGCGAAGGACTTTGTGCAAACCTTTATGGAAACAATAACGAAGGAGATGTATTCAATAATCCCTTAAAAGTTTCAAAATTACATCACTGCTTTCCTCGCATGGATTCTACCTTAAGTACAATGCAGAATATTGATACACTCTATTCACAGAAAGGTCACCATTGCAACCATTGATTAAGACGGTCTCTCATCACTCTTGCGTCTGATAGCCTGCAGTGTTTGACACATGCTCCTCAGGTGGTCAATGTGAAAGAGAGGCCCTACAGTGAGTCCTCCTGGAACAGCTAAGGTTGTGGTGCACCATCTTATGTTAAATATAAACACTTTCACATCGCAGTATGAAAGGCTTAGTGCAGCTGTTTCCCTCCAATGTCAGTCTGCACTAACTTACATGTTAATACTACGTCCTAATCAAGTCTCATCCACACACAGATCGCCTGCTGTAACTTGGAGAAGACATGCCGTATGGAGAAGCTCTGAAATAAGGCAGGGCTCGACAGTGAGACCATTTCACTCGCATCTGCAACTAAAAATAGATGTGTGCGAATTGTAAAATGTATTTAGGGGCACATATGCGCATACATTTTTTTTTTAAAAATCAGCCAATGCAACAAATGTTTTTCACTGTGGATCTACCGGTGTCTTCTCACTCTCCATAACCGGCAACAGAACAGCAACAGCAGCGTGTTAAATCTACTCAGCACCCTCGCTGTCAACATCGGGTGTTGAATAAGGGACCATCAATAAATTACCGGTTGATGTTCTCAGAAAAGGCTGTTTTCCTTCTATAGCTTCCATGTCATGTGACCAATTGACCTAAAATTGATTTCAAATAATAATACTAAGGCAAAAGGATAAGACACTCTTCTTTATTTCCCTAATTTGTCCTCCAAAAATTTTTGTGTTGAATTTAAAGGGAAATTTTGAACATTTTCCACAATAGCTTCTATGTCAGGTGACCAATTGACCTAAAATTGATTTCAGATAAGAGTACTTATGTCGACCAATAAGACAAACATTATTTGATCAATTTCCATTGTGCCCTTAAAGATCTTTGTGAGCTCCTTACGTTTTCAACTTAGAAGCACATGTGCATCTTGTGAAAAACGTTAGTGTCAGGCCCTGTAAGGTAATCAAATTTAAGTCATCTGTGGACACAGACTAAAATAAGTTAAAGAAGAAAACAAAAACAGACCATTTATAAATAACATAAATCAGGTAATTTTTAAATGTTTTTTCATATTCTCCATGGCCCTCCTCGCTCATGAATACAGAGTCAGTATGTGGAGAAACACTGGACATCAAATAGCCCATCGTGTCATTTTTTAAGTAATTTGTATTGAACATACGGACCGCATAATCTGTCAAATATAATGAGGCTGGGGGTTCAAATTGTGCTTTCCTCAAACCAAACCCACTTCAAAAGCATTACATCATCTCATAAATGTCAGCTACATGACAGAGATGACATTTACATCAAAGGGGATTATCCTTCAAACTCAAGAGAGGACACAGGTTGATTAAATTCTGACTGGCACCTTGCATGTAAAGAGCTTTTCTCCCGTGTGGCTGAAGACATGAGTGCGGAGGAAGACACGCCGGGTGAAGGTTTTGCCACAGTAGGGGCACACATGGGGTAGTGGAGTGCGGGCCCAGTCTTGGAGCAGCTTGGCAGGTGGAGGGTGGTTGGTGTTATCCGAGTCTGCGGCAGCACTGCTCTCTGATTCCTCTTTGATGCCTGATCCTTTGTTTCCTTCAAACACAAAAACGAGTTTATTTAAGACCCAAAATCATGCAAACTATGCCTTACTCTCCTCAAAACAAACATCTCAACTCACCTCTGTGCACACTTGAACCGCTCACAATCCTGAAAGTTGGCTTGCTTCTCTTGGCGAGGGGTGAACCTGATTCACCAGCAGAAGCAGTCGGGGAGAGCAGCCGCTTTGGGGTGCCTTGAGGTTTAGTGATGGCTGTTTCATCACCCGTTTCAGTTCCAGCTTCCACCTCTGTCCCCAGCGTGAAGCTGTGCTGCCGGCGGTGGTACAGAAACTGGGTGGTGTTCATGAAATGTTCTCCACACTGGAGGCACCGGTGTAGCGGCTCAGTCAGCTCATGCTTCTGCTGCCGATGGCCGATCAGCCCTCCCTCGTTACTGAAGCTCTCCCCACACTGGGTGCACATGAACAACTCAGGCTGTGAGAAACTGGCGGTGAGGCTAACGTCAGTGGAAGCAGCATCCTGTGCCTGCCGATCTGTCCCATTGGTCTGACCGCAAACTTCCTCTACTCCTCCTTCAGCAACCACAACCACCTTTTCCTCGCCTTTCTGCTTGTGCTGCTTCCGGTGATAGAGAAAAAGTGTGGTGTTCAGGAAGCTTTCCCCGCACACAGAGCAGCGGTGCAGAGCTTCCTCAAAGCCGTGCTGGGTCCTACGGTGGGCAACCAATTCAGACACCAGGCCGAAGCATGAGCCGCAGTCCACGCACAAGAGCACAGGTTCAGGCTTTGGCTTTTTGGTCACACCCCTCCTCTTGGGAGACGATTCCTCAGGGTTGGAGCTCAAAGCAGCCACCTCAGTATCAGGAGGATCAGAGCTCTGAGCTGGAGGAGTAGTAGTATCTGCAGCCTGTTGACCCTCTTCCTCTGCAAAAGGTTGCTCAGCTTGTTCTGCCGCTACATTTTCACTTGTTTCATCCTGAGCGACAGAAGATTCATCTGGATTTAAAGTTGCATCGGTGCTCTGAGAAGCAGCAGGGTCTGGCTCAGGTTGTGAATCAGGTTTTGGATCGTCTCCAGCAGCAGACTGCTGACATGACCCTTCTTTGCGGTGCTGCTGCCAAAGGTCCAAGGTCTTGAAAAGTTCATCACAGTCCCCGCACTGGTAAAGGATTCTGGGCTGGTCTGAGGTCAGTTTCGCACTGACTGCAGCCTGCTTGAGTACATTTTTAACAGGTTGAACGGAGGTCTGTGCCTCTTGGATTTGAATCTGTGGGACTGCAGCGGTCCCAGTTATGCTGATGACCTGTTGCTGCAAAGACAATGAGACAAATGACAGAAATTAGAGTGTATAGACAGTTTCATTTGTGCTGTGAGTAACAGTGTAGACAAAAAAGAGAATATTCATAACACTAATCAAGCCTTTTTAAGTGGCAACTTAAACCTGAAGTGGTTTTTAATTTCTTCCCTTCTGGTACATGAAGGATGAAAACTCAGCATTGGAGTGCTGAGGTCAATTAGAGCAGCATGTGTTTAGAGCCAGGGTTCCTCTGAGAGCTCCAGACAGACAAAGATAAGGCCTCAGCCTAGCAGATAACAATCAAAGACCCATCAGGGTTGAGTGGGTCACTCCGTGGGGGTATTACGTTTGCTCCATCTATCAAACTAGATAATAAAAACAGGAGATCAAGGTCGAGGTTAAAGACGTCTGAAACAGCCTCAATCACAACAGTTCAATCAGTCTCACATACTGTTATGATCTATGAGACTTTTTTTGACGGTCTGGGATGGATACTGAAAAACATCCTCTGTCCATTTCAAAAGCAACCTGATTGTATTTTTCTACTTTCTCTAAACTGCGACAGAAGTGCTAATACCATCAAACTGCACAGAACTTCAGGTTGGTCAAGGTGAAAGAAAGGTCACCACTTTTTGTTTTGCAGTTTAAGAAACATTTCTCCGAAAGTCCTTATGTTCTGTTTGATCTTTCGTAGTGATGACCACGACTTCAGTACTGGACATTAAGGGTGGGAGAAAAAAAACGATCCAGCATCGTATCACAATATTTTGTTTGGTGATCGTATCGTCTCATTTACAAAGTATCAAAATACAGCGTAAAAAGACAAACACGAAGGAAAGCCAAATGCTAAATTAAAAAAAAATTGTACAGATTGTAATATATTGTATCGTAATACTCACTGTATTGTAAAATGTTATAAATCGCTGTAATATCGTATAGTGGCCCAAGTATCGTGATAACATCGTATCGTTGGGCCACTACTGGACATGCTTTCAGAGACTTTTTTACACTCTGACTCTCCAGAACTGCTGAAACACTGATTTTAACGATGTAATCTGTGAGGATTCTTGTTCATTTTTGGATAAGTGGACTCAGGAAGAGTAAACACAACCTTGGTAGCAGCTAATGGAGATCCACATAATTACATAAATTGCATTTTCTATTATACAAATTAAGACTGTTTGTTTAAAGTCTAGTGAAACTGCTGGCAGTGTATCGTAGATAAGTAATGGGGTCTTGGTTGGAGGGATGTGAAAAATGTGGTATTTTATGGGTCACAAAAGCCAGTACCACCATATGTTTGGTATTTATCTACCATTTTATTGATTTTGAGGAAATGATAAGCTGTAATAAAATATGACATTCATAAACAGCTGGGGCTTTATCGTCGTTGTTGGGCCTGATAATCGATGTTGCACAAAGATAAGTCATAAACAGTCGAGAATGTACTCTGATTTTAACTTTAATTCAAGTTATGAACGAGGACAAAATCTGCACCATATTTAATCAATCGATTTTTAAAAAATCTTCATCAAATTACTTTTAATTTAATGACTTCAAGTTCAGCACAGGATGAAGCTCTGTGTGCCGACTAAACAAGTCTTTGAAACGCCATATGTTGGGATCTCTCCTTCATGGTCAAACTGATTAACATATCCCAAACTAAGCTCGGTGGTTCATAAATACGTTTTCTCCAAAGTGAAAAACTAAAATGTTTCATAAATTACAGTCTGAGGTAAAACTGATGTTTGAATTTTTAATCACAAATGGGGAAAATGTCACTGGAACCTTAAGTGAATTTTGGAGATAACTTTTCATATCTGTCCATTAAAGACTGTTTTCACTGTAATAGGTTTACTCGATTCTGTAAGCTTTATGTATCATCTAGCTTTAAGTTTCCTCTACATCTTTCTAGCTTTAAAAGGAGTAGAAACACTTGTTTAGTCCAAATGACATTTTGAACACAAGAGAGGCTTTAAATTCAATATTTACAATATGAGGCTGAAGTAAAACAGCACGTCTTGGCAGTTCTAGCAAAAGGTTTTACAAGGCTGCACCCAACCAACCATCAATGCTTTCCAGCCCAGCAGTCTCTAATGTCTTTCTGTTTACCTGTTTGGCAAAAAAAAACATCTAAATCCCACAAAGAGAAAGTGACTCATGCTAAATCATAAAATTCAAGACTGTAAGACAGTCTTTTATATTTAGTGTTCAGAAGTGGTTCAACTGACTTTACTGACAGCTATCTGCAGGAGCAGAGAGTGTAAGAGGAGCCGACGGACTGCCGGTCCCCTGAGTACTCCCTCAGAAATATGGCCCCAGCAATTTCATAGCAAATCCCCCCATCAAAGAAGAAAGCCAGAGCATTGAGGTTAAACAGCAGAGGATTCACTTCAAGTAGACTACAGCACCAGCTGAACAACCCTTGACCACAAAGTTGGCATGTTAAAACAATCATTGAACCATTAAATACTATTGTAGTACCAAGAATTTGGATTCCAGCTTTCGAGCTCAGCCCTCGCAAATCTGAATACCAAATTACTTCATTATTTTAGGAGAGCCTCTATGTGAGTATGTTGATGAGGCAGATAAGTCACCCTTTGGTCCTTTAAAGGATTGAGAGGAAGAGGTGAATTCATTTAACAATATGAACAAAATCAGAGGAAAAAGAACTAACTCTGACTTGTAAAGTGGATTTTTAAGTGGAAATTGATGTCCCATTCTGCGGTGGAGATTGATCCTCTCATTTCCTAGATACCAGAGACAACATTGAGTTACCTTTAAGCGCTATCTGCTTTGAAATTTTACTTTTCTGTTGCTGTGATTTTTCTTAATTCCATCTGACTAGAAGATAGAAGGAAAAAATAATTGCTATATCTTTGCATGAGAGACTCTAACAACCACAGTTTAATCACAAAGTTAAATCAAGAATCCAGAAATTATGATGATCTGTCTAATGAAGTGAAAGAGTTGGCAATAAACAGGTTTATAGTAAAGTGAAAGGCAGGAGGCCATAAGGTACTCAGGTTTAATAGTGTTTCTACAGCTGTTTCATCTATAAGGAGGCCGATGAGCCATCCATCAAAGAGAAAGTACAGCACTGACTGATGCATTTCTCATGCCCCCTCTTCCTGCTGGCAACTCAGGATGCAATTTGTCTGTCAAGAGTGTCACTGGGCTTTATGGACGTGTGTTGAAGACTGTTAGGATGGAAGTCTGGGCACAAGCTCAGACAGCCGTGCCCCGCTGCTAAACGAGGGCCAAAGACTGCTTTTAACCCTAAAGGCCTTCTGAGGCTGTCATGGGAGAGCCAAAAGAAGAAAAGTGCCAGCCACACCGAGACTCAACTCAATATGTCAAAGTTAAACAGAATAACTCAGCGTATTATAGAACTTTCAAACTTTGTTATTCAAATGGTGTCTTTGTAGACCTGAGAATCAATAGTGCACAGCATTTTGATGAAGTTCATCCCAAAAGGATATATTTCCCTAACAGGACATGTAATGATAAAATAACACCGGATTCGCTTCAAAGCTCTTCGGGCCAATCAATTTCACTAGTAGACAAATCAAGAGGGAAATATGAACTTATATACCGAAAAATGCACAAAAAGACCGAATGAAAGAGGAAAGTTTTCCCTGGAGTTCTGCTGAACACATCCTGTTGTGTTATACTCGAGCATTAGGGGCACTGAGGTGATCCTGCATGTCTTTTTCATACGGTTTGCTAGGCCCAAACTTGGCTTGCAGTTTTTCACATCTTTCCCTTAAGTTACATACAACCATAGACTGTATATACTATGGACAACTTGGTTCCGCCTCCTGCCTGTATACACATTTGAAGCCAAGAAGCTCTCGGTATTTCCGGGATTTTTCTTCATTTCCTGAAACCAGCGTTGAGTTGCTGTGATGACACTTGGCTCAAGCAGCATATCACCCGAGTGAGCTATGCAATCCCTGAACGCCAAATGGCTGTATCAGGTGTCAATCAAAGAAAACATGAACCCCCTAATAATTTTTAAAAACAGAGCTTCACAGAAAAAAGAGGACTTGAGCACAAACCAGTCTGACAGTAACTACATGTCAACATCGCAAGCAGGGGGGAGAAAAATTTATGTTCTGTGTAATAAATTTCTAAAGTTTGTCCACAGCTCCATAAGCTTTGCTGGAGGAGGCGGGATTTATGACCTATACTGCAGTCCATCACCAGAGGGTGCTGTTCTCAGAGTGGCTTCACCCAGCAAGGAAAAGACTGTCTATTCTATATACAGTCTATGCATACAACTTGTTGCCTGTATCACTTTATCCATGTTGCTGTTGTTCTGCATCACACAATCACTGTGCATGCATCAACACTTTTCGAACAAAGCTCACCCAGGGACTGGTATGCCTGGTATACGGCAGATCACAGCTCATGCAAATACAAGAACGTGGCTCTGTCTCATTTTCTCAAATATAAAGACTGATTTCAGAGTCCAACACTCCATAATGAATCCACTTTCAGCACTACCATATTTTTGCTCATTACACCTGTTTGCCTCTACAGTGACTCATTACTGCGATATAAACAAAGTGCTAATGTGTTATTTTGCCATTACACTGTTCCAGAAAGCAGTTCCAGGTAGCACTTAAGTACCTGGGAAAAAAAAAAAAGAGCTGAATAATTGGAGACCTGATGGCTCAGCCTTTGCCAATTCATTAGAGGTCTGAACTGAACTGATGCAATGATTTAGTAGCTGACATTTGTTCAAATTCAATTTTTACAGCACAATGTTTGCACATGTTCTTGTTGCGGAGGAAGATTGTTCCCAGAGATTAAGGATGAACTGGGACCACTACCAAATACTCGATTTTGTGGACAGAAATAAACAAAGTTTGTCCTGATTTTTTCAGATATTTGCTCATAACTTTATTTTGCCGTCTGTGTTAACTTGCATTTTGACAAATAGAGGTAATATTCTTTGTAGTTTGTGTTTATTTTGTTAACATTGTATTTATACTGCCCTCTAACTCAGAGAGATTTTAAGTTGCTCCTGAGACTTCCACTACTTAAACAAGGGGAACAAAGAGAGATGTTAATTACCAATTATCACCAAATAATAGTGGTAGGAAAAGCTTTCTTACTGCTGCTTTTTTTGAGGTACCTGGCTAAGACTCAAACTTTTATGAAGGTTATATTGCTCTTGAAACTGAGGTTGTTATCATCTCTGTGGTTATTTTGAAGGCTGCAATTCGTAGTGCTGTTGTATTATAATGCAATATACTGACAGGTGTTACCATTATCTCGTCTACCCCATTAAAACCAATGAAGGGAGGCTACATAAAAAGAGGACATCAGCACACACCTAAATCAGATATTAATACAGAGTGGCGCCTTGAAGTGAGTCAGTAAATCATAACAAACAGTTCAATGTTAGGTGCCCTGATCAAGGTCACTATTACTATGTTGAGTAGCTGTGCGCTGTCAATTTATGACTCAAGTTATGCTTATGACTTCAATGTCAGTTTCAAGCTGTGATTCAGAAGCTTTTATGTGATCACACAGTTGGTCATTTCAGGCAACATAGTGTTAGCATGACCTAGATAAACAAAAGACCCTGCACTTTAAACACCCAAACATAATCACATGATAGAAAAGGGAAGTTGGCTGTGTCAGTTTATACCTGAGTCTGTAGCACTGGAACTGGGACAGTGATGGGGGTGGATCCAGATGTGTCTGGCTGTTCATCCTCGGCAGTGCATGTCAGCTGGTGCTCAAGCACCTCCTCTAGAGTGTTAAACTCCTGGTAGCAGGGGAAGCACATGTACACTGAAGAAGTCTCCATGGCTGCTGGGGAATACAAAATGAAAAACATTTCATTAGTAACGCAGCAATGCAAAACTGATTTAGATAAAGGTGAAACAGTGCACAAACTCAGCATGCTTTGAATATCAAAGTCAAACCCCAACGTGAGCCTTATACAGATGCCAAACCAGCAGTGCGGTACATTTCAGTTCAGACTGTGAACATTGCCCTCTCCTGATGAAAAGATAGGCCTGCATATATTATCAAGACAACAGCTTGGACATAAGAGCCAGGAGGCTGACTTTTGGGCTGCCAAGATGACTCACCAGGCAATGAGTCTGTGCTAATTGTTATTTTGACCAAGCATGGTTCTGCTCAGGTAGAGACACAGCCAAGTCTCTCTCCCTTTGTCTCGCTGTGTCATTTTCTGTGCTGAGCTGATGGTTTGTCTCAACATCAATTAGACATACACTCCATGAGCCCTGCAGCGAGTGAGCTACGGCTCATGCTGCTCCTAGATATAACTACAATTAAATTGAAAACAATCCTAATTGACTAGATACCAATTAGACCATAAAGTACACCAGCTGAGTTTAAGAAATAACAGAAAACATTTCAGTCACCGCAGCTACATCTCCCAGTTTTAACAGTCAGGGCTATAACATAATCAATAGGGATTACAGTTTTCAATAGCTTTGTTGTTTGTCACAGATCACTTGACACGTCACTTGACCGCTTTTCAGCTTTACTAGTCTGACTATAACCCTAAAGCCTGGAAAATGTGCTCTCATTCAATCCAAAATTATGCAACTGGGATTGTAAGACAAAGTTTCATTTTTTTAAAGGGGCACATTTGTTTTACTATATAATGTCTGATTGGCACTGCTGAATAGGAATAAGGCAGTCAAACGTGACTAGAGGGTTATCTTGGTCTATGTTCTTTCCCTTAGGCCTAGGGTATCCTTTCCATATGTCGTTAAAAAATTTTTTATTTGTAGTCTTTTTTCTTCTGTTCATTGCTAAAAGAAATGTACTGAACAATCCCCAACAAATGGCATTCCTCTGGATTACAGCATCTTAATAAAGTGACATTTCACACAGTCCATTGATGCTAGATAGATAGATAGATAGATAGTTGATAGATAGATAGATAGATAGATAGATAGATAGATAGATAGATAGATAGATAGATAGATAGATATTAAATTTTCATTTTTTTATGACATTATGAACAGGGGATTATTGCGCTTTATTTTAATTATTAGTATTATCATAACCTTTATTTAACCAGGTTTGTCCCATTGAGCTCCAAGATCTTTTGCAAGTGAGACCTGGCCAGACAGGCAGCACATACAGTTTCAACACATAATCACATTAATCATATAGAATACAAAGAATACAAATGATAACTGAATTTGCAAAATTAGTTAAAAAGAATTTACAAGATTAGTCAAACATTTGCACTCCTGAAGCCTGGATGTAATGGAATTTATCATAGGTTGGAATACATTGAGAGAGACCAGACTTTGGAGTTTCAGATCTGATTGCAAGATGTTGCATGTACTCGGAGTAGAAAATCTAAAAGCTGTATGGATCTAAGGCTGTGTGTGAAATGAATCACCCCTAACCCCTAACCCCCATATGGGATTTCACTATATAGCTGACTATCCAGTTAGCTCAATTACTGGAGGTTTCGGACACTACATGGCAAGATGCAATGCATGACAGGATGCCCACCACCTGTGAGTGAGTCGTCTATATGGGGCATTGGAATTGATCACTCAGGTTTTGGACACCCTTCAAAATGGCGTTAACCCCCCATATAGTCGACTAAATAGGGGTTAGGGATCCATTTCGGACACAGCCTAAATTAAAGATGGACGGGGTGTTTGCTGTATTCTGGAGTGTGTTATATATAACGAAGAGGTTATATTTTTGCAATTGGAGTGGATGAAGCATAAGGAACAACACCTTCCACTCCACACTCCACTACATCCTCTGTACTGCGTTGTAGTAAATTGTCACTGCACTGATAATCTTATGGTTGGTCGGTGTATAGATCACACAAACTAACAATGCCCAGGTGCTTCCTATAGGGGTGGCAGTTTAGTCAAAGTCTGTGTCTCTTTGACAGCATTAACTGTATAAACCACTTGTGGTTTGCATCTAACAGTCTGTACCATTCAAGTGCAGCTGATACTTTGTCGGTCTGACAGTACAGCTCTCAAAAACCACATGTGGAGTGATCTACATCTGTCCCAACCTGATTAGTGTAATCAACAATATCCCATAATCTAACAAATATCATCCTACTTAAATAAGACAGATAAACTTAACAGTAACGCCGTTAATGTAATATCATGCCTCGCTTGATAACCTATCGGGAGCCAATGCTAAGTGTATTTCATGTAGATTAGATGATGTCTATAATATAGCAAATATGTTGTTTTTATCTCAAGAAAACCGCGTTAGCGCCTCGATCAGTATTGCTGTAGGTCTTTGTAAAGCCACTGTGATCATTAGCTCCACAGCTAACTTAAGGTAAAGCTACGGTTAGCCGTTAGCTCCTCAGACAGATGATCTAACTAGGACCGTGTTGCAACGATGGCCGTCTTTCTAGCAACATGGCTAACAGCCCGTCGGCGTGGTGGTTAGCGATGTCTCATGCTAGCTCTGTAGCTACGATATAAACAGCAGGTCAATTCAGAGACAGCGAGCGTCTAAACCGGACTAGCTCGCGACTAAACCTCCTTTAACCACTTGGACCAGTCGTGCTATCTGTTTGATACCAAGGAGAAGAAGAAGAAACGACCGAAGGAAGGAGGCGGGTTATGCTTCTTCGGTGGTGTAATGGCGGCGACGGACTTAAAGTTAACATTAACTGTCTCCCCCCGTTGAAATCCTCCATACATACAGAACAGTGCGTGTTATATCACTGAAAAAAGTGGCGTTCCCACGAAGTAAGTATAATAAATTAAGTATAACTCACCGTCGGCAGACATTGCTCAGCGAGGAAATAGGACAACAACTTCAGTTTTTTCTGCATGTTAGAAGAGGCGATCTGATTGGCTGTTAAGATGACATGACAAACCAATAGTGTCCGACCACACACAATAACGAGGAAGTTTGTAATTCAAAAGCGCGGGAGGGTCTGTTAAAGTGGGCAGATGTTTCCAGATTCAGATAACCTTTGTTGACATGGTAGACCGGGTGATAATAGTTCTTTAATTGTTGACGCTGCAGTGGGTGTTGGTAGAGTGAATGGGTGGGCTGCATCACATCAAAATGTATACTGAATATTTTGTGTCCCTCATGTTTAGAGAGGAAGAATATGAAACACAAGGAGCCCCTTTCAATACTTCAGCCCAGGACCACTATCCACTGCCTCTTACTGTTCAATATGTACAACAGCCACCTGTCTGATTATAAAATAAGATAAACAATTCGATAGTCCTCACCAAATGTTGCTTTTACAATAAGATGAAGGGAACTTCTCCTCTTCACAGTTTTAAGACAGAGCTTGTTGACAATCATCCTAATGCCTTAAAACTAATAAAAAGACCACAGACCCTCCTCAGTGCTTATGATGAATTGGAATTAGATTACATGATGACTTCAATGGTAATCTCTGGACAGGAATAACTAACTTGTATTTGTTATGTATTATTGTTGTATTATTATTGTCAATTTGTTTGTTATTAAAACCATAGTACAAGTATTCTGTTCTACTGCTCTGTATTTAGACTTAAAGATGAAAATATCCTTATTGTACTATTTCCTGACTTTTGAGATTACTTTCACCTTTCAAAAGTTCAACATATTTTTTATCAGATGATTTGGTAAGACATGTGAAACTCAACAGTATTTAGCTGTAAAATACGGACTGGACTTTTTCTCATATTCTCACACCAATATAGTTGTCAGGGTACATTCAACTAACTCAAACCATTTTGCAACATTAAACACTTTTACAGTTTGATTTCTGCTGTAGTATGTTGTTAATATTGCAACCTGAGTCAGCTCCACCAACCTTCAATGATAAATTAACTTTTTTCTCCTTTTTTATAAGGTGACATTTATAACAGTCTTGTATGACTTTAAGTACACCTGGATGTCCACAGAGGTTCATTTAATCAACAGTATATAGCCTCGTAATGAAAGCACCGGCAACTTCATTATGTACCATATACAGAGGTCAAGGAAAACATAGACTGGCCCACTTTACATGTTCCTGAATTACACAGTGCCCCTATGTGCCCCCTAGTGTGCCCACCTTTGGCAGATTGGAAAGATGAGCAGCACCTCCAGACTACTTAACCCAACTTCAAATGATATTAAAGAGCCAACTGGGCTTACAGCCAGGAGGGCAGGGCCACTGATGCGCCACAGAAGCCCACACACAGTGGAATAACATTATTCAACCTTGACATATCATATCACTACACTGACGACTTGGCAGCCATGTTTTTATTGAAGGCTACAGTTCAGAGGCTGCAGGTCTCAGGGGAGGAGGGCTGTCTTGTCACACACCATTGATCACTCACAGCATCCTCACCTGCGAACACCTTCTTTGTTATCTTCTTTACTGGATGTTGTTGATGGTGTTATTTTCACAAGATCTCTGTCTTGAGACCTGTGAGTGCAGCTGTTGTGTCTCTCTAGGGGGTTATAAGACTGGTTCAATTTCTGAGGGCACATTTGGCTCATACAGACATGTGGCCCATTATTGGTACAGAAATTATGTCCTGAGTCACATTCAGCTCAATTTTATATCTCCATAAAATGTTGCTCCTTTAAGAGGCATTCATCTGTGAAGAATCTTTGAAATGGTCTAAAACGCTACCTACTGTATGTACAATATAAAAATACTGTGTGTGTATGTCTATAACTATGTCAGTGTACCTATACATCTGTATCGACAACTCTATATCTATCTGTACATTTATACATCTATGTCCACTGATATATCTATAATATACCTAGATCTAAATTTATCTCCCTCCCTCTGTTTTGTACACACACATGCACACACACTAAGCCCATAAGTAATTAAGCAAATAAATAACTTCATTGCATGAATTTGGCATGAAGGCTGCCACTTCACTGATCATGTCCTCTTCATTGAAAAGGCATTCATAATAAAAGTTTTCTCATCTCATTACAGTAGCTTTGCTGTGCAAAACTTTTCTTCAGAAAAGTCATCATGAAATAGATAAAACAATGCAGTTAGAGTCCTTGAGTTCAAGTTCATGAATACCGACCAAAAACTGGGCCAGATCTTATCAAAGGCAAAGTATTAATTTATGTGTGCTGAACCTGAGGGGCACGCCTGAAGGTAACAAAGAAATTTCTCGTCCTTCAACAAGCAGCAAAGGTTCTATTAGAATTTATAAATACTATCATTTTAATATAGAGAAATCAAATGAATACAGTTCACGGGCACTTATATTTCACCAAACCCTTCCTGTAAGAACCTTGGATTCTTGTATGAGGTGCTCAGAGATGATATGTGGCGTTTATTTAAATGGTGCTTGTGTAGTGGCCATGAAAATATTCTATTTTGTTTTAGATGGGTGCTGCAAGGGTCCATAGAGACACACTACAGTCTCAAATAAGACATGAATTCAATGACAAAATCAAAATGGGATACAAAACAGTACAGGAATAGGATCTATTTAAACACTGAAATCTCCATCTGTTCGCACAAAGTATGTTGTCAAATAGAGGAAGTGCAGAATTTTGTTGGACAAGGTCAAAACTATTTTCTGACATTCGCAAAAGCACAGTTCCCATAACAACTGTTCTGATTTCAAAATGCCCCAACCGGTCTTTTCCAGAGTTGGCTGTTCCAGCTTTGCATCAGTGCAAAATGAGAGCTTAATTTTAAATCCAAATATTTTCATGAGAAAAGTTTCATTTTAAAATTTAACTCAATCCTGAGACCATGGATGTGATACTGAGGGGAAGTGGAAATTATCACCCAGGACCTAATAGGAGAAAGAGGGCCCTCAATTTTGTTTTTGTTTCAAAGTTGTAACTTCGGAAAATAGAGCAAAATTTTCAAAGTGAACAGACATGGTTCTCTGGAGGAAATACAAAATTACACAACAAATAGAAAAGAAAGAAAGGCAAAGACAAAATAGATTTATAAAAAGAGTAGAGGAGCAATAGGGAACAGGTTTTTAACTGGTCTTTTCTGAAAGGATTTGTTGCTTTTATTGTGATTAAATTCTCATGGTGTTTCACAAAATACTATCCTTTATAGCTCTGATGGATCACAGCGTTATGGTAATTGGCCTGTGGTGTAGAGAAACTTTGTGCTATTCTTTTATTGGGCCGAAGAATTCCTGATGACGTGCATGCCTATGACTCATACTTCATTAGCAGTTTTCTCAAGTCCTGAACATTCAGATTCTGCTCTTTCAATCATCACAACTGTGCTGTTTTTCATTCACTTGTCTAGAGTTTGTGCAGGAAAGAACAGAAAAAATTGAACGTCATTATAAAGAAGCACAGGGACAGGGTAAGTACCTGCATAGAGAACAGTTTCCAAAAAAAAAGGTGATATATGACTCAGTCAACAATACGCTCTGCACAAACTCAACATTCTCGACAACTTGTAAACTTTCAACTCACAGAAGAATAACTCAAATCAGACTGCATACTGATGAAAAATAAGAGGTGCATCAGTTGATTCCACATGTTCCTCTGAATGATCATGACTCTGTTGTTTTTCAAGGTCTCTCTGCCCCCAGCTAACCCTCATCGGAGCCAAAACAGCACATTTTATCTCTGCAACTTTTTTTGTAATACAGAAAGAAATATTAAGTTGGGCTATAACTATCACAGTGAAAGGGTCTGTGATGAATTCTGATACAGTGTAACACAAGAACAAAAAATCAGGAGTTAAATGTGCCAATTTAAATAGCTGGTAGTTTTGGTGTTGTGGGCAGGTGTGGGCCGATGAATCTCCTATGAGTTCCTCTTTTGAATCTGGATTTGATAACACAGTGAACCATCCCCAGGAGGTGACATGGCACCTCAGATCATCACAGACCGTGGAAACTTTATTCTGATTCTGTGCTTCTGCTCCTCCTGTAGACTGAAGAACATTGATGTCAAAATGAAAAGTCCTCTTCTCATACAAAATGGGACTCTGGACCACTGAGCATCACTCCAGTCCTTTTTCCCCCCCAAGCCCAGAAAAAAAACCACCCCTAACGTTGTCTCTGGTTCAGGAGTAGCTGTCGAATCGGGAGTGACAGTGTGCAGTGGCTCTTGCTGAACAGGCTTCAGTCCACTCTTTGTGAAGTGCTAGAGTCAACTGTAGTAAAAATCCTCCCAAGACTGCAGCCATTTCTGTTGCCTGCTACACTTCTCCCTTCCAGTCAACTGTCTGTGAGTATGCTTTGATACAGTAGTCTGTGAGCAGCGAAAAAGACAGTCTAAGGCTTATTGTCCTTATAGAGGATGTTATTGATCTCATGATGACAAATTTCCATGTTAGAAGTGGTTTTCATGTTGACCCATATTCTGTACAAAATGAGTTACAAATTAATAAGATATCCAGTCTGAGATTTTACAGTATTTTGGGGTCATCTATATACAAGTGGAGGAAGGAAGGGCTTGAAAATACTACCAAAGGGGGTTCCAGAGAACAATTTAGGATACTGCTGTTGTTTTCAGCTTCTTTCCTCATGTCTTACCAGCTATTTACTGATAAAACCAGACGGACAAAAAAAGCTTCAGGTCCTCTTTGAGTGATAATTTATTCATATTTAGCACAATAACCAGATAATTGGTTGTTATTGGCTCTAAAATAAACATGCTGGTACCATTACTAGATTACCTATAATCAGGGTTTAGAGTTTAATTAAAATTTGGTTTAATAATCCTTTTCCCAAATCAGGTCTCATGGTCAATTAGATGCTACCTGAGGCATGAATTACCTCAGACTGCAGCTCTGACACCGTCTTCAACATTGCCCTCTTGATGATCTTGAAGGCTTTAAAGAAACATTTGTGAGGCTTACTTCACAGAGCTGATTATCTCTGTTGTTTACATGGAACAAACAATCAAAGTAATCAATAAACACTGTCCTCATGTCATTGCGACTTGAGTCCCCACTGTGATTGTGTAAACATGACTCAGTTCATTCAAGTATAATTAAGTCATGAATGTGAGACAGGCACAGTTTCATCACTTTATTAATGAGTTTAATTATTTATACCAACAAACAAAAACTGTCTCTCTCCCTCCATCCCTCTCTCTCTCTCTCTTTTCATCATCTCCTCTATCCAACCGTTCTGTTCCCCCAACAATGACATGTTCCCCTCAGATCAGGGCGATAAAAGAGCAGGGTCACAGCAAATTAGAAACTAAGTGTGACGAGAGAGTCGATGGAAAAACAAAAACATTAACATAGCACATTTAGTCAGCTCTTCATTGAGGAGAGAGTCAGGAGGATAATGTCCACGTTCTGCCAGCACAAACACTCACACACATACATACACATTCCCTGCTGCTTGGGAAAATCCCCAAGGATCTGTGAAGCAGACATGCTGTACTAACAGGTGAGGCCTGCTACATTCATACTACACACGCACAGAAAGAGAGAACAGGAGACGGTCAGACACAGGAGATGATACACGTCTATGGACAGATTCTTTATCTCCCCTTTCCTCCAGACGCACACACATACATACACGCACGCACAAACATACACACGCGCGCACACACACTCAGACATAAACACACAGGGTAATCCGTGCTCCCTCCCTACAACAAGACCCCGTAGATCCAGAGGTTTGTAACATTCCCTTCACATTGAAGTTAAATGGAAACCTGGAGTTTCACCTGTTGGCTTGCATGTGCATCTGCACACGCGCACACACAGACAGCCACTGATTGAAAAACACACATCAACATGTGGATTTAAGTACAGTATCTTGGATGTGAAATCGTTTAACACGGGACATTGCTGGACTGAAATCGGATTTTAAGATAAACGAAAACAAACAAACAAACAGATCCCTCAATTTTACCGCCCCGGTGGAAAACAAAAAGATCCCCCGCCCCTCCCGAAAAACACAATACAATAAATAAAACAGTTATGACGACACTGATGAGAGAAAAGGGAAAGCCTCGAAGAGAGAAATGGAGGGAGAGAGAATAAAAATGAAACATTTTGTTCTGTTTTTTCCCCTCCTGAACCAGGGACTGAAATGAAATTGTATTTACAGACTGCGACTGAGGATAAACAGTCCGGCTGCTGCTGCGCCGGTCTACTAGAGAAAAAAAATTACAAGAACAACAATATAATAACAATAATAACAAAAATAACAAAATAAAATAAAAGGTACTTGATATTTACAGTTTAGCAGTGAAAAAAAAGGAGGAGGAGGAAGAGAGGGAAGCAGAAGGCGTGAGGGGAGAGGAGAAAAAGGAATGGAAGGGGGAGGCTCCAAAAACTGTCAGGTTTTCAGGGGTTTGAGCATCATTTCTGGTCAGATTATTACTGAGATTAGTGGAAGAAGTCATATAGTGTGGTGGATTTGGGCTGAACATGCACATTTGAGTGACGGAACAAAGAAAAGTCCAATGCCGACGGCAGACTGTCAGGGTGTGAGAAATCATTCAAGATCAGTTCCTAACAATCATCACAGGACATGAAGAACATGATATGAGGCGGCGCAGGCGGTCTGTCTCGGAGGGGGGTGGGGGCGAAGAGGGTTCGGACAAACGCTTCTCTCCAACCAAACACATTCAGAGTCCTCTCCTCGCACAAATAAAGACTGCGGACACTTGCTGAAATGACAATGACGAGCCAGGTGAGCCGCGGTCCGGCTGTAACCTCCGCACCCGATGTCACGTAACATAATCAATCTGATATGAGAGACCACATCCTTAAAGTGACATAATTAATGAGGAGACTATTTACACTACAGTGTGAGGCAGCAGTGTTGAGACTCACATGGAGCCCCCCTCACTGATGCTCTCTCTGTATAGTCATGTTAGGCAGTTGGACTTCACAGGCCCCCTTTGCTTCCCCTCTACTCCCTTTGAAGATGTGCAATATCACTGAAAAAGTTAAAATGAAACTCTTGGTTTCCAGCTTAACAAAAGAAAACACGAGCTTACTCTGAAGGAGCTGAAGACGGTGCTCCTCTCAGTCACATATAAAGCATTTAAGAAGGAGATGATTTAAAACAAAACTATAAGAACAGGCTGTGGTGCCCCCCTTTAGCAATACGAATTAAAACCACCTCTCAGTTAAAACGACACATTCAGAATCAGCTAATAGGTTCTGTCATGTGCCAAACAGATTTAAAATAATCCCTCTCATTAGTTAACCATTGGGCAGGGTGGACTGACAATACCAGAGTAGAGTTCAGGGGAGAAAGCGACACAAAAGTCACAAATCTACCCTGTGTGTACTCGATCGAACAGTTCAGTAAATGTGCGGCCTTTGACCCTACTAAAGGATGATTGTCTTTAATTATCAGGCCTTACAAACAGCCAATCAGGACCCCTTTCACCAGCACCACAGCCACGCATAAAATCAGCTAATGCAAATAAAATGAACATAAAAGGGATAAAAGTCAATGTAGATCATAATACAGGAAATCTACATAACATGTAGCACCCCTCTCCTCCTCATCATCTCCCAAATCTCCAACCCAACCAATAGTTTCTTTATCTAAGAGGCCAGACAAGAGCCACCACAGACTTACAACTGCAGCTTATTTATCAAGCCCGAGTGTGGCTCCTGTAACGCCCTTGAAAACGACCCCGAACCTTCCTGAAGTTTTCTGTAACAGAAATCACTTCGCTGCTAGAAATGGTTAAAAAAAAATTCAGGGGAAAATAGCAAAGCTGAGTGTGTATATATGTGTGTGTGTGTGTGTGTGTGAGTGTGTGTGTACAGTCGTTTCTTTTTCTATCGTAAGGGTTTGGAGCCGAGGAGGGAGGTTGAAAAGGGAGAAGAGCAGAGGAGAGAAAAGGAAAAACAGGGAAGACAAAAAAAAAAAGAAAAAAAGAAAAAGATGACAGAGGGATGGACGCTCAGGTGCTGTTGTTGATGGATCCGGGTGCTGAGCTGGGCTGGGCGGAACTGTCTGACACACTGCCCTCTGCAGGGGGAGAGAGGAAGCACAGTCATTACCACAGAAAGAAATCACTGTGCTGTGGAATAGTGTAGCGTTAATACTTCACTGTCTTAAATCAGGCGACTCTCAGGATCAGAACGGGGAATACACACGCCTCAAAATACAGAGTGTAACCTGAGCATGTTTCACTTCTAACACTACCCTCAGCCAACTGATCTGGAAACTGTTCTGTGTTCCTAAGAGGCTTGACTGTATGTGTAACATGTGATTATTTGATAAAGTCACAAGAGGCGAATGTTCCGACAAATACACCGTTAAATTAACAGACAAAACTTCTCCTCAGAACAGTCTGCGAATGAAAACCACAACAGCAGTTTGAGTGGCGATACATACCATGTGAAGCAGGCGATGTCTGTGCACGAGCGTGAGGAGGAATGAGTGTGGAGTTCAACTGGGGCTGGATAGAAAGCTCTGAAGAGGCAGAGGAGGGAAAAAAATCAGATTGCTTTACATAGAACACTCTCGGTGCAGTGACTGTTGAAGAGTACCAAAGAGAGGATAAAATACAAGAAATACAAGGCCGAGGAGAGACCAAAAGAAGGACAGGGGGGTTCACTGACCGACAGGACTGAAGTTGAAGAGCAGCGGCAGCTCTCGTCCGCTGGGCAGGCGGGTGTTGGGCTGACGTAGCTCATCGAAGAAGGCGTGTGCACATGCCTCTAGAGGAGACAGCCTGGTCACCGGCGTGTACTCGAGCAGCCGAGAGCAGAGGGCAATTGCCTCTGGTGGGGTACGAGGCTTAAACACCTGACAGACGAGTGAGAGAGGGCGGAAATTTAAGATTCTGAACACGATCAGCAGAAGACTGAGGATTTCAGTAAATGTAAGCCTGAAGGTTCTTTTGAGCGGAGAGCGCCTCCTTTTTCAGGCAAACATGAAGGCAGCGTAAAGTGGGGGTTCGCTCTCAGACTTTTTCAACTTGCAGATGCATTGTACGGTATTACCATGGCAACCACAGGAAAGGATGTAATACTGGTGCTGGATTTGTATCGTAGTTTCCTGAATAAAACACCTGATTAAGAGCAAACAACTGATGGTCGACTGTAGAGAGGGTATCAGCGCTTAGCCCTCAATAAAGATGATCTCATCTGAGTCGAAACACAGTGGATGTATTTTATCAGTGGGACATAAGGGCTGTTTTTGAGACAGGCTTTGTTACAGAGCACTTACGCAGATGGCTGTTCAACATGAGTCTGATTCTGCTCAAGATTCTAGTCAGTTAAAAACAGGTTTTTCTTTTTAACTTGCTAAATGTTCATGGTGGATTAACATGAGAAAGGCCTTTGTTTGACACCGAGTGGTGGGACTGACTCTCACCTTAATGTTGGGTCTTATATATGATATTAACTTAGAGTACAGTTCAGATGGATGGCACTATCATCTCTTTCACTGAGGAACACAGATATCATATTTATTTTAATTTCACATGATAACTGCAGGTGAAAACACCCTACAATAAATACATCTTATTAAAATCCCAATTCTCAATTCAGCTGCATAACAAGCTTTTACTGAACAGATGACAGCAGTCTGAGGTGAAGCCTGAAGCAAAGGAGGTGAAATTCATACAGTTTTGACATCTTTTAAAAGTTTAATACACTCAAGTCTACATCCACTCTAGTTCCTAACACTCTGGGTTTTGTTTTTTGGGAGTTCTTTAATCCACTTCAGGTAAAAAAGCTTTTCAGACATCACACCTCACGATTATGTTTGGATGACTGTTATTTGCATTGGTGTATCGCTGTAGATGAAACGTACCTTTGTCCAAGGGTGTGCTTTAATCTGCGGGAATTTGAACTCTGTGTAGTTTGGGTTCATTTCCCTGATCTGCTCCCTTGTTGGTGTCCCCAGGACCTGACAAACAAAGGTGAAAACATCCATGAATATTAATACACTGTCCATTTTTAAAAGTCGTCTTAAAACCCATTTTTATTCATTGGCTTTTAACCCTCCATGAGACTCGGCTCCTGTTTTAGTGTTTTATGGTTTGTTTTTAGTTATTTGTTTCTATGTTTTTAAATTAGTTTTAAAAACATTGAAACTATACTTTTAATTCTGCTTTTATTTTATCCATTATTTTAATTGTTTTTTTGATTGTTTTTTATCTTGTTGTTTTGTCTAGTTATGTACAGCACTTTGTACAGCTGTGGTTGTTTTAAAGTGCTTAACAAATAAAGTTGAGTTGAGTTGAGTAATAATGAAGCACAGTTGACTGAAAAATCTTTTGTTTTGTTATAGGGCAGTTTGTATCTGTCATTTAACACCGCTTGTACTGGATTCATTCAAATATTTACATCTAATATCCAATCTAGTTGGAAAAAAGCTAAAGTGGTTGTTTTTCTCTATCCTACAAGGCCGAAAACTGACTTAGAAAGCAAATCTTCCCGATCCAAACTTTCCCCCACATCTCTTTTCATCTACAGGCCTGTCATCAGCTGGCTCTGGGCCACTGTTTGCCGCACTCCTTCTGTACCTTGATGATCTCTACTAGCTGGTCCACACCGCTGTCCCCGGGGAAGATGGGCTGGCCCAGCAGCAGCTCAGCCAGCACACAGCCGGCTGACCAGATGTCGATGTTAGACGTGTAGTCAGTGGCACCAAAGATGAGCTCTGGGGCACGATAGTACCGTGAGCAGATATAGGACACATTTGGCTCCCCCCGAACTAGCTGCTTTGCACTGAAAGATGAAGGAAGCAAAGATGAAACAGACACTTCAGGAGGAATGTGCTAATCTACATGAAACTTTAATTCCTCGGTGAGCAAGCCTCTGAGACAGAGAAGTAAGAAGAGATATGACAGATCAACACTGGAAAGACTCAAACAAAGTCCAAACAAACAAACAGGAACTCAGACACATACTGACAAAGACTTCCTGAGGCACCGTGTTTCACTGACCTGCCAAAGTCACAGAGTTTGAGGATGGCCGTCTCGGGGTCCACCAGGAGGTTCTGCGGCTTGATGTCTCTGTGACACACGCCCTGGGAATGGATATAAGCCAGACTGCGGAACAGCTGGTACATGTACACCTGAAGGGGACAGAGAGAGGTGGCACAATGTAAAACAAGTGTTTACAACCAAAACAGAGTCATTCTTACAGACCAGCAAGAGAGCGTTTGAGTTCATCCAAGTACACCGCTGTCTGGTATTTTTCTGTTCTCATGGTCAGTCAGGACTCCTGGGTTGTTTCATGACTCCAGTGTTCAGTCAGAGTTAAAAAAAAAAACTGACTGCAACACCAGCTCCTTTTTCAACAATCAAACTAAATGGAAAACTATGGGGGACGATAAAGCACAAAATAACCACAATTCTCTGAGGAGCATGCAACAATAATTCCGGGTAATAATGACAGTGATTCAATCTGGACCTTGATGAGAAGCAGGGGAAGGATGAATGACTTTCCTATTTCAAACTAATTAATTGTTCAAAGTTCATTTGAGTTCCTCCACAACTGACACTTCTCATTTTGAGATGATGAATTTGTAGCTTCTGTTGCTGAGAGTGTTCACATCAACAGTGTTCAGTGTTAACTGTAGCTGCTGCTGCACCCGCACCACTGGATCATACATATACTCTGATGATGTCTCCTGAAAGCTAAACTATCAACGATTTCTGCCGACAAACGTCAGGAGAAAATATTCAAGAGACCAAAGTAAATTACATTTCTGATTTCTAACAGCCTTTATTAGGTGTTGCTACTTTGTTTTAAAAACTTTCCAAAACCCTCTGATGCTTTTTGAATAAGCTGTATTAAGTCAATCTATCCCTGCATTAAAATGTGTAGCATGATACACCCAAGATTCAATCAAATTTAGGGGTGTCCCGATACAACTTTTTTTTTACTTCCGATATTATAGCCTTCAGTATCGGCTGAGAACGATATTGATCCGATATTGGCACAAACTTAGTTTGTTTTGCACTCAGCTGCAACGTCTTTTTGGACATTAACGATAAATACAGCCGACATCACTCTTAGTCCTAGCTACTTTGTTAGTACCTTAGTACACACACTACATGCTGGATCTGGGCACTGTTAGCTAAAAGGGGGCCGGGGTGGAGTCTGGAATGGACTGCTTGTATCGGAGTGCTGATATCGGAGATTTTAGATGCAGGCTGATATATTCCGATATTTGTTTCTGGTTGATATCAGACCAATATCAGATATCGATATTGTATCAGGACAGCTCTAATCAAATTAGTAAGAATATTAGGAAATACAGAAAGAGGGAAAACACCATAACAAAGTATTGATAAATTCATAAAGAAATAAAACAAAGTCATTTTGGTTTTTGGGAAAATCTCATTTGTCTGGACCTTTATTGCCATTAACAGTAAATCAGACGCTTGTTCCGTTTAGTAAATAATATTCGTTTCTTCTATTAAAAAAAAAAAGAAAAAAAAAAAAAAGAAGGGGGGGGGGGGAGCGAAAAACAAACTTTTTTTTTTTTTTTTTTTTAAATTACGTTTTAACCGTCATGTCTTAATAAAAGTGTGCATTAAACAAGCTAAAATGTGTGGATCATTTGCGTGCGATCATTTGCGTGCGACTCTTTCTGCCTGGCTCGCTGCTCTGGGCTCACAGCGCTGGCCTGCAGCATGCGTGGCATCGTGGGTTAACTTCCTCAGAGTGAATCAACACATGCGATCAGCCAGAGCGATGTCGGTGAGAAAAAAGAGCAAAGTTTAAGTCTGGTTTAGAAAATAAACGTTGTCTAACGTGATGTTGTCTGACTCTGAAGACTCTTCATTTAGTGCTTATGGTGTGAGGCAGGCCGATGACGCAGCAGGTTGCTTGGCTTGAGCGCAGTGGAGCTTTGATCGTCCATGTACTTGATGTCATTCTCCAGCGCTAATATAAGATTCTTTAACATATTTTAATACGTTAATATTAAAATATTCGGTTTCGAAATGGTCGTTTAGACGTCAGTGAAATTAACCGCTGGGAACATCCCTAGTTAGCAGTTTGGAAAAACTGAAAATGAACCACTTTTGAAAAGTTTGTTTTTTTTGTTACTGTTATACAATTGAAACTTGTTTATTTCTAACTGCACTAGATCAAAGTTGAAAATTCAGGCTTCCTTTCAGCAAGAAAATTGTGCAGGAATTGCAGACCAATTCAGAGCCACTGGAGCACAAGCTCAAATGATCACAACAACATAAGGCACTGCAGCAAGACTCCTTGTTGTTTGACATGCAAATGTATGATAGGCTTTACACCCATACTTGACTATTACTCAGGGTGATCACAGGGTCATTTAGTTTCTCTGCAAAGCCTGGGAGCGCGTCTGATGTCAAAGATTTTCTATGTGTGCCACTCACTTCAACAAATGACCTAAATTTTTTGGGGGTGTGTGCAGTGTGGTGCATGTAAGAAAAAGCAGCTCTGTGGCGCCTGCTGCAGCCTGAAGTGACATGTATCTCCAACACAACATGAGAGTGAGAGATTCCCCCTGAAGGTCTACCTGTCCCCGTCCAACCTCTGCTTGACATTTGACGACACATCCGAGGCCAGTGCTGTCATTGAATGAAATTGCTCGCACCGTTACGAGTGCCCTCTTTTAATACATCTGTGGATCGCAGACAGCGAGCACCACAATGTGACAAATCACTGGCATCATCGCCGTTATCATCATTATTACCCTGATGATGCAGAGGCAGCAGGCTGGCCTCAGATTACAGAATGATTACTGACATGATGATGGAGAGACGAGAGATGATGGTTGGAAAAGGGGCCAGGGAGGGAGAGAGGAGAGGAAGTGAGGAGTGAGGAAGAGGGAGACAATGAGAGACAAGGCAAAAACATGAGACCCAGGGGACAGGGAGAAAGGGGGAGAGAGAGGACCTCAGGCATGCCGAGATAGAAGTGTGTCGCTGGAGGACGGGGAGTGAAAGAAAGAGAGGGAGAGATCAGTGTGCCTCTCAAAGCCACAGAGGAGCAGCGGGCTGAGGTAGAGAAATGGGCCATGAGACAGCTATAATGTCCTCTGCTGCAACAGACCCAGTAAACACACAAACACACACACACTCTCTGAAACGAGCACGCCTTCAGACAGAGAACCAAGTGTATTGCAAACAGATTGATTCCCGTGAGACCATCGTTCCCTTTCTGCTTTCAAAATCCTTAAACAGTGAGCGAGCGGCCGGTGAAACACAGACAGGAATGTACAGAGATTTTTCTTCTACATCTACCGGCAATTACTGAACTCAACTTTACCTTCAGTTTAAACAGAGGTTGCTCACTACTTAAACAGAGTCAACTGAAAACGTGAGCATTAAATGTTTCTATCGCACCTTTTTCTCATTTGACACATCAAGGAGAGGTACTGACCTCGCATCGGAGATAAAGACGAAAAATCGAATTCAAACTGGAATAAAATACAGGCATACTGTGAAGATCGGTCTAAATCAAAGCTGCAGACATAGTTCATGTAGGAGTTGAATTTTAAGGGTTAAAAAAATGACACTCATCCACTTCAGTTCTCAAAAACACACTGATCTTTGCCAAAGAATAATCTCAGTCTCGCTAAGTAGCTGCCATTCTCACACATCATACTCAGCTGTCTGTCCTCTTCTTCTTTTACTAAACAGCATGATGCCAATGCTGTTTGACAGGACGAATTCTGCTGAGTCTCCAGTGACATTAATGCAGCAGAAAGCTAAACGGCAGACAAATTAAACCCAGGGCACTACCGAACCGGAGTCAGGCTTCAGAAGACGATCTCTGTTAGTGTGTGGAGTCAACAAAACCAGACTGTTTGAAGTCAGAAAGACCAGAGAGTACGCTTGAACAAGGTGAGAGCAGAGGGACATCCCTATGAGAAGACCAGGCTGCATTTGTGTGTGCGCATGTGTGTGTGAACTCACCTTAACATAGATGATGGGGATGGTGGTCTTGGCCTTGTTGAAGTGCCGAGCCACCCTGTACACTGTCTCAGGTACATAGTCCAGCACCAGATTCAAATACACCTCATCTTTCTGAGGAGGAGAAGAAACAAGGGTCAGAGGAATATTTAATATTTTCTCTTAATGCTTCCAGCAGCAGCTTCATAAACACTTAAGCCCTCCTGTGCAGCTAATGTGAATGACATTTACACTTAATGAGTAGAAAATCTATAATATTGATTAGCCTGATGTCGTCAACATCGTTTAAATACAGGAAGGAGTTAAAAATGTAAATATGCAGATACTGTAAGACATACTTGAGACCTTTTTTTAAGTCGTTTAAATGATGAACGATGTCCAACACACAAGTGTGACAAAGAGGCGAGTGTAAAGACTCATGTATTCAGCTGTATTTTTCCAAGAAGATGGTACACAAAGACTCAAGTGGCTGGTTTGCTGCATGGACCAGTCTGTTTTATTTTTAGTTTTTTGTATGTATGATTAGCAGAACACCTCTTAGGGTCAAGAGAATCACATCCCTGATTACAAATAACTGTCATACTCTACTGCGCCAGAATGACTAAGACTAATTGATCAGGGCTTGACACAAACGTTTTTTTATCACAAGGAGCACATGTGCTCCAACGTTGAAAAAGTAAGGAGCTCACAAAGAACTTTAGGGGCACAACAAAAATTGATCACATAATGTGTGTCTTATTGGTGGACATACGTACTATTATTTGAAATCAATTTCAGGTCGTTTGGTCACATCACATGGAAGCTATTGAAGAAAATGTTCAAAATTTGCCTTTAAATTTAACACTTAGTCTGTGTCCGAAATGGATCCCTAACCCCTATACAGTCAACTACATGGGGGTTAGCGCCATTTTCAGGGGTGTCTGAAATCTCAGTGATCAATTCCAGTGCCCTATATAGGCGACCCAAAATTTCCCATAAAGCATTGCAAAATGTAGTGACCATATGATGGTCACTCACCGGTGGTGGGCATCCCGTCATGCATTGCGTCTTGCCATGTAGTGTCAGAAACCTTCGGTGACTGAGTTCACTACATAGTCAACTATATAGTTAAAGCCCATATGGGGGTTAGGGGTTAGGGATTGAGTGATTCATTTCTGACACAGCCCAAAAAATTTTTGAGGACAAATTAGGAAAATAACGGAGGTGTGTCCTATTGGTCGACATAAATATTATTATTTGAAATCAATTCTAGGTCAATTGGTCTCATAACATGGGAGCTATAGAAGGAAAACAGCCTTTTCTGAGAACATCAACCGGTAATTTATTGATGGTCCCTTATTAAACACCCGACGTTGACAGTGAAGGTGCCGGGTAGATTTAACCACGTTGCTGTTGCTATGACCAGTTCTAAAGAGTGAGAAGACACAGGCAGTGAATGTCCGTCAAATATCCAACCTAAAACAAACTTCACCGTGGTATTTACATGAATAAACATTTGTTTCCTCCACTGATTTTTTTATGCGCACATGTGCCCCTAAATACATTTTACAATTCGCACACATCTATTTGTAGTTGCAAATGCGAGTAAAACGGTCGCACTGTCGAGCCCTGTTGACTCTTGCTGAGTTGCTGCATATGACATAAAAAAATCCATCTTGGTTGACGGAGATCAGGAGCATCAATATCGGGCTGCAGAGGACAGGGATCACTTTCTTTTCTCAGAATTAGACACACTTTGGTAAAAAAGAAAAAAACAAAACCATCATAAAAATCTGTCTTGGACACTGAAAACTCTGACTCAAGAGTGTGATTTAGATGTACAGTAAAGGCCAATATCGACTTGTCTGAAACATGCCCATGAATCATCGATGATACATGCAGCATTAAAAAGGGCTGGGTGTGGAGGCAGAGTGCCTCATCTGGAAACTTGAATCCTCCAATATGAGATGTCAAGTCAGTGCATACACACCTTCTCTCCACTGGAGTAGAAGAAGTAACGTAGCCTCACAATGTTGCAGTGGTCCAATTTTCTCATTATTTGCAGCTCCCTATTCTGCAATGAGACAGGGAAACAGGAGAGGGAGGGAAGAAGTGTGAAATTATGAAATATGCAGAGGTAGCTGTCATCGCTAAGTTACTCATTTTAAACATTCAGGAAAGAGCATCAATCACATCTACAGCGTGAGAAATACTTTTAAAATACAACTCATCTGTGCCCACCCAACTTTCTTTGAGGGTCCTATTTAAAGAGCATCTCTCTTTCAACAGAGCAGGCCTGACTCAGCGTACCTTAAACCTCTTGTCTTGGAGAACTTTCTTAATTGCCACCATCTCTTGGCTGTCGATGAGGCGAGCCTGGTAGACCACTCCAAAGGAGCCATTTCCTATAACCTTTATGTCTGTGTAGGACACTTCTTGCGGGCGATCGGGGCCCTGGCCCGGTGTGGCTACCACCGTCGTCACTTTGCCGCTGTCTCCTGGGAGAGAGAGAGAGAGGAAGCACACTTGGTAAGAAAACGCAGTGAATGTTGACAGAAAGAAAGCTGCTGCTGCTGGTGAAGTGGGGTTCAGGCTTGTGAAAAAGACTGCGGCACAACTCTCTTTAGCTCGGCATTTAAACCGGCGTCCCTCAGAGAGAGAAGTTAGACATCAGCAGGCGTTCCCTCTTTAAACGGCTGTGACCTATGTGGTGTTTCCCCAGACACATTACACTGGCTCGTAATGAGCTCCTGGAAATAACCACAACACATTCACTCTGTTCCCCTGGGTGAACCAGCCTGTTGGTTCACCCCCTTCTGTATGGGAGGCATGCATAAAACATGGGTCTGCTACACCTGCATTCAACCTGTGGTTCACAAAAAACACGAGAGACTGTTGGGAAAAGGGATCACTTTTGGTCATGACTGAGAGACTTAAGATTTACAGCACTGAACTTATGTAACTGCCGCATAAATTTACAGACAAAATGGGTTTTTTTCCTGCCCGATTCTTCCACTTAAGGCCACATTTTTATGGTGCTGACATTCGATTGTGGCCAACTGTGCAAACCCCTCTCTCGGCTGACCCATTCTGACTGTACGTTTCAGCTGCCATGTCTCTAAATGCATTAGTACCGCAGTTTAAGTTTATGGAGCGTGCTGTTCAAATAATACAATTAGTTGATTAAGTCTATTTGCACATCATAAAAACAAGACACCCAAGAGCAATAAATGCTCGTGTGACGCCCCGAAAGGCTCGTGAAAAGAGGATTGAACTGAAGGATTGAGTCGAATTATCTCTGCCATCGGAATAAAATGAGGAGAAGTTGCTTGTTACAGCTTGTTATGCAGGACTGAAGGCTGAATGCTGAGCTGACCAAGTGGCCTTGGGAACAGGGCTGTAGTATAAAAGCCCCCCCAATCCTATCACATTAGGAGATAAATGAGAGTAACCAACTACACTCAGATATATCAGGCAGGATTTGGGGTGTGTGCTCCCCAACACCGCTACATCACCACCGCCAGACGAAGTGTCTGACCTTGCTGAAATAAGACAAAGTGAAATACTCAAGATTTAACAGAAACCGACAGCTCAAGTTTGGGTCAAGTAGCTGCTCGGTGTGGTACGCCTGCGCACGTGTCGGGTCAAGAATGATTTGACAAATCGGCACCAGAAGCAATGACACTGGGAAGAGGAAGAGGAGCAGAGAAGAGGCCTGTTGCCAAAAGGCTTGTCAGAGCCTGCGATCAAAATTGTGTGGACAGTAGCACACCCAGAAGTGCTACCATTTCCTGGGCTTGCTCACTTCGCCTGTCTCAACAGGACCCCTCCTGATCCCTAATAGGTCTCTGAGTCGCAAAATGGAGTCAGACAATGAAGCATCTTGGTCTCCATCATAAACTGACAAAAAGAAAAAAAAAACTCAGGCAGTGATTGAGCGTCTTCCTCAACTCCTTTTTCTCTGTGTGAGCACTTTCACACGAAGTACCTGATGACCATTTATTAAATTACAAATCCAGTTATCATATCAGGGTGCTGCTGACCAAGAAAACGTGAATGCTTTTCTTTCAGCCCTACATTTCCCAAGGTTAGCGGCGAACAGCAGCTGGTGGCACATCCACATGATAGGCCCAGATCTGATCTCTGCCCTCAGGTCAGCAGGAAATATTCCCCTTCTCAGATCCGTCTCGCTCCTGTTTTAAACTTCTGTTTTTCTGTATTTGCCTTTTTTTCCCCCCCAACACTTTCACACATTATTTTAAACAAGTTGAAGTCAGAAGAGAGCACATTAAATATGGAGAAGCGGTGACATGATAGTCCCCTGAATAATGAATGCAAAGATGAGCGCTCGGCCCCGGCTGTCAGTGAACAGCTTTGGTTTCTGATATGTCAAGCCAGCGTGATGAGTACGAGAGAAAGGATGAGCAGAGTGACTTTCATCACACCCACACGTACGAGCAATTAGCCTGGAGCTGTTTTTGTACGTGTAAACCACTATTTTAACCTGCTGACATAATTATGTGTTAAACTGTGACTAAACTTTGTCATTAGAGGCTTCCTGGTGCTTACATACAGCACTTTTTCTGACATTATCTGACCATGGATCTCCACCTTTGTATCTTGAATAAATCACCACAAACCTACTGTCTTTAAAAACATAAATCTGATCATTGCTCTCATTAATAAAACGTGTTTCTATTCACTTAAAGACAGCAGAGACATTTCACAGATTTAAACCTGACCCCTGGATTTTAAGCTTGTCTTAATTTTGTCATGAATGAACTGGGAGTCATGTAAAAAACTTAACCTTGTGGCATTACTAGTTCTATCATTCAGTCCAAGCTACATACACAAAAATATATAATAATAAAAATATATTACTTCTACAAAAATCTATTAACACTGAGCAGAAACTTTTCTTACCTCTGAATTACATGTTGATTTGCATTTTCATTACACAAAATACTTCAGGTGATTTTTTTGAAGCTTAGTCTGAGTATTTACAAAGTTAGGGGCATTCTATGTTAAATAATACAATACCTCAGTTTGCAAAGCATTCTGGGAGCTTTAGTTTACAACTCTATTTGGCGTCTGTATCTAAAAACACTGGCTATGATGATCACTGTCCCAACAATATTTTACACTCAATGAGAACATAAAACAGAAAAGGTAGATCACATGGTAGGGTAAGATTGGGGATAATTCAATAATAACAGCAAAGAAATGATAAAATATTGATCAGAATATACAGACACTGAACATTTACAATTCATGTTTGTTTTTTTTAGGGCCCGAGCCGAGAGGGCAGCTCAGGCAGGTCGGGCCCAGCGAAAATCGCAATGTTTCAAAGTGACCCAAAGAAGTGATAAAAAAATGGCTCACTAGCGCCCCCTACAGAGGGCCATGAACATTGACTTTGTCCGATCTGCCCGAAATTTTACAGGCACGTGTATCTTAATGAGATCTTTGATTTTGCGCACTTGGACTTTTTTCTCAGACGCACGGTTAAAGAGTTGTTCCGCTGTTTTTGCCCCCTCTTGGCCATTTGCATATGTCACGCCAAACGCTACTTTTTTTTTTTGTTATTTTTCAACATTGTACATTGCGCTGAGTTTTTTCTTTTTTTAATACAGACAATGTGTCCAATCTTATATTTCTGTATGCTCCATGACATCTAGGCGATAGTATGTCATCAGGAGTTGCAGTAATTTAATGCTGAAGTTGGACAATAAACAATATATTTCAATCTATAATCTGACAGCTGGATCTCGCCTATTATTCCACATACTCTACCTTTAAAATGTGCTTTACAGATTAAGTAGATTGGATTAAATATATAAAATGCGCATTGGCTCTATCTCACTGAGACTCAATTCACCTAATAGGGTCAGGCCCACTAAATCAGTATGAGTGCATCCATTTACCTGACCACTTGAAACATTGCTGAAGGTATGTGTTACATTGGAGATTCAGGATCTGATCAACCAAACTGGATTCTGCAGATGTGAACAGGATGCAACAGCATGGCATAAATGAGAAGGGTATTAAAAAGCAGGCTAGCTAAAACAATATGACAGCTAGTCTCACGTCAGTGTAAGTGTCCTTAAAAGGATTTCTCAATAAAAAACAGAATTAAGTTTAGTTTTATATGTGTAGAGTAGGCAGCTCTCAAAAAAGTATTAAAATGTGTCAAACAATCAAAGATGGAGGGCAAAACTTGTCCAGATGTGAACTTTTATGATTATCTGATCAAAACATTTCTAGTTTGAATCCATTAAAACTCAATTTCAACTGGTCACAGTTTCCCCTCTTTCCGTTTTAGTAAACACTACATTAGTCATTTGAGAACTAATTTAATTGTTTAATACAAAAGAAGGAACATTCGAGGGCCGAAAAAAGAAAGAAAACTACATCTCTACTGTTCTTGTATCGACACTAGAGCCAAATCATTTCACAGACACTGAGGCCGGAGAATTGATTCTGCGACTGATGTTTTTGTGCCACTTCTAATCACTTTGCCTCGTTCCTCCAGGCCACATCGAGCCAAAATAGCAACATATTTTCCTTCGTTCTCCTCTTTCCGTAAGCCTCAGCTGGTCTCTCTCACCTCCTGCTTTCAATGATGACTTTGTGTTTTTCAAAATTGCAGTAGATACAATTTTGTTGTTCCGATCAACATTTTTTCCCTGTCCTTCCAGCCATTTGAAGAGTTTTTTAAAAGGTAATTTACTTTATTTGTCTGTGATTTCTTTTTAATTAAATAGTTCACACACTCTCAAACTCTCTGTGAACTGATAATAAGACACAGCAATAATGACATTTGTATTGTTGGACATGCAGTTTTTGCACAACTCCATTATTTTAACAATATAGTTGATATAGAGCATGTTTTCCTGTTGCACATTCAATATAGAATCTCCTTCTCCCAAACCTCTGTCCACCTAAGAGAGTAGTTTTGGCTTTAAAAATATTACATTTAGTTTGTATAAGAGGCTAAATGGTTAAGTTTGACCAGTTTAATGTTGATGTGGTCTCGAATTTCTATATTGCTGGGTCCAAGTACCCCTGTTACAAACGCAGTGCTCTCATAGAGGGAAAGTGATCCTCATGATCGAGACAGAGAAAACTTACACATTGAGAAAAGTAAGTTTACATTTAAACCTCAGTGATGTGAATGAGTCAAATCCCCTGGCGGAGATCTCCCGACTGGCTGCATGAATTACAATCAGCAGGTGTACTACAAAGCAGCTTGAGTTAACTTCAGTGTCTGACTGCTATCCATCCACTTTTAGTCTCTTCACCTTAGGCCTGGGCGATTTGGCCAAAAAGATGATCACAACATATTTTGTCGTATCGTCCGATCTCAATTATTATCCCGATTTTTTTTAAACTGCCATTTTTAAAGCATCTGTACTTAAAACTAAAAAATAAATAGATAAATACTAAATAAGACGTTAAATAACTTTTCTTCTCGAAAATAACATCTTTTGAGGATGACTCAAAGTTATGGCTGACATCTATTTTACTGCCCTCAGCTCTACGTTCGGTTACTCTGTTTACTTCTCCAGTAACTTACAGAATTGAGCAGGAAAAGCTCGACTCTGATTGGCTGTTGTGACGCACATTTTCGCCATGTTTGATCGAGTAAATAAGCTCACAGCTGATCACTGTGATCGGACTGAAATCTATCACAGTCATCGATCACTTTCATATAATCACCCAGTCCTACTTCACCTGTTCTAATGGACCGTGGATCCATCATAGTCTTTATTATTGATCAGGTTAGGTTAAAGAATAATAATAATTACTGGTATGTACCAAGGCTGCACGAATAATCGATTTTAAATCGTAGTCGGATTATTTAATTATGACGATGTTAAAAAATTTAAAATTGTCAAATCGATTTTCCTCTCTATCATGTCTCACACCTCCAGGCCGCTGTAGGCACCCCCCGTCCTGCGAGAGCGCTCCCCAGTTTCCACACACACCAGTGTAAACCACCATGGCGTTTGCGAAAGAAGGCGATAATTTCGTGGCTAAATAGGACAAGAGCAAGTCAGTCATGCAAACCACTCCACACTGCAAAGTCCGTCTGAAGGCGTTATCAATCCGTCCACACGGAAACAAATTCAGGAGTAAACACAAAAGTTTTTTGTCGTATCGGTGTTTCATCCACACGGAAATGACATTTAGGGTGACTGTACACGATACTTTTTAAAAATGGATCAGAGAGTGCGTAAATCCCTAGACGACTTTTACGGTGCCTGTGTTTGTCCGGCCTAAACAACCTTTAAACGCATGCTCTGCATTCTTCTTCTGTCTTTTGTGCATTACCTCTGCAGGGTTACAGTGCCACTAGCTTCGCATATGCACTACATCGTTTTTGGTTGTTTAGTTTTGAGAGATGATAGAAACACGTTTTTTTTATATATTTAAAGTGAAGTTTGGTAAAGTTGTCGAGTTTCAGAGAAAAAAATCTAGATTTTATTTTAGCCAAAATCTTGCAGCCCTAGTATGTATTTCTTGCCACTTCAACATGTGATGCACACCTCTGTCCATCCAGTCTGAGCTTTCACCTAGTGCTGCTGCTTCTGCAAAGCTACATGACCCTTGAGCATTCTGCAAGTTCCTGTCATCACACCCACGGATTCAACTACAGAGTTTGCATTTGATGGAAAACCAGAGGCAGCAGAGTGAGCATGTTCAATCATCAGTGTACAAATAGAGCACCTACTCAAGGTGACGAGAGAAAATTAATTTGATTTATAACTTGTCCATAACCAAGAGGGATCTGCCAACAGGGCTGCATATAAGAACTCCATGAAAATAAAGCCAATAACTTAATCAAGTGGATCCATTCTGCTGTGCATGGATTGAGAAAGATGAGACTTGAGGATTGATTCCAGTACTCGATCAGCTGTTTGTAGTATTGAATTGGCTCTTTATGCATACAGAAGACACCATATGCTTGTTAAAAAGCAGCTGATGTCTTGTTATTGGTTATTTTTCATAGATTCTCGTTTTCATAACTCCAGGCCATAGCGCGGCGTATTCTCAAGTAACCCTGGTCAGGCAAAGACTGATCAGGATCCTCCTGGACCTGGGTCGACGCCTCAAAACTCCAAGCAGATCATTTAAGCTCACAGATTTTCTCTTTCCCATCTGATATTAATAGCAGAAACACAGGAGCGACGGCTGACACCAACTCTGCTCCTGGTTACAATTCAACAGTAATGGCTAAGTAATGTAAAAAAAATGACATATCATTGCGTAACGTCGAAGTATGAATAATATTCGGTCAAGCTTAACAACAGAGGCTGACTAAAATGTTCGATGTGTGATAAAAGAACCTTGATCGCTGTAGGTCCTTAGTGAAAAACACAGCTAACGTTAGCCGGACAGCTAAGCTAAGTTAGCTCAGCAGCTAACAGCTCTCTGGCTAAGGTGAGCTCCGCGACAATGATCGACATTAAATCCCCTTCGACACATTTCTTCAAAAATATCGCGATACCCTCACTTGGGTGGTAACAGGTTACTTGGACTGACGATAGAAAAATAAGATTATACTCACTGGGCAGTTTCAAATTCCCAAAGCTCGTCGAGCTGCTCCCACTGGCTTGCGAAGCCCCAGTTTTTCCTGTCGAGCTTCCACCGGCTACTGCTGATCCGGCACCGGCTGCAGCGGATCCGGGAGCTCCGGGAGGCTCAGCGAATGAGCTGGTCCTGGGCCGCCCGCTGCCGCTCATATTTGTGTGAACTAAACCCGGGGCAAGGTTGATGGTTAACAGCAGCCAGAGCGGTAAAGACTTGGACTGTTTCACAGTGTTTCAATAATCGGTATGAATATAAACTAAACTTACAGCGTTCCGTATAGGTTTCCCGTCTCCCCCTTTCTTCCTCTGTAGAACGGTGATGGTGGGGGGACTGGGGAGTTGACGCACAACGACGTAAAGCTGGATAAAGTTGCTGACTTGGAATTGGAACAAGTGCTGTATAGAAATTACAACATGCCAAACAAATTTTTCAAAATTTGCAATATAATAATAATTCTGGGTAAATACCACATCCATAAAAGTAAATGGTAAAATAAAAATCCTTAAATCTTATTTTGCTTCCTTGTCACTGATTAAGGACTCAGGTCTAGAGTCAGAAAATCTATGTGATGATGTCTCTAAATATGTACTGTTGTAACTGAATGAATTATTAATTAGCTAATATTTACATTTGCTGTTTGTATTATTTCCAAAGGCAGGCCTTGCTGTAAGTTTTGTGTTTTTTTCTTTTCTACATTATGTTGTTCTCATGTATGTTATCATGTACATCTGAATTGGACTTGTCTCCCATTGAGAGTTTTGTAATTTGTTGAATATGTTAATAAAAATGTTTTAAAAAGTATTGGGGGAAAAAGTCATAACACAGAACTGAATATTAAGACGGAGTAATAGGGCCACATTAAGGAAAAGAATTAAGACTTTGTCATTAATTTCGAGAATAAAGTCGTAATAAAGTAATTACTGAAGAGAATAAGCAAGTCGAAGTCTTAATTTTCTTAATGTGGCCTTAATACTCCATCATAGAATATCCCCTTTCAACAGGATTTACAGAAATAAACAAATGGTTCTTTAAATAAGAAATGAGAAACCAAGGTCACTATTAAAAAGACCAGGAATCACGTGTGAAAGCCTGATTACGTTAAAGCAATTAAAATATGTCCTTAATGACAGAAACTTGTTGGAGTTGGAAAACCTGTTGCATCCAGCTTTAACAATTCAAAAAGATAAATTATTTTATGATCATTTACGAAATTCATGATGTAAGAAAACATGCAGTTGTGTATACTAAAACTAAATCAAACAGAGGAAATATCTTTACTTTTGTATTCATTAAGTTAATATTTAAGACATTCAATACAAACAAGGAAAAATCTCAAACATATGAATGAATAGAATAGAATAGAATAGAATTTAACTTTATTGTCATTGCACATGCCACCAGTACAGAGCAACGAAATGCAGTTTGCATCCATCCAGAAGTGCTTAGCAAGAATAAACATGTTCACAAATGTACATGCATGAAGGAGATATATACATGAGTATATCACGGGTATATAACATTGTTGTGAATATGCTATAACTATAAGTATGTACAGGCTATGAACAGATTATACATATAGTTATAAATATGAAGACTATAAACAGACTATAAATATAAGTACATGGCAGATAAATTATGTAGTAGTGCAATATTGGATGTACTTACAGTGGTGCAAATGAGGAGCAGAAAGAAGAAAAAACTTATAAAGTCTGCCCCTCTTTATATATAATAATATATTATTAACTAAACACATAATGAAAATAAACAAGAGCTGCAGGCCAACATGCCTTTTTACAGTTTCATTATTTCTTATTTTCAAAAACAAACATAAAAGACCACGTTAATTCACATTTTTCCACAAGACATACATACCAATACTTAGATTAACATATTTCCCTGTATTTACTCAACATACTGGCTTTGACATTTTCTCTTTTGGGATCTTTGTACCTTTTTCATATGTACTATTTGAATCAACTTTTAGAAATGGCATGGTTATTTGAGAACTATATAGTACATAGTGCTTTTTCAGGTTCTGTTGGGTCTCCCTTGAAAAATATTCCGTATCACAAAAAAGTGGAGTAAACTTTCGTAAAATAGGAGCTTTTTGAACAAACGAGAAAGTGTACTAATCTGTTTAAACAGATTGAAAAACTAAAGGTCTAAATCAGGGTTGTCAAATCTGGATTTAAGTCTAATCTGAGGCCCCAACAGGGTCAACATTTAACCCACACTGTCAGCCTCCTTTTCAAAATCTATAACAAAATCAGCAATGATTATAAGCCACATGGAAATTCAAAAAGTGAAAAAGATACATTTAAAGGCAATAGATTAGTTCAAAAGATCAGAACATGATACCAAAAATAGAGCAAATACATGAGAAGAAAATTTAAATTTGTAAGTTTGAAAGGTAAAAATATGAAATCATTTTGAAATCAAGTTTAAAGTCAAAATATGACTTAAAATTTAAAATTGTAATCTAAAGGATTATAATGACACAAATCTAAATACTGAGTTAAAAAAAAAACAAAACAAAAAAAACAACCACAAAATAAAATCTTGAAAATTTAATCTTGAGATGCAAAATTGGAAATATGGATAAAACACAATTTTCTAAGAAAACTACAATACCCATCATAAGAGCAGCACCTTTGATTGACAGTCCATCCGTCCAATCACAGATGCTGAACCGTTGAGGCTACCGCATTGGGCGGAACTTGTTATCACAAGAATGGAGTCGATCGGCGGGCAAACGTTTCATTTCAGGCTTTGAAATGTAATTTTCTCGAGACAGTTTTCAGGTTTCATATCTCCATATCGCAGCCGGTGACGGGGGACGAGGAAAAGACACCGGTTTGTGTGAGGCAACGGCTGCACGAGGGGGGATGTCCAACGAGAGTAAATGAGCGGTGGTGAGGAAAAGAAGGGCCCGCCGTCGTAGCCGGAGAGCTTCGGGGAAAAGTGGGTAGCGCCGCCTGACGGACCGCCCGACGCACCGGGGAGACACCGTCAGGAAACCGCGGTGCCGAAAAACAGGTTTGCAATATCAGAGGGAGCGCCGCCAACAGCTCTCCATACGCCATCACACACCATAAACAAAGATATGAATCATGTTTGAGGAAACTAGACAACGATTAGTCAAGCTCTTCTAGGTAGTGGTCGTGTTATTAGCTGTAGCATTGTGTCGCTAACGGCTTCACTATTATTTTTAGCGGGATTTTTCCAAACTGTGTTTCTAGTTTTTGGGTCTATTATTGTGTAAATTAAGGAAAAGCATATTACTGTTTTAAATGTGAGTAATGCTGTAAACATATATCAGTAATTGTATGTCTACCTCATGACTGCTGTGTAAGCATGGTCAGAGTTACATGTTTTAATCTGTGCATTCTTGTTTTCCACAGGTGGGATCTACCACTGGGTTTCTGTATGACCCTATAAATGTGAAGTAGAAACATCCATCCTCACACACTTTCTTTCATGATACAGCTTATATAAGGCAGACACACACACACAGACACTGGTACCACCATGGCTGAGCAGCAGGAGGAGGTAGAGGGTGTTTATGTGGAGCACCAGTATATGTGCAGTGAGTGCCATCAGCTCTTCAACACCCTCGAGGATGTGCTGATCCACCAGCAGATCCACTCGGGACCGGAGGGAGATGTGGAGGCGGGGGAGACCATGACCATTCACGGTGTCCATGAGATGGGGCAAACCCAGCAGTACCAGTGCCTTGAGTGTGGGGCCCTCCTCATGAACCCAGAGGAGCTACTGCAGCACCAGGAGATGCACATGAGGGAGGTGGGAATGGAGGTGGAGCAGCAAGGTATGAGAAGACTAGATGCAGAAAAACTTCAAGTATGGTGTAACCTGCTCATGATATTATTAACTGAGGTTAGTTTGGATTTGACTGATCCACAGAGCTGTGTGAGGTTTTGGAAGCAGCAGAAGCAGGGACTGGTGTTGAGGTGCCGGGACCTGTCCAGTACCAGTGTCTTGACTGTTTGGCTCTGTTTGACTCACCTGATACCTGGCTGGAGCACCGACGCACCCACAGCAGGAGCAGCACACACAGCAACACAGAGACCATGGTGAGAGGCCAAACACTAGAGAGACGTTAGGAGTGCATCCACCTTGATCATATTCTCGAAGCCTCTTGTTTCTGCTTTATAAAGCAGGATAAGTTTGCTTCTGCTATTTTACTATGAAGGTGGTATTTATGTTTTTATTTTCAACAAGACACACAAGAGCAAAAGCCTATAGGCTGACAGTTATTCTGCATATTCTGACAAGTTGCTTCCTTTCGATAGTGAATAATTCTACACGTCTAATAACTTGAGTGGGTGTCACAGCTAAAAGCAGATATCCTGTTAACAAAACATGTGAATAAAAAAGAGACTTCTTGGTTACTTATTATTGTACTGAGCTACTTTTTAGTATGCCAATGCAGTAACTTTTCATTTTTTGTCTTTTGCAACAGGAGTATGTGCTGCAGCCTGATGGCACTGTTACTCCACTGAACAGTGTGCAGAACTATGTGCTGAGTGAGCAGCAAGCTGGGGAGATATTAGCGCAGGTACTTGGGACTGAAATAACCCCACAATAGAGGAGCAGACACAATTTCTAAACGACAGGTGAAAGGGTATTGGTGTATTATGTTTTCTGAAATATTTTCTGTGTGTATTTTTCAGGTACTCGCCCAGCAGCAGCAGCAACAACTACAACAACAGAAAAAGCACCAGCCTGTCTCCAAACTTACTGTGACCTCCCGTACCGCCCTGCTGCCTCCAGTGACACCAACCCCGGGCTCAGCCACCATGCACCTGCAGATCCTAACAGCTCAGGCTCTTGCAGACAACTCCAACACTCCCGGTCAGCGCCGTTCAAAGCTGCCCCCTCTGCTGCCTGCTGTAGCCCGAAGCTCTGCCGCAAAGCTGGGGGTCCTGGAAAATGGCGTCCAGAGGCTGGAGTTAAGGTTGACCTCCGGTGTTCAGGGCGACACCCAGCAGCAGCAACCAACAGAGGTGGTAGTCATCCACCCTTATGAGTGCTCAGAGTGCTCCCTTCTCTTCCAGACCCCAGAGGACTTCCTCCAGCACCAGGGGGAGCACTTCCTCGGTCAGGACAAAGAGAGCGGGGAGCCAGGTGTCATGGGGGGCTTTGAGGAGGGGCGAATGAGAGAAGAGACAATGGAGAAGGTGGATGACATTCGGGTCAGAGTGGCAGAGAAGAGAGCGGCAGTCTGGGCTAAACCCCAGCAGTGTGAGCTCTGCCACCGCACATTCACATCCGCTAACCGTCTTGCTGCTCATAAGCGTGTGCATGAGCAGGGAACGCATGAATGTCCAGAATGTGGCAAGATGTTCAAAAAGGCAACATCACTGCAGACACACATGCGCACACACTCTGGTGTAGCCAGGTACTTGTGTGTGGACTGTGGCAATGGCTTCACCACTGAGATGACTCTAATCATGCACAGGCAAGAAACACGGAGCTACAACAGCTGCATGTATGATGACAGACAGTGACGGCTGATGTGCACATCTGACTCTCCTTCTTTTTCTTTTGATTCCTTGCAGGAAGTCCCACACCGCAGAGCCCCTACACAAGTGTCAGTTCTGCAACAAAACCTTCACCAACATGACCAAGTACCTCTACCACCGCAGAACCCATCTCAACAGAGATTTATCCAGCACATCCACGTCTGTCTCCAGGGTAGGAAAATATGAATTAACATTTTTTTCCCAACATTGTTATTTTAGCTCACATTGTTGTAGCTCTAGACTAGAAAAACCTTCATAGCTTGATGTGACCTACACCTGTATTCTCTTCTAGGTCTCAGCTCGAAGAAGAGCTTCTCTCTCGGCTCTTGCCATTGTGCAGAGAGCGAGAGAGAAGAATTCCCACACTGCTGAGGCAAACATTAACCTGCTGGCCCCACTCACAGAGGACGAACTGGAGAAACTGGGAGAAGATTCAGCGCAAGACTCGCCAGGTAAAGCAAGAGAAGGTGAAATGGGAGAGCAGAGGGAGGAAGACAACATGGAGGTGTCTTCTCAGTCTGAAGCAAACACTGAAGATCCCCAACAGGTGGAGATCACCTCAAAAGTGACAAACTCCACCTCCCTGGACAAAACTGGTTTCAGAGTTTCCCCAAACTCTACTGACTCAACAGAAGCCAATCCAACCGCAGCACCTGACAAAGGGTCTTTTTCTTGTCGTTCATGCTCCAAAACCTTTCCCTCCCAGCTACAGCTGGTCCACCATCGAAGGAAGGCTCACGTCACAGAGCGTAGTTTTGTTTGTGGCATCTGCGGTAAGTCATTTAAGAAACAGATCCACGTACGAAACCACATTCGCACTCACACTGGAGAGCGGCCATTTCAGTGTTCTGACTGTGGAAAAACCTTCTCATCTCTGGCCAATCTGATGAGACACAATCTCATCCACTCTGGTGTGCGACCGTACCGCTGTGATGTCTGCCACCGCTCCTTCTCCCAGTCCTCTAACCTCCGTCAGCACAGCCTGCTGCACTCAAACACTGCAGTGCTGAGCTGCCCGGACTGTCCTGCCACCTTTCACTGGCCCACCAAGTTAGCAGCCCATCGTTACACTCAACATCCCGGTGCACCAGCCCCTTTCCCGTGCCCTCACTGTGAAGCTGGCTTCTTGAAAAGAAAGCAGAGAGACAGCCACTGTTTGGAGCAGCACCCTACACTGGTGCAGGCAGGCTTGGGGGCACATGTTGCAGGAGAGAGAGACAGCCAATCAGAGGGGGTAAAAGATATGACCTCAGAGCCCTCCACCTCGACAGCCGAAGAGACAGAATCAGGAGACCCAACTAGTCTTTTACGAGGAGGTTTAGATTGCAACATTTGTGGGAAGAAGCTAAATTCTCCTGCTAATCTGCGGCTACACAGACTCAGCCACTTTGCTTTAGGTCCTGGACGGCCACGTTGCACCACAGGGAAGCGGCCCAAAGCCCACCAGTGCCCCATCTGCGGCAAACTGTTTGTGTCTTCTTCAGGGGTTGCACTTCACCAGCGGGTCCACACTGGTGAGCGCCCCTTTCCCTGCCAAGTTTGTGGCAAGCGTTTCCGTCAGAACACACACTTACGGGAGCATCTGCGCACACACTCCGGGGAGCGTCCATTTCGCTGTGAAACCTGCGGGAAGGGTTTCATCCAGAGTATGCACCTGGCCGAACACCGTCGGACACACACGGGAGAAAGGCCACACATGTGTCCGCAATGTGGCAAAGCCTTCAAGACTTTCTCCAACCTGAGAAACCACAAGAAGACCCACGCCCGGCAACAGAGGCTGGATGAGGAGGCTGCTGCTCAGGCTGTGATGGAGAGCAGCGCCGCAGTGGCTGTGGTCGACCCTTCAACAATGGAACTGGCTAACGGTCAGCCTCAGGTGATCCAGATCCAAGCCTCGGATCTTCAGCAGGTCAGAAATGTTTGTGATAATCAAAAGCTGATACAAACTCACATTTTTGTAGTGGCTAAATAGAGCCCTGTGTGAGCTAACGGTTAAAGGTCTTAGTAAGTTTAACTCAGTTGAAGTAATTCTGCACTCTGTTTCCTTCTCTCAGGCACAAGGTACTCCTACCATCATGTGTAATGAGTTTGGTGAGACCATAGCCATCATTGAGACCAGTGAAGGTGGAGCACTGCCTTTGGAGCAGGCCTTGGAGATCTATCACACAGCCCTGGAGAACGGTCTTGCCATGGATACACTGGATGGACTGCAGCTCCTCTGAGGAAGTTTACAACAAAAGCATTATTCTGTTGCTGATCGGATGAGTTGTTCCAGGTCTAATCACTGCCTAAGACAAGGTGTTCGGTAAATGCAACGACTTACGTGAGCTGAATAATTAAATACTGGACACATCAAGTTCATCAAACAGACCAAAGTATATCAACAAAGCTCGAACGGGGATCAGTATCAAAAGCTGTTTTTGTAATTGGCATTCATTAGGAACAAGGACCAACAGATGTGCCTCAGATCATATTTGTATGATTAATTTTATCATTTATATGAAACAGACATGTTCATTTTCTTGTGTTTGAAGACTCAGTCGGCTGTTGACATGTTCTGTCGTAAGTATGTGAAATCAATAAATGTTTTTCTTTTTTCAAGATGCAACCCAGAGTATTATTCAATGCACCTAAACAGGTAAACTCACCTGTAATTCAAACACCGAGGTATACTTCAGATATTCATTTACTGCTGTTAGAGTTGAAGATCAGGGCAAAAAGGTTAGCATGAACAATGTTGAAAGAAAAGTCAGATTTTTCACATTGCGAGTGATAGATCACTTTCATTGAACATCTATTTTTATTTGCATACTGAAAGTTACAGATACAAACTTAAATTATTCATAGAAATTCCTCTCTTGTATACTGGAACAGCAGAACAAGGAGTATAACAAAAAAAAACATTAATAGCTATATTTATCGTTTTCTCCATTTCATGTGTTTCACTTTCAGCAATGGTTGTCTTAAAAGTCAACTTATGTTCGATGACATATTTTTCCTTATCAATAATATAATGAGTCTACAGACTCTACAGTAATTATTTACAACACAACCAAGTCTTGCACAAAGACACAACCAGTTTAAGATCCTACCAGCTCTCTTGTTTTTTCTTTTTTTTTACCCCCCTCACTTCCCCCAGTTTTCTCTCCGCCTGTCTAAAAAAGGTCTGGAGAGAGCAATAAAGTGACAAAGGGAGGAAGGAGGGAAGAAAAGAGGCGGAGGAAAGAGATGTACAAGTGTTGATAATATAGAATTGAACTAATGGAAGGACAGAGGCATACAGGGTGGTCTAAAACAAACATACTGCTCATTACGGTTGAAAGGAAAAAAAGGTCCACATTGTGTTTGTCTTCTTAGAAAGTAACAGTTAAAAAAAAAAACTGCACCGCAGGTCCTTGCTGAGGTGAGAGGCCAGTCATGGGAAGACTACAATGGAGGAACTGCACTGGTGTGGAGCAGTGTCTCACCTGCCTTCAAAATTATACGGATATAAAAAAAAGTACAAGAAATCAAGAGCTGGCAGAAAGAGAAGAAACATCTGCGAGCAATGAGAACAAAACAAAGGGTCAAGGTTCACTGCAATGATCTGAGTAATAATAACCGTAGGAATAGTACAACAACAAACTGAATATGACAATGTTAAATACAAATCAAATTATTTAAAAAAGTTAATAAAACTGTTTGGCAATAGAGGGTTAAGGCTTAATCAGCCTGACCTCTACAACTAAGAGCCAGGATGTGCCCGTTGACTCTGACCCTCCTCTGTCCTTCATGGCTAGCGAATGAGAGGCACAGGAATGCTTGGTTCCTACCTACTGGCATGTGCTAGGGTCAGTCGTGAGGAGAGAGGACTTGGCCAGACAGGTAACTGCAGGAATGATGGCACTGCCAGAAGTCCACTAAAGTTTCAGTCGCTCTCCGTAGACCTCCCTCGAAGGTCTACATGTAAGAAATAAAATGGAGAGATGGATCCTACCAGGTCCGAAGGAACAAGTCATCTTGTCAAATCAAACTGTTTCTTGCTTTTGAGGGCCCAGCCCCCTAATGTCAGCAGAAACATGACAAGCTGAAAACAGGTAGGTCTACACACAGCTTGTTCCTCAAGCAGATAATTACAGCTTTACTCCTTAACCCTTATTAAAAACAAATATTAAAACTGATGACTTTTCACCTTCTCTGAATGGTAGGCTGGGAAATCTTTCTTCTTCATGTCAAATGAGTGCAGCTGTACACAATGGTCCTTCCTTCACTGGCATATTTGGGAGTTTTCTCAAAGATGATTAATACAGAGTGCGAATTCAAGTGTGGATTTGAGAATTTGTGTATGTTTGTTATGCGGTGGTTTTAGTGCCACTGGTTTTCATGTGTCCTTTTTTTTGGTTTAGGGGTCACACATTGCAAAATAAAAGTCCCAACATTGCATACAAACATCTCTCAGTCTCACAGGTTGGCTGCTAGGAAGGGAAAAGAAACCATGATGAGACCAGAGGAGAGTTCATGGTGGATAAAATGTCTTTTTTTTAAAAGCATTTAAGGGTTGCCAAGGTATGACAGACACTGATCGGTCAACATCCCTCATCTAGAGGAGTCTTGTGAATCACGTGGATCCTCTGGGCTCCCCTCTGCCCCTTGATCCCCTTCATCATCCTGCAGGTCCCCACATCCTCTCATTGAACCCTCTCCTGATTGGGAACCTGAAGGTCCAGGACCAACTGAGTCAGAAATGCCCAAACCAGGGGCATCAGAGGGAGCAGCCGTCTGCATGATCTTCTGTCGGACCTCTCGGATCTTCAGCTGCAGACACACTTTGGTGGGAAAAATATCAGAGTATCTCGTCTGGAAGGCTGCTGTGGCTTGAGCTGGGTAAGGGAGTAAGAACATGAAGCAAGTGAATAACCAAAGACCTAACTCATGCAGAAAATGCTTTGACAGATCACGAGTGTGCTTGTGTCGTACCTGACGGAAAGAAGCCCTGCTCCTGAAACAGCTGCATAACCAGTGCTCTCCTCTGGTCCAGGGTTCGTCTCAGGGAGGAGTACGGCACCTTGTCAAACTCCAGTTCTGCCAAGATGTCTTCTCCATCTGGGGCTGAAACAATGACAGCATGGAGGTTAAGATGTGAGGAAAAAATATTTCAATATAAATGTTTGATTATAGTTTTTATTTGGACCTTTTCATCAACAAGTCAGTCATTTCTATGAGGCACGAATAACATAAACTCAACTGAGTCCTAATAACGGTTTGATGCTACATAGGGGGATTTCAATCGTTTAAAGAAAATACCATGACATTCAGTGATTAAATCTATAGTTTTGTTTTTCTCTATTTTTTTAAATCACTTTGCCTTTAAGGTTATTTATCCAGCTGCCTATGTCTTCTGATATTTACAGCTGAAAGAAAAGTGTATTTTCATGTACCATGCAGATATTGGCTGCCTAGTAAGTCACCTGAGAATCTTATGGTTAGTAAAATTATCTCAGTTGAATCCTGTACTGTTGTTCTTCATAAAAAATATCCCCTTCAAGAACGTCACTGTAGTCTCATCGTTTGTGTTTTACCTGCTCTGTCAAAGGTGAATATGTCTCCTTCACACTTTGCGGCACTTTTGGGTGTGTTTGGCTCCGAGCTACAGCTTGAGCGCCGCCGACTCTTTCGCTTTGGAGAGACTTGATCATCAGTGGCCGAGTCCAAATCTAGAAGAACACAGAAACACAAATCAAACCCATAAACCTACTTGAGATTTACATAAAATAAATCTGAATCATGCAATTAAGCCTACACTTTGGGTAGAACCCTGGACAAAGACCTGTTTTAAAATCTCTAATAAATCACTGTAACTAACTTTCTCTACTAAAAAGCATTAAGTTGATGTAAAAATGCAGAATGGGAGCAAAACCTGTAGAGTTCTTCCTCTTGCGGCGATAGCTGCCCAGAATGGCGCGAGGTGAAGTGGCAAGACTTTGCAGAGTGGGTGAAGGCAGAACTTCTTCAGGCCGAAACTCTGGCAGCTCAGCAAAGCGCTCCTCAAAGTACACCTCCGACAGCACCCTGCCAGACCAGCAGACACACACACACAGACAGTCCACAGTATATATACACCGTCCAGGAGTAATCTGCAGGACCTTAGACAGAAGATTCATAAAGGTGTCAACTCACTTGTCCACAGAGTCAAAAGTCTTCTTCAGCGGCGGTGGGCGGGATTTGACCTTTTTGGGTGTGGGAGCATCTTTGTCAGCCTGTGGGGGAGGAAGGGTGGAGTCTGTGGTTGATGGAGGAGGGAGAGGAGAAGAGGGGAGGGATTCCTTCCATCCAGCCTGCACAGAAAACCATAAAGACACCATGTGTCAGTGTTTACTTCTAAGTTTCTCATCAAATCCAGAGTTAATGTGTTATTGCCCTCACCTCTTTGGTTGTTGTGCTTTCCCTGCTCCGTGTGTCAGAGGAGTCTGCTGCACTGGAGCCCTCCAGTGATCTTTCAGAGGGTGGAGGCTCCTCAGCAGGATGTGTTGATGGAGACCCTGACTGCCCTGCAGCCTCAGGTTCAAAGGAGAAATGACTGGAGGCAGCAGCTTCTCTCTCCCTCTCCTTCTCCCGCTCTCTCTCTCTCTCCCTTTCTCGCTCCCTCTCTCTCTCTCGCTCCCTCTCCTTCTCTCTTTCCCTCTCTTTTCCTCGGCCTCCTCCCTCATAGCTGCCCACCGGTATGTTGGCCACTGTTGCCTTCACTTTTTGAGGGGTTCTGACGGGAAGCTGGGTTAGTTTGGGTGTACCTGGTGTACTTCCTGTAAACATAAAACAGTTCATTATGAATCGACAGAATGCAATGAATCATACTTGTGATGTAAAATATTTAATAACAACAACTACCAGGTGTTTGGGTCTGAAGTGGAGGACTGCAGGGCCTTATAGACAAAGCTGAACCACTGGGAGGCGCCACTGAGCTGTTGGAGAACTGCGGCTGCCTCTCCAGCTGTCTGTCAGAGTGCACGAGCAGTTCTGTCTGTCTCTCAGCCTGTCTGTCAGTCTGTCGCTCTGCAGGTCTGTCCACGGTCAGGTGTCTGTCTGCCTGTCTGTCCGTATGGAGCTGCGGATGTGGGTGCGTGACTGCAGTTGGGGTTGTTGTGTGTTTGGACAGGATGTGAGGGGAAGCGCTGGAGGGGCTGGAGACAGAGTAGACCACGCTGGGGGGTACCGCTGTCATGGAGACCACCCCTGTTGCCATGGTGACGCTGGGGGAAGGAGGGTAGATGGCGGTGACTATCTGGCCGCCGGAGCCTGAGGCAGAAGCTGAGGTGGAGGGCGATGGAGACTGAGCTGTAGCTAGGAGTGGAGGCTGACCTGGATCAAGGAAAGAGGCCATGAAAGTTAGATTTTTTTTTTTCAATCATAAATCCAGCATTGTCACACGAGTACTGCTTTCTTGTCTTTTTTATGTATTAGCAGGGACTGGCCCATGCACAATTATTTTTTTCATAGTACTTAACTATTCCTAGAGTAACTTTGTTGGCCTAACTGCAGCTGGTACTGAGACTTGGTCATAAAATCACACCAAACCAATAACAGAAATATTTTTAAAACAGATAGGAGTGTTTGACAAATGTAGATATTTGTCAAAAATCAAAATAAGGAACCACTTGTTACAGTAGTGTTCATAAGTTTTAAAGGCTAAAGGAAAACACAGAGCTATACTGCTTCAGTAACTTAAGAGACCTAATCTTATACAACAGTCATATTTACTCTGAGCAGGTTTTGAGTGGATACAGTGTTCAAATAAAAAAAATGGACTGAGTGAAGTATACTAAAGCGGACTATTCGAACACTGACTACTAAAGATTTTTGAATTTGCTGTTTTTGGACACCATCCACCTACAATTTCTTTAAAGCCTCAAGGCAATATAATTTTTTTTTTCATTTTTTTGTGAAAGATTTTTGAAAACGAGACATAAAAATGTTTTATGCGGTGTAAATCATAAACCTGATATTAGAGGATATGTAAAAATCACTAAGCTAACATACAAAGTATGGAACCCATGTGTCTCTCTTCTCCGCACAGACCTGCAATCAGCGGCTGTACAAGCGTCTGTCCAGGTGGTGCGATGGCTGTGAACCCAAGAGTTGCCAAGGGTGATGGAACATATGCAGATCCAGCCACTGGAAGGGCTTGCTGGGTGGTGGAGGAGCCTGTTGTTGTGGAGACAAGAGGCAGAGTGGATGGGACCCCTGGAGTGGACTGGACGTAGGTGATCCTGGGGAGGAGACAATCAAAAAATTGGAGGTGATTACAGGAGGGAAAATGAAAAACAAACGAACAAAAAAAGGAGAGAGGGAAATGGAAAGAAGAACATATGTTTGAGAGACAATAAATCACGACAGCCCCACAAGAGGTGACAGCAGGTGTTGAGGTACAATAATGAGCAACAACCACAATGAAGGGAACAGAGACATGATTAGGAGGAAAGAGGAAGACAAAAAAAGAAGTGCTGCAGTGAGGGTCAGGGGGTGAGTGTACATCACAGCAAGCAGCACAGGATGACTAGTGCTGTTTGTGTGTGTGTGTGTGTGTGTGTGTGTGCTAGGAGCTAAGAGGTAGTGTGGGGGTGGCAGGCAGAGGCAACTTGGGCCACCAGCAGCATGACTAACAGATCCAGAATAGAGCTGCACTGCTACAGCTGCACCCCTGTCGGAGTTTTTGTTTCTCGTATTGTCTGCTCACTCTGCTGTAGGACAGAAACATACAGTCCATATGGAAGTCTCTGCCAAAGGAAACAATGCAATTACTTAGATCTCTTCTTATTTAATTCAATCCATAACCTACAGAAGAGAGACATATTTATTCACAGTTAATAGAAAAATATTTCTGTTATTCGTAGTTATTTTATTCGTAGTTACTTAACAAGAAGGTCCCGCTGGAAAGGTATTAGATCTGTCTATTGTGGTTGTATAAACCTTTCCTACAAAGGCTGAAAACAGTCATGTGCATTCAACTTCGATTTGCTCTCTATTTAGAGCTGAGTACACAATTTCTGCAGATGGTAACCTAATTGATTTAAGTCAAAGGATGGTTGCAGGGGAGTTATCTTTGGTAAGTGGTGCTAGCAATTTTTTCCTAGACTGTGAATCACTGCAAGTCCCATGAGTGGCTGCTGTCTAACATTCAGTGAGGGAAAGAGTCATGTATTATGAATTATTTGCTTCAATAGAGAGCACAGCAGCAAGAAGATGAAGCTCTAAATGGGTCCATCTTTTAAAGATATTTATTCAAGAGTATAACACAGACCATAAAAACGGCTAACCTTATCATTTTTTACAACAAGCTGTTATGTGGAAATACACTAAATGAACCACTCCTGCAACCACCAGTATCCCAGGGTGGGGTGAGTCAGGTTAGCTTCTGTTCATTAATGCAGCCTGTTTGTCAGATGTTATTCTAGCTTTCTGGTTTATAATTGGTTCAAAGCCCTTCTCGGATATCTTGGCTGATATCTTGGCAGCTACTTGTGAAGGTATAGCAAAGATGAGTAGGAAAGCAACATGATAAAGGAGAAAAGCCCCTGTATGAAGAGCTCTCACTATTTTGTTAGTGATTTCTGATATCTTTTCTATTTTTCAGGCAAAGCATTTCATTGGATTAAGATATAAGCAGCTGGCATAAAGGGCGCTAAACCATCAGGGAAAATTGGCTGATTTGTTTGATCATTGGGAATTTCTGAATTTTTCTTTTTACATTGTTGCACCAAAGGGCAAAGATCAAATTCTTAATTTTATAAGAATCTCATCTCAAGTGAGAACTTCTCTTTCAAACTTGACCTGGAGCAGTGTTGCAGTATTTCAAACAGATTCCCTCATACACAAGAGTTAATATTCATGGTGGAAGAATTGAATACATTTTCACTAGTTTCAAATGAGAAGAGAACACTAGAAGTTTGATTGACCACTGATGCAAACATGACAGCAACAACTGACAGTACTCTAAGCATGACTAGCTGAAATCATATTATGTAACTTTCAATACAAAGAAAACCGAACAAACTTCTGTTTTCCAAGAAAATCTGCGCCCATGTCTAACACCATTTAATTCACAAATGAAACCATAAGAGCAAAGACATACATTCAAACATCTTGATTTACATCACCCCCTATTATAAACTATACAAGCATGCAGATGAATGAGCACAACTACAAAGAGTCATCCGATTCCATTTTCATTTACGTGTGGAACCAAGCTTTGAACAATAGCCTGTTTCTATATTTGGAAACCACTTAACCAACAGCAAGACCGTATAGCAGAGCTTGTAAAATCCATGGCAACTTCCTCTTAGGACTCAACAATTTACCCATTGTTCACAGCCTGATACCTTGTTATCTTCGAACAACAAAATCATTTCGTTCTCAGATGTTACGCTGACATCCAAATCACAGACTCACCTACTGTACCTCCAAGATACAACACGAGAGTAGAACACAAAAGAACATATTTCACATGCCTTTTATCAGTGCTAAGTAACCACTAAATAACATGGTCACATGTTATTTTTACATGTATACAGTCAAACCTGAGGTGAGATCCACTAATCACATTAGACTAATAACCTCAACATAATTAAAAACAAATGAAAAACTATCTGATAGCAGGAAATGTAATGACGACTGAAACTCACTATGCACACATTAAACACTCTTAAGTACATGGCAGTGAAGATACAACACATTTAATAACACATCTTTCTGTTTCTTGTACAAATACAATCTCGAAGACCTTGTTTGGTTTCAAATCAGTTTAACTCTAAGTGAATTACAAACCATCAAGATCAACATTGTACACAGTGTTCCAACTTTTTTGGAACTGAGGGTGTATGCTGAAGGAAAATCAAATAAAGTATCAATTTAATAAAAAAATGTCTCTGTCAGCACCATGCCTAAAAAAAGGGTTTCATGAAATGACGGAAAAGCACTAAATAATTCTGTCAGTACGGATGATGAGTTGGCAAACTTTTTGGCTCTTGGTTGTGTGCAGCACTCACCACCTCAGCTACACCATAAAGACACAGTTGCTTGAACCAGCATATGATATAGTACTCCTGTTAATATGTATGTTTATTACTGACCAGATGTTATCAAGGTGGTACAATGGCACAATAAAAAAAAAAAAAAAAGTTTTCAAGGAGGTTTAAAGAGGTACAGATGAATGTTTCTTACCTGGTAGGTGCTGGTGGCAGGAGTACAGCCTGGGAGTGGGCCGAACCTGGAGCCACTACAGCTGCTGTGCCCACAGGGAAGGGGCTGGCAGGATGGACTGCTCCTCCTTGAGGCAGCTGGGATTGGACAACAGGCATGGGAGCTATCTGGATGATCTGGGGAGGGAGGGAAAGAGGCAGCCATAAAGAAAAGGAAACCAACAATGTAATACAACAATGTAATAATAACAGAATGGCTGGTCTAAGTGGTGAGATTTGTTTTTCTTGTTGTACTTGGCAGTACAAAGACGTATCAGTTCATGAGTTCTCATTAACTTCTCAGGTGTAGTTGCTCACTGACCTTGCTCCCAGCCTGAGCACCGTTCTGGACAGGAAGAGGTGGAGCCACAATGGGAAACTGTTGGGCAGGGGCTTGTGCTGTCCGCACTGTTGCCATGGGAACAAGCATTTTGCCCTGCAGGACTGGAGACTGTGTTTGCACTACAGGCAGAAAAAAGGGAAATGGACTTGCTAATCGGAGTCACCAGAAAACGATAGCTGTAAGTATTTAAGGCTTTGTCACGACACAACTCCTCTAGAAAACTCACCTCGAGTCCCCGGGCTGACCATTCCCACCGCTGGACTGGACGTATACCCTGTCAGTGACCCTGCACCTTGCTGCTTTCCATTGGCCAGGGACGTATGTGAGGGTGGAGCTGTGGGCAGGTTGAAGACACTAGTTGGCTGGCTGAGCTGCTGAGGTGGACTCTTGGGGTGGGTGCTGGCAGGTAGGGTGGGCAGGATGTACTGAACTTGTGTGATGGCCTTACCCCCAGGGGAAGCAAGGGAAGAGGCGGGAAGGAACTGAGGCTGAAGCAGGGGCAGAGGCAGGGGCCCGTTGGTTTGGCTATGTGGGGCTGAAATAGCAGTGGGGGGGAGTGCCTGTTGCTGGGAAGGCTGAGGGGAGGGGGTGATGAGTTGCACAGCAGGTTGAGCAGAAAGAGCTCCCCCTAATACCAAGTTAGTCACTACGCCACCAGGACCCATGCCTGTAGCTACAGGATTAGGTGATGATGAAGAGTAGTACCCACCCCCAGTGGCTGTGGCCACACCTCCTGGCCCTGAACCAATCAGAAGTTGAGGCTGCTGCTGGGGTGTCAGGGACTTCCTCTCTGGTGGATGTGGGCTGGATGAAGTGCCTCCATCTCTAGGTTTGCTGGCAATGGGGAGTGGTGTGCTGATGATGGGGCGCATTACATTGGTCACCACTGTGGAGGCCACCCTTACAGCACCAGTGCCCAGGAATGGGTTTGTTCCACTTGAGCTTACTGATGAGGACGGAGGCCCCCCGGCTGGAGAAGTGGAGATAACAGACTGGCCAGAGGAGAGGGAGAGGGAAATGGCTTGCATTCCCCCACCACCACCATCTCCCCTAAATGTGTCCTTAACCTCTCCGTCTCCTCTTTCTTTCCTCCTGTGATCTGAAAACCCTCCACCTCCAGATCTCCCTTCATCATAGCGCTTGCTGGTGGGATAAGAGGACAGTGAGACACTCCTGCCATGAGGAGGGTGGTGTGAAGAAGATGATAATGTAGAAGAGCAAATGACTGGAGCAAAAACTCTCTGGAAAAGAAGACAGATTGGTGGAATAAATGACTCGTCTTTGAGCACAAATGATAGATCTATGAGGTGATAAAAGCATCAGTTAGTCCAGTTACCTTCCGATCACTTTCGTCCCCTGAACCGTTCTCACTGTCGCTGTCAGTCACCCGCTCCTTACACTTAAGGTCTATGGAACTGCTGGGATAAGGATCCTCTGTGAAGTAGAAAACAACACTACAGCTACACTTGATATTCCATGCAACATATGATTCCAACTTAGTGAGGTTGTACTTAGAGACTGAACCAGCTCTCATTAATGTCAGGTCAAAAATCGGACATAAATAACACAACCACATCAATGTGATTGACAACAAAACCTCCTAACAGCTTCACTGAGTCTGACAGTGATGAACTAGAGAATCGTATTATTGTATTAATACACAGAATTATTACTTCCTATTGTTTTTTGTTAATGATCATTCAATTGGATTTCAATGAGTAGTTGCCATAGAGTGGGTCAGTAATATAAGAAGTGGTACAGTAACACTTCAGTGAATCTAATACAGCATTTGGATTTCTCAGCAGAGAAGGTCTGGTTTCTCACCAATGACATCATCATCTCCCTCTTCCTCACAGATGACCATGCGCTCTTCATCACTGGTCATATCCTCGCTGACGCCCCGCTGAGACTGTGACAGGGGCGGGGCATGACTGGAAAACTGACTGCCACCATCCCCACACATCTAAATGTTAGAGGGAGATTGCATTCAGAACAGAGAAAATGATCCACAGCTTTCTTTTAATATATGCAGTTATATCAACGTATATAAAAAAATAATCATCTTCAGGTCTATGAGCTATGTTCGCCTCACCTGTGCCAGTTCTGCCAGGGCCTGTGTATTCCCCCTGTCACACCGCTCTAGGCTGTGCATAGCGCTTTGAGAGAAGGCTCTAGGGCGGGTGAGTTGGCTCACATGACCTTCTCCTGTACTCCTTTCAGACACACCCACCAGACCTGGGACAACCCCCTTCAACTCCACAGAATGGGGCTCTGTGGGGGGGGGCAGACAAGATGACTAGTCAATGACAGGATGATGACAATATGGCAAATAAGACTCAACGTTGTTTATGTTCTTATTGTGTGATTCTAGAGCTAAATGAACTGACCTGTAGATTCAGACATGCTCCTCTCTCTTATGTCTTTCCCCCCTGGGACCCCACGGCCTTCAGAACTGGACTTCTTCCTGTCTTTGTTGCACCACTTCCAGTCTGGGTGGGCCTTAAAGTGGGCCTCTTTCACCTGAGCACAGGAGGGGGGACAATGAAAGAGGAGAAGTTTTACCCACTACATGTCTGCACAAAAGCACATTTCAGGAGTTCACTTTTGACTGAAAATGTGTCACTGTACCTGGAAGGCCAAATCATGGTACTTCTGTTTCTCCTTTGGTCCCAGAGCATACCACCACTCTCCCAGGATTTTGCTAACTGTTCTATTGTCTTGGTTTGGGTGCCGCTGGTGCACCAGTGCTCGATGGCGCTTACTGAAGATCATAAATGCATTCATAGGTCGCCTGATATGGTCCTTTTCCCTCTGCAAGTTAAAGATATTATCAGGCATATTCAAAATGAAGTTAAATCAATGTTTTAGGATTTTGATGTCCTTGTGAAAATGGTGAAAAATTACCTTTCCAGGGCTGCTCTTGTCTCCATCTTTGGGCAGTGCACTGAGAGACTGAGTACGTCGCTTTACTGGTGATGTAGAGAGGGGTTGCTCTGGTACAACTCCTGGGAGGAAGCTGAGGGGAGAAAAAAGCCCTTGTTGATGTAAAAAAAGACAGTTTTCAGACATAAGTAAGACACTTCTTTAAATATTGGAGAAAAAATATCTACACTATAACTACACTTATTTATCTTACAGCTGCAAGTCTATTGGGTGTAGATACAGAGCCCAAGTAGTTCAACTCCCATGAGATACATCAGCAGATTCAGCAGATAGCTCATCCATTTCAATGCCTGACAGCCTGGCCACTGCCTTTCATATAGTGATAGAGCCCAGAGATGGAATGCTTTTGTTCCCATCTGCTTTGTTCTGGCATTGAGCTCTTCTGCCCAAATTAGCGTGAGGATACAGAAAATATCACACTCCCTTACTGTATGTGTGGGTACACAGTACCACACAGAAAATTACTGCGAAGGCTGACTTGAACAATACATAACCACTCTTGTAAAAAACAGATAAGAGAATATGCCCAACGGATTTCATGATTCTTTGACATTTTTGCATCCAAAATCTCTAAAACATGAATTCTGCACTTACGGGTCATCCACGTCGCTTTCTGTCTCACTGTCAGGCCTCTCCCTCTCTGCTTCTCCTTTCTCCTTCTCTGGAGGTGGTTCATCAGAAGAGGGGGGAGGCCTGGACAGGGAACCCCTCTCTACTGTGGGAGGTGCCTCTGCAGGCTCTTGTGACAGAGCTGCCACCCCCTGACACTCTATGGAAGAAAAACAAAGAGATGTTTGTTCAAAGCAGAGGGAATAAGTTACAGTATTTGAAGCAGGGATAACATTCAAAAAGAAAATGAATATCTTGAGAACGTGTCCTCCACAGCCATGAGGTCAGGCTTGAGCTTAATCAGTACCTGACTTCAGACTGGCCGATTGAGGGTGGTTGACAGGGTGCTGGCCTTCTGCAGGCTGAGAAGAAGCATCTGATTGGGTAGGTGCCAGGAAAGGGACCAATGAATGCCAGGGGAAGACTGGAACTGACCGTGGCTCGACATTGGTCCATACTGCAGAAGAAAACAGTACTGTTTAGTGCTAACAACTAACATTTTTGCATCTAAAACAATTTCCTGGCCAGATATCACATTCAAAGAACAAGATCCTCTTGCATCTAGATGTCATTTCCTTATTGGGTGACAAAGGGCTCATGAGGACAGACTAAAATTTGAAGTACATTCCTTTTTTTTTTTTTTTCTGCTTGTTTATTAAGACCACTTGTCAAAGTTTTTTTTTTTTAATTCATGTAGGATGAAAGAATTACAAATACGTAGTTATAACTCAAGGATAAACTCAATGCAGTCATCTACCTCACAGCAGAAGTAGGTAATATCAGTGATACATGAACTGTTGAGGATATCAAGACTGCCACAGTGGTCCACCTTAAATCATTTCACTGGTTAGATCACTCCAACCACAGCAGATGTACAAAAGGACTCTCTGTTCTCAATAACAGACTGGATAGAGAATCAAAGCTGGTACAATCTGAACCATCATAAATAAACAGGAGACTGCAATAATAGTTGTGTTATTGATTGAGATAATCTCCTTTGAGAGATGCTTTGTCCAAAAAAACTTCTATTAACAAACACTTAGTATATAAGCCTAATCCTATAATGCAACACTTGAGGATTGCTTAGTGCTTTGAAAAGGCAGTTATATAAATACAGCTGTATGTGAACAGAAATGCATTGCACATCAACAACTATGGAAGTGACATGGACTAACCAAACATGCTTAATCCTTGGCGGAGGTACTGAGGATTCTCTGATGAAAACATGATTTAATTAAATCCTTAATGCTTCTCCCAAAATGAAAAATGATATGTCCTTGAAAAAAATTCTCTTTACAAAACTCAATTCCTAGCAGGTAAACATAATCAGTCCAAAATCTCGAGCTGATGTTGCTGGCAGGCTCACAGGTGACGACACGTGCACACAAGCGCCTGTATCCGTTTCACCCCAACAGGATGCAAAATGATTAAATCACCATATACTCGCATGATGGAGGTTTGAAGATGTAGCAAAGAGGTGGGGTCTACTCGGTTTAAAAAAAAGCAAGTAAAATACAAAAACACCACTCAAGTAGAATCCATCCCTCTATTGCAGAATGCCGCAATCAAATATCGCACACGGAATTAACATCAGTGGACAAAATGTACAATAAACGATTGTAATACAATACGAAACTTAAGTTAAATATGTAAAAATGCAATAGTGTGTATACGCCGAATAAAAACGATGATTATGATCGAAGGAAAGGTTCCTCCTCCCTTTGGTCTAATTACCCCCGATGCCCTCTCTCCCTGTTTGTTTACATTACTACAGCAGCTTGGTGGAGAAGGGGTTAACAAGGCCTCGAGCCCATCCACGGCCTGGATTAAAACATCCACCCGAAAACTACGCAGTCTTCCTGGGCCATGTCTATCCTCGCTCTGCGCTACAATGCAGCAGCAGCAGACGGGTGGGCTCTGTTGGGTACCAAAAGCAAAGAAAGCATCCGAGTAGAAGAGCTCCAAAGCTGCTGTAGGAGGGCACCTTATCGATCAGACTATCCAACACTGCAACAAGCAAAGTGGTGCGATCAAAGCTAAGGTGATTCGTCTACTTGTGACTTGGAAAAGGGCGGCGTTAAGAATCTGCTTCTTGTCCGAGTGTGTGGTGTTTACATAATCATCCTGGTTTTGATATTTGCTGTTTCATAGAATAAACAACGGAGGAGACCATTTAGCTGCCTCTAGCAACAATCGGAGCCTCAAGTGCACCACTCCAAACTGGACCAACCTCCCGGTAACGCCCCTGGTTGTGCACCCGTCGCACAGACAGAGGCAAAAGAAACGCAATTTCTCTCATGTCTCAACTACAAAAGTGTGTTGATGCGCATTTGCTGCCAACTATTCTGGATAATACTGGATAACACACTAACACTAATAAATACTAACTTGTTATCCCCTTAATAACACAATGCACCTGTCTTAACCTGACAAGACCGAAGATCACCTAGGAACGGATGGCGAGAAACGTGGGCTTGTTCGTGTTTACTACACATAAGCAGATGCCGTTTGCTGTAAATCTGGTGCATTCATCCATCACCGAGTGCTAACAAGCCCCGCTATCCATCAGTTTGTTTATCACGAGAGCTACCAAACACAGCAGTCTTCACTTAAAGCTGGAGCTTAGCTGACATCTTTTCAGTATAACCAACCCGTTTACTACCTGACCGATATGGCACCACAGACCTGGCGGTTAAGCTAGCAACTGATGAGCCTAGAAACACGGCGATATAAGCGACCACGGCGAGGAAAAACGGGGGGCGAAACGCTGATATATTTTCCTCTCTTATTACCAGAGACAGCCACTGACTTGCCGCTTAAAAAAATGTCTAACTACTAGTAGACACGAACCAGCCAAGAGGAGGCTGTGCGAGAAAGGGTACAGTTACGTTACGGTTAAAGCCGTTGGTAAGGTCCGTCCGTCTGCAGCAGGTTAGCTAGCCTCTCTCTGTGAGTGTGCGGACGACAACGGCGCGCGCACCGTCCGGTTCGGTTAATACTTGACGTTACGAGGGTTGTTTTAGTCCAAAAGAATCCTCGTCTATCATCTTGGCAGGTTCGAGTCCGAGTTTACTCTCTTAATTTCTCCCTCTCTCTCTCTTTCACAAGCCCTGGCCCTTTCTTTTTCTTTCCCTCCCTCTTCCTCTTGTTGTAAACTAGGCTGCTTTGCCCCCCCTCCCCTGTACTCGCCCCCCCTCCTCTTCTCGTCCTGTCAACCTCGCCCAGCCTTGTCCCGCCTCCTCTCTGCAGTATCTGCTCGCCCATTGGCCAATGCAGCCACCTGTCATCTACCCGCCGTGAGAGCTGATTGGTCCGAGTGTGCGCTGGAATGCCAGTCATATGCAAATTTCAGCCGGGTTTACAACCAGCTGCTCTCTCTGCCTCTGAAACTGAGCTCATCTTAAGTATATATTTACGGAAAATAAAAGACAATGGCTTTATTGCATCCGCGTTGAATTGCTATCATGTGTTGTAGTAGTATCTCAAAAATATATACTTTTGTGTTTCTTTCAGTAGTCCCACCCCGTGCTCATGTCATTCGTGCAGGACTCGTAGTAAACCTTGACGGATGCTTTAAACTACGAATACAAAGCCTACACTCAGATGTAGGCCAACCAATTGCGTAACAGACTCTAGACAAGGTCCCTCCCACTTACAAATGTGCTATTAAAACTTTAATACCAACAAAGACCTTCAAATGTAGGGTGGCACTAGTGAGCGCTGTGTATCGTTTACTCACCACAGTGCGTTAGGTCTTTTTATGCAGCTTGCACAGGCAATAGATGCTGACAAGGGTTCTTTGGTCAAGATGACAATGCATAACCAAACCCTGCAAAATAACACTGCATTGTAACCCGGGGTCACATGCAATGTGTGTTATTATCTCTCAAGATTGTATTATAAATCAGAAGAGTTTCAAACATTGGCAGTGCAACACTCTTTGTGTCAAGAACACAGAAGAAAATGGCGTAATTTTCCATCTTTCAAATCCCCAAACATTTTTCCATCTCTCCATCATGCAAATGTGCCTCCTCCAGACAGGATTTTAAATGTTCTGATGCAACACTCACAGGGAAAGGGAGCGAGAGGGAAAACAGACGGCAGAGAACAGTATTGAAAACAGGAGAGTAGGGGTGGTTTTTAAAGAGGGAAAAAGGGTGGAACGGCTAAGAGTGGAGAGGACCAGAGGGTAAAAATAGACTGAGAGTCATTTTCAGCAGGAGAGGCAGGGAGGGAGGGATGGAGGAGGTGGGTAGGTGGGTGGAGAGAAAACAACTTGTGAAAACAGAACTTCTTTAAAAGAGAGGAGGGCCACGGGGGGCACAGATGGGGGAGGCAAAGAGAGACAAAGCATTTGAAGATATCTTCCAGATTTAAAACTGCTCGGTGAGGGAGGTAGACTATATGTTTGCTAGATTTGGTTTCCTGTCATGAGTCAAGAAGTGATGCTTTGCTTAGCTCATCTTTCCATAAGACAAATACAATACTGGGAGGGACTTAATTACTCATCCTGAGCATGGGTGCTACCCAATGAGGTTGTGAGAGCCACTGGCAGCTGCTGTACTCAGCAGTAAAAAAGTTAACCCTCTACATCCTGGGTTTCAGTTTCTCATAGAAAACACCAAACAAATGTCACTTTTGCAACTGTACAGTACAAAGAAAAGGGCAAAATAATCACATTTTAAAAGCATATTTGCATTATGTCAAAGCTTCATCCAAACTCAACTATCATATGCCCTTATCTCCCTTGTCTGTTGCCATCTTAAAAAATGTCTTTCACCATGTAAAAAAAAAAGGGGTCTCAACTTCTTCCATGCTGGGGCATTTCCCCGGCATAAAATAAGGTTAAACCAGTAGGCATTTGAAAACGAGACAGAAAGTAAGAGATTACAGACTTATCAACTGCACTGAGCCCTCAACAAGTCAATCTTGCAAACAGTGTGGTAAGCTGTGGAAGGCTGACAGCTCGGCTGTGTGAGAGGAAGGCAAAGAGGGTGAGAGAGGACAGAGGATAGGGTGGAGAAAAGGGATTACTGTAGCAACTCAATGGTCTCAACCCTGGGTAAACATTACAAGTCACTGTGATGAATTAATGGATCTGACCACTGATTCAGAGCAGAGTGATGACTCTTCCAATACTTTTCCTCAGCCTGGCTTAAATATAACTGAATTCTGGGTGAATTGGCAGGTAGAGCTACATTGACATGTCCACTGATTAATGATCAATCTAATACTTTTCACAGTTTTGAGAAATACATATTTAATTTACCATGTCACTCACTTTTTATAATTTTTTTTATCTTTTGTTTTCTTTGTTTTTCCTTTCTCCTCCCATTGCACTGTTGTTCCATATTGTGTAGTTGTAAATAGCCTTTATACTTTATTGTACATAGCCTTTTATACTTTATATATTTCTTGTATGCTCTTATTAGTTTGTATACTAGTATTTTATATACCTCTCTGTTTAATGTTGCACCATCATTTCGAAACAAAATTCCTAGTCTGTGAATCCTGTTCATTGACAATGGCAATAAAACCCTTCTGAGTTCGGATTTCTGCGTTTTTTTCTTGTAATTTATGACAGTTGTGCCTGCTTATTTGTGGACTGTGAGCTAGATAGTGGGGTTAACACTGTAATAAGAATTTTTTTCCACACTCTAGACTTTGTATAAAGTAAAACAATTGTTCAAATTGTAAAGAAATACATAAGCAGATAAATCAATAAAGTAAACTAATTTTTCTGTTGTTTGTAAAGTGTTAGCAAAGATAAGCCAACTCTCTGTGTTATAAATACTTGTCCAACCCCAGATACAAGTTTGACTGCTGCAGAACAATATGGGCACATATAGATGTTTTCTAAAGTTAAAAAACGCATGTAGAGGGAGGAGGTGAGGTAAGCACGAAACCCTGGTTTGAAACCGCAGCACTTTAGAGCTTAGTCACATAGAACAGAAATAAGTGGTGGAGAAAGGAAAGCATAAGAGAGGTGTGAAAAAACAGCAGAAGAGAAATTCCCCTTAGTTGAGCATAACTATCTGTGCCCGCTGCCGTGCTGGCGGTGCAGTATCTGTGTGTAGGTGTTCAGCAGCTTTCATTGGTTGTCTTCTCTTACGGACATCATGCTTTTAATGTGCATATGCGTGCATGTCTCTGCCTCCCAATTACATCTGTCAAACACGTGACCTTGTGCAGGAAAAGAAACTTTTCCTCCCCCTCTTTACCTACTCCGGCACTATGCAGAAGGAGCGCCGCCTTTGCTCGCTTTCCCATCCCATCTCTCTCATCCCTTAATTCATCTTCCACCCCTGTGCTCAGTGTCTCTCCCTCCCACAACCCACCATTTGCTCTGTCCAATTATAACTCGATCCACCAGTCCTTTGCAGTTACCATGGCAACAGCTATGTTGGGCACAGGTCCCCAAGTCGCCTGCGGTCACAAGTCTGCAACTGACCATCACAATCTGATGCATTTAATTGCATTAGATTGTGATGGTCTATGGTTCAACTATTATACTTATAGTTTTACATAAATTGTGATGCACATATCTAAAATGAAAAAAGGAGATATTCGAAGACCTTGGTCTCTATCAGGTACATACTACAGCTAAAGTTGAAGTTGAGAAAAAATCCATTCAGAACTGTTGCAAAAAATCCGTCATTAGTGAGTATCAAGAACGATTAATCATTTAGCACCGGGAGCAAAGTAGATAACATGGCCCACAAAACACAATTCACAGTCCATATAAACATATGTAGATTTGCTCAATCTTTGCCTCACAGTGAATAATTAACACAGGGGAAAATACATAAACTTCAAACCAGTGTTGAAGACCCAGATCTTATCATTCATTGTGTGAAGGAACTTGTAATGAATATGTTTGGCCATCTGGGGGCACTACTAGCCTGCAGAAAAATGGCCAGCAGACGACAGAAGCAGAGGCAGAATTGTGACTGTGGAGCAGGAGATACAAGGAAAGAAGAGGAAAAGAGTGGGATGAAGGAGAGAGAAAGGAATTCCTGCGCTATTTTAATCTCTCCTTATTTCAAACTTCTGGATACGAGGAACACATTTAGACAATGACCGGCTAAAATGAATCAACAAGATTAAACCAAGATAGAGAGGCAGCAGTTACAAATCTGCGTACTGGTCCAACTTTATGTGTACACATTCAAAGTCTTGGAGGCACTTCAGACTGAGGAGTCCTACTGCATCCGAGCATTTTGAGAATCCCCCAAAAGAATGCTCCACTAAATAGAAAACAGGATTATTGTTGCACATGACTTTTGTGGTAAGTCTTGAGGGCTTCACATACGCTTCGGTGCCAGTCTAGATGGCTGTGTGATCCAGATGTGGTTGTTGCCATGGCCAGGGAGGATATGCAGGGTTTTAAGTGTTACGTAAAGCAGGGGGCGGGAGGGAGTGGGGATGTTATTCCCGGGTATCCGTATCCGGGTAGACCAGGATGAAGAGAGCGAAGTGAAGAGGAGGGGAGGCGAAGCCACTGCAATGCGATGGAGTGAAGGGTTAAAACAAATGTGTCATAATTTTTTAGAAATAAAATAAAAAACGAGGACAAGGAAAGCGGGTGAGACGGGGAGAAAGACGTGTCCAAGTGTAAAATAACAGTGCGAAAAGTGTTTTCACATGTACCGAGGGGAGCGTGACATGTTTACTGTGTTGCACAAACTGCACGTGTATGTGAGCAACACAGCGAGACATTTACTGAGAATCACGTACAATTGATTTGAAGAACTGCTAAATTGTTATTTTGCTTATATAATCATCTACAACTTGAAATTCAGCATTTGAAAAATCCCAAACGTGTCACATGTGACGTAACTGCAGTTTGACTTCGTGGTCATGCATAGTGAGCTGGAGTGTCTGTTGAAACCAAGATTAAGGTACCAGAGCCAAAACACTCATTCAAGACCTCTACAGCAGCAAGGTCGTCGAGTTCATCACTACAAAAAGTACACCACACACTCACTTTGGTCGGTGAGTTCAGAGCTTTTACATTCGGTGTCATTCCTAGTAAACGCAGAAGAAGTAAAATATGTCTTAATAATGACAGTGAAAAAAAAACAAGTGTGGAAATGGCTGTGTTGTAAATATAATAAGTGCGCACAAGATATCTGACCTGGAACAGTTCAGTCTCTGCTTAAATAATTTACAGGAAACCCTCTGATTATCCGTTTCTGTTTGCAGGGAAATGTTGACTATAAAACCAAAGATGCTTTAAGACGGAGCCACAACTAATGAGTTGGTGCGCAAACACATGTGAGCATGCTGAAGTTCCCTTTTCTTTCAGTGAAAAGTGACACGCACACACGCCACACTCTCACACGCACATGTGAAAGCACACACACACACACACACACACACACACACACAAACACACACACGCACGCACAAAAACAGTGGTCGCTTTTTCTATTTGTGAATATTTTGTGTTTGTGTTTTGTACTGGCTACATCAGTGTGATGTTTGCTTTGTTGCCATGGCAACAGACGTTTGGTGCTCACACATCATATCCGGTACCCAATGATTGACGCTTGGTTACTCTGTCTCATACACACACACTGCATGAAACACACACGTGACACCATAAAAAAGAAGGCAGATCTCATCCTTCACCTCATCGCTTACAGTTACTTGTTCATTTAACGATTTTATTACAGGAAGTTGTGGGGACACTTCAAAAAAGGCATTTAATGCACTTACTCATTAGTGCGTGTTTTAGGTGTGAAGGCACAGACAAAGGCTCAGAAAGTACGACGCTTTTTCTTGAAAGTGTGTGTGACAGTTGAGGAGCTTAACAGAGCCGAGGGATTGATGCTTTACTTCTGACTGAATGGATAAAAACAGAAAGCAGGAAAATGTAACCTACATAAGAGAAGAACTCACTCTGCTCAAATTTATTTCTGTATATTGTGAGAATAACTTGAACCTGTTCCTTTTGACTAATATATTGGGATCACTGACTGATCTCACACATTAAGTCTGCATGATCTGAACGACATCAGCGTCCTGAAGAGCAATCTAAAATGCCTTTTTTCAGCTATCAGATATTTGACAGTGACATCAGTCAACCCTCACAAAAGTTTTTTCCTGACCACAAGAGCAAACAGTTCATTTCAATGCGTATTATTTCATGTAATTAAAAAGAGGTAAATTACAGTTTAATCTTAATCTTGACTTTTTAAAACCACTCTGTGTTCTTGAAAAAGTATTATGTAACAGCTAGTTGTCAACCCAGGTAGGAGAATTATATACCATAAAAAATGACCTATCCGTAGATTTTTTACATGGTTTTACAGTGTAAATACTCCTGAGTCACATCTAGTGTGAGTACATCAGTGTGATCAAATTTACACTAAAACTGATCCTTGAAGGCGCACTCTAGACCATATTTATTACCATTATTCAAACATACACATATCTAATATGCAAATATTCTGCATTAAGAAGTGTCCGTATAAAAGACCCCGAGGGATTTACAGTGCCAATTTCTCACTTTTGCTGTTAAACAATTGCCGAGGACTTTAGAGGATACTAATTTGGCAGGATTTTGAAAACTAAAGAACAAATTCTCATTTAAGCAGATGCTAAAATAAAAAGTCAACCTCAAATAAAAACATTCACTCTTCTTTCACATTTCACAAGCTGATAAGAAGACAAACACCCACATCAACGTACAAATCACAAACATACCACGCGTGTGACTGCACACATATGCAGTGTTTCCTACTCTCCCTTAAATTTCACACTCTCCTACGACCATATGCAAACACTCGCACACACTTTCTAACTGCCGAAAGTACACATTTGCTCCTTTAATGCATGCAGACACATATGCTTAAAAAAACACACACACAGATTCACACACACACACACACACACACGCACAGATTCACAAACACACACTGGCAAGTGTGCATGCATTCACACAAAGAGCTGCTATTCATTCATTCATTCAGAGTCCTTTCAGCTGCAAAAAGGGGATCTGAGGAGGGACCGTACACTCAAAATGACAGCACTGCCTTTCCTGTCCACTTCTCTGTCACAGTTTGGAACATCTACACAACATTAGTACGTACACACTCAGGGTAAAATGCCCTTACACTTTACCATCTGATATTACATGTCTAAAAACCAGGAAGCAGGTTCTTATTTTTAACTGATAATGAATAATGCTTTCTCTCTCTCTCTCTCTCTCTCACACACACACACACACAACAAAAACACACACACTGTTTTACTGCAAATTCCCACAGAAGAGCCCGAACAAAAAATTCTTTGTACAACAGACTCAAACTTCTAACATATATTCCACACACACACACACTTAAAAAATAAACCCACTTTTCAATATCAAGTCAGTAAACTGCCCACACCAAGCTTCACTATATCGTCAGATGAGTCACTTATAAACAAACATACACCATCAAACATTAACAGTCAGCGGAAATAGTTTGTAGTGAGTAAGGAGATAAAAAAAAGTCACTAAGGTCAAGAAGTCACTAACACACACACACACACACACACACACACAATTATGAAAAGTGCTTTAGTCGGGCTTTCACAAGAAGGGTCGAATTTCTGTCGTGAGATTTGTACAAAACTTGCAGTTAAATCCTCCTCTTTTCCTCCTCCTTCCACTTCATTTGTCTGAGCTGTCGATCTCTCTGAGGCTTTCCTCATCCTCTGTTTGATCTAATCCCTGTTTTTTACTCTCTCACACTCACAAAATCAAAAACAAGTTAGTAGAAACACTCAACAACTGGCCTACATGCATGTAGCCCACATGTTTGCTTGTGCTTTAAATGTCAATTTCACATTTAGCACTGATTCATCGCAGCGAACAGCCACGCTTCTTCGCTCCTCCATTTTTCTCTTTTCATATCAGATTCCTTTTTGTTAATTACCGAAATCTTGTGTGGCTTTTTTATACGCACCCAAACTGCTTTACTGTGTCTTTTCCATATGCAATAGTTAGCACTGCTACCACTCAACCACTAAGTTTCTCTCTATAATGACTTGAAATATTAGAGACACATATAAATCAACAAAGCTAATCCTGTATAACATACAGTCTAATCCCTATAGAAAACATAACAACACCAATGCATATATGCCCATGCATAAATTTCCCCTTTTTTACTTTCTCTTCCTCACAACCACACACTCTAACATCTGCATGTACGAAAAAATATGCAAAATAGTTTTAGAGCTACGTGACTTATATATTTCTTTGTTATTTACGTCTTAAATTAAACTAAACTCTATTCTTTTTATTCAATTAAAACTTTATTTTTCTAATGACAGTTTTTGGCTCTAAAAAATGAAATCCGATGTATAATATTTTTTACAAAACTCATCATATAAGAGTAGCTCCTCTTCTCATAGTTACGTAAGTGGACAGCATGGATAATCCTTATCTAACAGAGTACTGACAGATGAAACAAGTAAATGTGATGTACACAGTATATTGTTTCTGTCTCATACTGTGATTCCAACAAGCCTGACCTGGTGAATCTCAGGTGCCTTTTTCAGGGCTTACAGGGGTCATGTGACCAGCCTAAGCATTTACTTCAGTGTTATCAGCAGACACGGGGACTCAGGACAGATGACTGAAGCCATATGGGACAACAGCATGCTGGCTAACAGAAGCTTCTTTCACATCAACACACACTAACAGAAGCCACGGCACAAATACACTAAATAAACCGAACTCTGTATTACACTGAGTGTCACCTGCTGACAGAAAAGTGACTATATTATAGTTACCTTTTTTGTTTTGAATGTAGCTGTATATTTTGTGGAAAAAAATGTTTTATTGTTGTTGACTGAATTATAGTTAAGCTGAGTTAAATACAGTAGATGAGTGAAATCTGATATAGATAGGATTCAACTAAAGACAGACTGGTGTATATTAATCGGTAAATACATAAATAGGAAAACTTAATTAACAAGAGCTTTTTTATGATTTGTTATCTGAGAAGTGAAGATGTGTGTTTTCTGTTGATCTATGAAAATTTGAAGTGTATGTGTGTGTTTGTATGTCCACTTAAAACCAGCATAGAAAGTTTTATTCTTGTCTTTTTAGTTTTATACTGTCTGCAGCAGCTAACCTGGAATTTAAAATAACAATAATAATAATAATAAACTATCTGTTTTCTGTCTCTCTTTCACTACATCTTACAATATAAAGCTACACTGCTACTGCACTTCTCTACAGCATTTCAACTGAGTGGTACAAAATCAGCTCCATCATACGGCAAAATCCTTGACTTAATAAGGGCAAGGCCAGTATAAAAGAGAGTCCTTCATCTGTTCTGAGGTGACACCTGTGTGTTTGGGGTTGAAAGTAAAGTGCAACAGAGCTAACTAAAATAAAATGGAATAAAACAAAAACATTCAAAAAGGTTGGGGGAAATTAAATACCAATTAATACACTCAAACGAGTAGCTGTGATTGAAAAAAAAAAAAAGGAAGAGATAAGTGAAAGATGTTAAGTACATAGAAATTTTAAAAGACCCTCACACTTTAAGCCACACTCTCGGGGATGTTGCAGAAAATTTTCTCTTGGGGTCCTCGTAATGTTCTAGAAATTGGGATTCATTAAAAATTCAAGAGGAAGAGCATTTCCTTTTTTTACATGTGCAGAGCTGAAAATTGGAATGTCACAGAAGAATAAAGTTTAAAATGTTTTTTCTTCACTTTGAAAAAGGGTATCACCAACAAACAGTTTTGTTTAATAAGTTCTCAATTTAATCTAAATTATTTTACCATCCACTGTTTTCTAATTCTTTATTTCTTTCTGAAAAACAGGCCAAACGTATTTAACCTGGTGATCAGAATGCAGTGTTTAATGTGTATGCCACACACCTCCTTCTGATGAATTGTGAATAATTTCCTTATGATCTCCCTGGTTTATTTGATCCCTTTTACTCTCTTGACCGACACACGTATTACACCCACGCATAAGCAGAGACTCTCACCTGTGCCGGGACGTCCCATTATGATGTCTTTTCTCGGAGCGGGATGAAGATTTTCAGCGGGAAGAATAAGAGGCAGCAGAGCGGTGGGAGAGGGGTGACACGGAACTGGCTGCTGGACCTCAGCCCCAAACCCTGTCCCCCTGTTCTCCTCTTGTTGTCCAGGACTGTCTGTGCTGCCGGGAGCGGGGGCCGTGACTGTTGTGCTGACTGTTACTGACAGGGCCTGCAGGGGGGCCACAGGGGTGTCAGTAGTGGGCAGGGAGGAAGGTGACGGAGACACAAGCACCAAAGTTTGGGCTGGACTCCGCAAGAGAACTGTGCCGTTGGGTACTGTGGCTGCAGCAGCGTTGATGGGTATAGGAACCTGTAGGCCAGGAATTGGCTGGGCGTTGAGGGGTGTTAGGTCACTGTCTTTTGACGTTGTGATTTCTGTCCCTCCCTCATTTTCACCCCCATCTCCTCCTCTTCCCAAAGGGCAAGGTGAAAATTTTGCTAGTGGGACTTCAGGATTTCTCACAATGACAGGAGAGTCCCGCAAAGCCTGCTGGACAACACGACGTGGTCCTCCATCAGGGGTAAGAGGAGAATGGGGAGTCGGAGACATCAGCAGAGGAGGGGGGGAAACAGCAGGGGAGGATGGTGGCCTACTGGAGGAGGGGGTTGTCATTCCTCTGGGACGTGAAAAGGTGGGTGTGTGTGTGTGGGAATGTGAAGCTGGTGTCTGGGGGGACAGCACCCTGAAAGAGCTGAGCTCCCCCTGCTCAAGCTCCATCTTGGGCGTGTAATCATGGTGGTGTGAGGGGAGGGGAGGTGGAGGGGGTGCATCTGACTTCCGTTTGCTTGGGCTCATGGGCACCGTAAACATCAGGTTGTTGTGGACAGAGGGCTGGTTGACTGAAGTTTGTCTCTCCCTTTCTACCCCTCCAGTATGGGATGTAGTCTTACTGCCCCCTGCTCCACCTCCCCCCGTCCCACTAGGCTGCCTGTGTCTCCGGTGCTGCAGAACCGGGGAGGCGGTAATTGGAGAGAAATTGGCCGGCCTAAAACCAAACAGAGGGGAGGGTGAGGGAGAGGGTGCAGGGGAGAAAGGTGACTGGTTGGAGATGGGTGAAAAAGAGGGGGTGCCAGAACGGGAGCTCCCTAATGACACAAGCATGGTGGCGGCCTCGCACTCATCGAAGTCAAAGCGTGACGACAGATCATGGGGTAGGAGGGTAGGGAGGACCAGACGAGGTCTGGAATCTCCTCTGCTACTGGTCTCACTACTCTCTCTTGATGTATCGTCCCACTCAAACTCACTGCTTGCTCTCCCCCGCAGGTCAGAGGGGGTGACTGTCCCTGAGCTGCTGCCCCCTCCTCCCCTCTCTCCCCCTGCTGCTTCCATCTCTTTGGTCCTCATTGACAAGTGTCTGGAACAGTATCCTCGACGCTGTGACTCCTTCATGCAGCCTTCCCTGGAGCACAGCCTCCTCCACTGCTTACCATTAAACTTTTTACGGATGCCATTAGGTGTGCACACCACATCGCCCTTCTTGTATTTCTGCTGGGCCAATGACAGAGGAGTTCTGGAGCGGGCAGAGGTAGAGGAGGACCCCCCACCAGAAGTAGGAGTAGGGGTCTGTGTTGGAGTGGTTTTTGATGGAGGTAGGTTTGAAGTGTTGTTGTTTAATTCAGACCCCAGCAGAGCCGGGGAAGGAGGTGGCTGAGGACTAGCTAGGGTGGAAATGTGTAGGGGACCAAGACTCTGCACCACAGGGAGGTGGGGGGAGGAGGGAGAGTAGCTATTGGACTTGGAGACAATGTTTCTGGGTTGACAGATTGCAGAATTTGGCTTAGTTCCAATTCCGAGGCCCATGTTAAAATGAGACACCTCAACATCTTCTTCAGGAGTGTTTGGCTGTTTCTGTCTCTCTCTGTCAGAGTATTTTTCTCCACAGCCTCGAACTGTGCCACCAATGACACCTGAATGATGGGGTGGATTTGTGTTTCCATTGGCGTGCCCTCCTGCAACTCCCTCATGTGACAAACTGTGGCCTGACCTCACTCCTCCTGCACCCAGCACCCCCATCCCAATACTCAACTGGCACACTTCCCTCTCAACCTCCAACTCCTCCCTCCGCTCCCTCTCTTCCCTTTCCCTCTGCCGCTCTCTCTCCTTGGCCCTTCCACCGTCCATGTGATGAACCTCCCAAGGACGAGTGAGCAGCCTTAGACTTTGTCGGGACACCCACACAGCCTGAGCATTCGCTTTTCTTTTTTCTGTCTCTGCCCCCACCCCTCCGTTGTCCTGAGTACCTCTGCTCTCACTCAGAAGCACCTGGTAAGGAAATGAGACTCCAGGGTGGGGGTCCACCTGAGCGACAACCCCTTCCCTGTATAGCAGAGGACCCCTTTCCTCTCCGCCAAAGGGCACACATACGTGGGTCCCAACGGCCACAGGTGCTATGCCAGGTGGAGGGGCATCCAAAATAAACTCGACAGTGCTCTCGTCCTGTGCTGATGACGTCACTCCAGTTACCCCATGGAAAGGATATTTAATAAAAGTCTCCTCTCCTTGCAGCTGGACTTCAACAGCCCCTCCGCTCACTCTGCGAACCACTCCTGGTCTGAACACAGGTGATAAAGTGCATGAGTCCCCTTTAACCCCTCTGTTACTCAAGGCCATGGTCCTCTTTACCTGACGTGCCAAAACTCTCTGGTTTTTCATGCCTTTTGCCAGAGCCTCAGCAAGCCCTTCTGAAAGACAGGCCTCTTTAGTTTGCGAGTTAAGGAGGGGAACTGGAATGTGGGAATTCTTGTGATGAAGGCTTGGTCCTGTTGCTTCCATTACATCCAGGTCAGCTGAGTGTTCACTTGCCGTATCTGTAGACGAGCAGCGCACTGAGTTAGAGGCCCCTTCTGAATCGTTTTCCCTTGCTGGGGAATCTTTTTCCTGGGAATTTGCTGTCCTGAGGGCCCTATCCTCTGAGGAAACAAAATGGTTTGCTTCTGTAGCTTTTCTTTCCACAGTTAGCACTGATGGCTGATAACCTGAGCTATTATTACTTCTACTATTACTGCTATTGGTAAAAGTACTATGGCTCCCAGTTTTACTGCTAGTACTGTTACTCAGATTGTTAATACTAAGTGTTCTATTATTACTACAATTGATGCCCATGATAGTGCTTTTATTAATGGTATTATTAACATTGTTACTACTCTTTACATTAGGATTGGGCATATCGACTCTATCGCTGATTTTGCTGTTCATATTGCAGTAACTGTTGTGTATGAGTGCAGGGTTGGAGGTAGGAATGGTAGTGAGGGAACTTGTGTTGTTAGCAAAGTGCTCATATGTGTATTTTTTCTTGGGCACACGGGCCTTAAATGTGGCTGTTTTCCTACTAGAGACAGAAACTAAGCTTGGGCTGTGATTTGTGGCCAGAGGGGTCATGGTTGTGGAGACTGGTGCTGTTGCAGAGGCAGGAAACGCTACGGTATCAGTAGACTTAGCGCTATTTCCATTCGTCCTCTCTATCTTCTCCTTCTCTGCCTCTTCTTCAACTTTCTTTTCAGCATTTGCATCTGGCTCCACAAATTTCCTTAGCTCTGTAGGTTCCTTCTCCAGTAAAGTATTGCTGTTTGTGATTGGTTTTTCATTGGAGTTTGAGGCTGTGGGTTGAATCTGCTTGTGTGTGGAGGGAGTGATGGGTGACAGTTGTGTGGTTTTGACGGGTGTCTCCCTCTTGACTTTTTTGGAATCTTTCTCTTGGAGGGGCTGTGAACCCCCTCTTCTTCTCCCCCCTCTTCCTCTTGTCATCAGAGGAGACCGGCCTCTGTTTTTCTTCAATGGTCTCATCTTTTCTTCACTGTTTACAAAGTGCTGCAGGTTTTGCAATTGCTCCTTTAAGTCCACTTATAAGGCACTCCTTTTGGTCTTTCTCTTCCTTCGCTTCTCCCCTGTGCTTCTGTCCTTTGTGATGCACTCTGGAAATGAGCAGAGAAAGGAAGAGGACATGTGGTCATTTGCCATCCTCATCATCAAAAATTGCTGAGAACAAAAATGATGTCATACCTGGAAGTATGCTATAATGCACTCACTACCACATTAACTTAATATCTGATGTAGGCCAGCCCTCATATCTGCCTGATCTAACAGAAGTATGAATGCAAGCATATGTGTCTGCTCAAGTTAAAGGGTCATTTTGTTTACTAGGAAAATGAAAGTCCTCATTCCCAACATTGTAGTTCTGAGACAAGATGGTAACATGTTAAAAAGACACGATTGTTTCAGCAGAAACAAGTTTTTCTCTTAATTTATTTAGTTAATATTTTCCCTAAAAACTCCATAGTGGTCTATCAATTTTGTACAGAAGTACTGCAGAAACAGAGAAAAGGAATAGTCATGTTTTGTATATGAATGTCAGATCCATTTATAGGGCATGCATGTTTATGAATAAAAAATGAATCCGGACAACATCAAAATATGATTCAAATTGTAGGTTAGTTTTCTCGTGTTTCGAGGCAAAAAAAGCAGACATGCCAAAGGCAACTGAATACAGACAGAATGAAAGAGGGATGATAAAAAGGAAACTTTCAAGGTCACTTGCATACAGTATTTCATTTTTCAAATGTCTGCTCTATGAGGCATACAGATCGTTGATTTAAAATGACGATTAGGTAACTCATACAAATCTGTCAAACACACACACCTGCACCTACACACGCATTATTCATACAGTAGGTTGCCTGATTGCGTTACTGTGGTACCTTTCCCTCAGGTTATGTGTTATCATGTTGATGCAGAAAGTTCAACGTGGAAATGCAACAACACAGTTGTGACTGCTATCAAGAGGCAGGGGCTAGCAGCGGCCTGAGGTCACCCTGCAACATGGTTGAGATTAAGACAGAGAGAGAAACGGAGAGAAACAGAGAGGGATATGTGTCTGTTCGACTGTTCCAGTAGACTGTTCTTGTGAAGTCACTGGGAATTTCCAGAGTCATTCTAGCCCTCTCTCACACTTTCGCAGTGTCTCAGACTTTCCCAGTGCTGTTTTATCGTTGTCTTGCTGACATACCCTCCACCTACCCACCCACTAACGCACACACACACACCTCTACAAAAGACAATACGTATAATTGGAATAATTTGCCATGGTGAGATATGCGGGAGAAATTAAAAGGCTGGCTCTGAATCAGGCACACTCACTGATGCAAGATTAAAAGCTAAATACAGTCTTTCTCCTTCTCTGTCTTTCTCTTTCTCTCTCTCGTTCGTTCACTCTCACACACACACACACACACACACACACACACACACACACACACACACACACACACACACACACACACACACACACACACATTGCACCCCTTCACTAAGCTCAGCAATTCACCAACACATGAATGCCTCCTCTCGTACTAACCCCGACACAAACATGAACAAATGAATGCGGCACACACACTTCCTGTCCTAAACATGGGAAAACTTCATCATACACACAATAGGTGACCTTGTTGTTAACCGTTTGTTTTCTGTTACCAATGACTCTGCAATATGAAGACCATTTTTTTTCCTCTTCCTGAACAACTATTTATTGACCCTAGTTGCTCACAGTTATCCTTGTCACTGTTTTAACTTTACACAATCAAGAGTTTACTTCTCAGCATAGGGTCACAACTGAGCGTTATCATGCCTTAACAATAGTTATATAAAGGGTAAATTCTTTCATACTTGTGATGACAAAATTATATTGTTGCTCTGTATTTCACTGCAATGTCACTATACATGTAGTAAACAACTGGAGTAAACTGCAGCCGTTTCATTTCCTACAGAAACAGAGATTATTCTTAGTCATTACTTTGTGCAAAACAATTAATAAATATTTGCAACTGAAGAAGGTGAGCACATTTTATTTTATCTCAAGTGTAAAAATTTAGACTTTTATAATCCTACTGAGTGATTCAATTTATTCACGAGTCTAGCATTTTTAAATTCTAAGTATTTGGCATCAAACAATACAATTGCATACAAGAAACTATATCATGAAACATCAGTTTTTTAATATCAGTTAGGGGACCAAACTGTGCAGTACCCACAATAGAAAAATAAAAAACAACACAGAGGGAACCTCAGATTGAAGCCCACAGTACCCCTCTCGGAGGCAGTTACTTTCTAAAGTCGACACACAGTGAAACTCGTCAGGGAAAAAAAAATATCAGTAAGCTTGGCTGAATGTACCGGTCACCAGTAACAAGCCAAAAACCCATTCCAGTTGAGGCCTGGACCGGCAGTGCTGGTCCAGTGGAGTCATTGTAGTACACAAGAATACTAGAAAACACAGGAAGGAGTCAGGACCTCTTGGCTGTCTGACCAAATGACTGAGAAGGATCTGATTTAAGCAGAGAAAAATGTGTTTGGCCATGCTCATGGCCTCCTAATATGCTCTACACCCAAGCAGATAAGCCAGTGATAGGCATGTGTGCGTGTCTCTGCGAGTTTACTATATAGGGGTTAGAATGCACAGAAGAGTGTATGCACAATATGTAAACGTTGATCATTTGACATAAACCTATTTCTGTTTTTAATTCTGAGTAATACATCTAGGTTTACAATGACATTAACAGATTAAGATACTGGACAAAAAACAATGATGCTCAAAATGCCTGAATTATGTTATACTAAATTACAGGGAAAGGTATTGGAATATACAGGTGATTCAATCTTTAATTTCTTGCAGCCTTTGAATCAATCCAAACATAACATTACAATCTACTCCCAATTCTCACCTGAGTGGTCAAAAGCATTTCATACTGTCTGTGCTCAACAATCACCCCTTACATTGAAATGAATGCAACATTGTTACGCAGTTGCTATTCAAGATGCCATGAGTATGTTTGAATCAAAATCTTGGTCTAAGTTGCTGTTTTAGTACATGTATTTGACCAAAAATCTGAGTGAAAACCATTAAAAATTCTTCTTGTCCCTTGCGCTAAATCAAGGCAAAATAAAGATGAACTCAGTCATTTTTAGGTTACATGACGCTTACACTTCCTCCCAATACAGCAGGTTAAGAGTGAGAGATTCTCTCGACTGGTTGAATATCACAGAATATCCTGAACAGACAGCTAAAAGACAGCTGTCGTCCCTGTGGTCCTGGACTGCACTCGTCTTTAAAGACCAAAAAAGTGTTATTTTACCCAATCGACATTGAGAACCAGACAGTGTAACCCCCCAACCCCAGCATAGCAACATCAAACTTTACACACACATTAAACGCTCTCTTTGGAATTTACAGTGCAGTCATGCATACATTGTTAAAATCTCCCTAAGACCTCTATAACACCTCACACTCAAACGTTCATGGTGCTGTATAAACACTCATACTGACATACACAAAAGCCCACACTCTGACCAGTATTGGGTTTGCTTTGAAGTAAAACAAAATATTAAAATAAAAAGATACCTTTTTGCCTAAATTGATCATAAAAATTTAAAATGGAAATGTTCATGCAAAGAGCACCTTGCTGATGGTTTCATAGCTGGTTGGACATTGGTGCATTTATGCGTCTGATCCCCACACACACACACACGCGCGCCGAACAATCATTCACCAGGCAACATCATTCCAATGTCAACAAAATTATGAAGTTCTTTAATATGTACTATTGAACTATATAAGCCTACTAAACTTTCACCTTGATGCCAATTTGTTTGTGTCTTTGTGGGGAATTAAGCCTGCGCCCCACCACAATGTGGCACAGGGTGTGTATGCTGGTATTTGTGTTCAAGTGCGTGCAAGATGTGTGGGAATGCTGCTTATTGCACATAAGGTATGAGGCTATATCTGGCTGTCTTCAGGTTGTGTCTACTTTATTTAACACTGCATTTGCACTACATAGAAGTGTGAGTGTACACGTAGTTACCAAGCACACTGCAGTTCATCCTTCTCCTAAAAGCATTTTATGGGTGTCTGTATGGGCGCAGGGCTGCAGCGATGGGGACGGGGGATTGAGACAGAAGAACATGCAATGGTACATCTGTGGAGCATAGTAGTAAAGCCAGGATAGTGAATCCCATCATGCCCCTTATGCACTCTGGCATGGCAGGGCGGCTTTGCCCTTAACTGGGTCACCGGGGAACACACTCGCACATGAAACTGCAAAAAATGAACATGCTTGCTGTTACACTCACACACACACACACACTTTTTGTTTACATGAGTGGGTGAAATGTGGTCATACAGGTAACATGTGAAAGAAAACATTCCATTAGTGTATTTCAGATGAAGCGAGAGGGCGAGCTGTGAAAAGTGTGTGTGTGTGTGCGTGCATGCAAGTTAGTGACTGCGCTTGTTATGGAGAACATCCATTGTGACGTAGTATGAATACTGGCAGCTGTTTAGTGGCAGACATATCTGGCTGTGGACATAATATATAATTATAAATAAAAAAGAAACACTGAGGCTCATTTTTGTGTGTTTTCTGGCCCACACAGATCAGGAGACAGTGGCATAGATCAGAGGTGACTGTTCCTATTTGGGACCAAATGGCACAAGTGCCAATGCCCCATCAGTGGTCTGCAAACCACGCAAAGATGCCTACACCATCAAGTAGTTGTTACCTGCCTAAACATACAATAATGAGGATTTGAGGGCTGCATGTCACAGTGTAAATTTGCAGGACAACCTGGGATAGTTAGGATTAAATGTTAAAAGTATTAAATATATGAGAGTAAAAAAATAACCAGGGAGAATTATAAGAATAGAGTTCAAAATCTGCACTGTCAGAGATGTCAGTGATGCATCGACACTGATTGCGGCGCAGAAAAGTGGAGTGTGTAGCGAGGGAAAAGCCGAGAAAACAACGAATGCATCCCCGGCTCCTTTGCGCTGATCTCTGAGAGTACTACAAGAGGCGCTACACAATGTCAAAGGAGTATTATGACTGGAGGCAGTCAGCCAGTCTGCTCTGCTGCTGTCCTCGGCAACAAACACAAACAACCGGTTTCGAGTTATGTTTTATTATCCCAAGTAGTAGGGCCCATTTCTTCCTCATACAACGATGTTAAGCATGCACACATCTACTACAACGCCTATAATACACACAGGGGAGCTTCCTTAATGAAGCCTTTGTGGTGACACTGTGTCCATTTGATTAGTAAAAACTTGTGAAAAGCAGAAATCTTTCCATGTTGGTGTTTCGCTCTAGTAAGCAGCTCAGTAATGTCAGTAGTAGTGGTGGTTGTAGTAATCGTAGTACGCAACGGTCGCAGACTTCACTAGTACCCACATAATGACAGCGTCAGCCACACAAGGAAGCAGGATATATTAAATGCTCTCCTGTTGTTGTATATCTCACCGTGGATCCATATTGTAAACGGCAAACGAGCATGTGTTGCCTTAATAAACATTTTTTGGCTGCAATGCCGCAAAAAATGTCGATTGTTTTAACTATGCTAGCGCCGCTTCAAGCCAAACTCGACACTTGAGGTCAACAAAAAGTACACAGAATAATCCAGACTATTGTTATATTATCCGAGCAGCGTTTCAACGTCCGTCGGTCCTCTGAAGGACTGCGGTAAAAACATTGGAGAAAGTTTTTAGGCTGTTACACTCCCACCCCTCCCCTATCTCTCGGCTCTTCCTCGGCTCGCAAGCGGTGTCACTCCGTTTCTCCGGACGGTATCGGAACAGACGGCTGACCGTTGGCAGTTGGTTCTCGTCTCGTGCTCGCTCGCAGCACCTGAAAACGGAAAATTCATGCGAGTTGAGCTTCGATACATTTTGTTAACTTAAGTTTCAACTCACCCAAACAAAGCTTTTTTTTCCCTCGCCAGAGAAAGATTTATGGTCCTATTTTGCTGATGGGAGAGCTCTCGCAACTCCCAGTAACATCCCTTGGCTGTCGACTTTGAAGACCGCGCGTTTCAGACAAAACCTTTACTTTTCCTTCGCAAAACATGTCTTTCCCCCATAGAAACTCAATCGGGGGTATAAAAAACTATCGGTCTTCTTTTCCACTACAGTCACAAAATGGTGAATGAACCACTAACAGCTGGGCAAGCCGACCAATCAGAGGTCGTTGACAGGTACAGTAGCCAATCAGTACCTGCGCCACAGAACAGAGGGCGTGGCAGGCTGTCAGAGTCTCCTTGACGGACAGGAGGACTCAGCCAATAGAAGGCCGGATGCTGAGCCAGACCGGTGTCCTGTCCCAAACTTTACAGTATCCAATAAGAGCTTTGGGAACCATAGGAACAGCATGAGGGCGGGTCAAGAGGCGGGAGCAAATAACTGATATCCAATAAAAAGACACAAATGTCCCCTCCCCTTCTGAAAAGGAGTATGTTTACCATAATTGACAGCAGAAGTGCCGTCTCCGAGCAGACGGAGGTAATGCATCAACCCCTATGTTCGTCCGGAGAGAAGTTGGTGCAGCAGCAGTGAAGCACCATAATGCGGGTTTTCCACTTCAAAGCTCACTTTTAAAACAGTTTTAAGAGTTGTTATCAAGTCATTAATACGATATTTGAGTAAAAGCATTAACAAGGGACCAACAGCCATGCATGCACGTATATAAAGATTGTCTAAAGACTGGACAACTGTTATATGGTGCAGAATACTCGTCAGTGCCCCTCACATACTGCTTTCCCTCACTCCCCCTCGCTTTTCTCTCAGCAACAGACGCTCACTTTCACCGCTGCCGACCAATCACCGCGCAGCATCCCGCTGGCCCTGACGTCGACAATCTCTCCGCCCCGCCCACTCCACTGAAAGTGAACGGGGCTGGCTCGACTGACGTCACCTCACCGGCAGGCGATTGGGCAGGTGCACGACGTCTCTCGGCCAATGGGTGGCCGCTGCGGTGATGTCATCAAGAGTGTTGCCACCAGCTGGAGCGAGGGGGCGTGGTCTGGCGTAAACTCGACTAACCCCAAATTTGTAACTTGCAGGCAGTAGTGAAGACAAACCGGTATGTACGAACTGAACAATGTGCATGTTCTCGATTAAGACACGTGCGTGAGTAGGACGTCCCGCACATGTCATTTCTATCCTGTAAAGCATATTTCATGTGAACAAAAGCCAACGTTCATGAGAAAAATGACTTTACCTCGTGAAGGATATAGCGCCATAATAGTAAACATTACATAATCCTCTGCTCTGTGTGTAGTAGAACACCAGACTCACGCTGAGACAGACAGACATGCGGGATCCCACAGAACCAGCGCCCCCTGTCGGTGCGTCCTGAGCCATGGGTGCTGATCAATCATTCCAGCTCAGCCTAAAGAGAGAAGAAGAGTGGTGGACACTTGAAAATCAGAGGTTGTTTTGATTTGGTGAAATATACGGTAAATATTTACTGGAATAATTTCCTTTGTGTGTGTATGTGTGTGTGCCTTTATGCGCGTGCATCAGTGCAGAGAGACAGAGAGGGACGACATTAGAGTGAAGTGTAGTTGTTGACTAAATGTAGATAAAGGGTGACATCTAGTTGTTAACATTCAGCACTGCAACTCCTAGGTTTCAAAGGTTACTGGACTATAGTATTAAAGTATTAAAATTTGCCAATCTAATTGAAATTAGAACTGCACAGACAATGTACAAAGCTAGTAACAATCTACTCCCTAGTAATAAATAGAAAATGTTTGGTGGAAGAGAGGGGATTTTAAGTATTCTAGGTATATATATAAAGTGCATATTTGTGTGTATATAGGTATGGATGTATATATATATATATATATATAAATGAATTTCCCTTCGAAGATTATTAAAGTTCTTATCTTATCTTATTAAGAGGGGCACCAAATTTAAAATAACCAGGCGTTCGTACCACACTAAAAAGCACGTGTCTTTCTGTTGTGAGGGTGAAGCTGTGGAAGAGCTTGCCCAATGGACTTAGACAAAGCAAAACAATAGCACAGTTTAAAAGTACATCAGAGCAGAGTATGATTAAAAAATACTTTCAAAAGTGATTTTCGTTTGGCCACACCTATATTGTATATGGGTATGGTACAAATGAGAGATTTGGAGTATTCTAGGAATACATAATGTGCATATTTGTGTGTATATACATGTATATAGGTATGGGTGTATATATGTATTTGTATAAGTCTTTGTTTCAGTATTAATGATTGGTTACATATTCATGTTGGACTGGAGCTTTGTTTACTTTTTGACAACATCAGAAATTCTAAACTCTGGAGACATGTAAAGGGTAAACAAATAGGAGGGAATTAGAAGTAGGTACATATAAGCTAAATAGCTTCAACCTACTCCTTTTTTATCTCTCCCCCTAAAAAAATGGAATTTCTTGTCTAAAATTGCACTGTATGTTTATTTGATCAAATGAACAATCTCAATCGCAGTCTCTTAATTGCTTTAAGAAAGTTTGAGCACCTCAGCAGTGCATATAAAATACCTGGATTCACCAGTTAAAGGTATGAAATATTTTAATCATTATCATTTAAAAGGTCAAAGCTTTCAATGAATTTGTCTAGTGTACCGCTGCAGCTACATTTAGTTTGAAAGACTCATACTGGGTTATTAAGTGTACAAATGTTAAATAAAGTGTATTTTTGGCAAGTTCTGCTATGGATTTGAAATTTAAGAGTCATAATTACGATATAAAATGCTCTTTTTCTCATTCTCTTACAAATATATTGATTTTGATGATGACACCTTTTTATTTCAAAAGTTTGGCTAGAAAATCCACCAGGTGGTAGGCTTCAGATAAAAATCTGAACCATAAGTGTGAAGAACAAACTTGTCTGTGTTGTTTGTTGAATGAATTATGCATACTGAACTTATTCCTGGACATCATAGTTATTCCATTTTTGCTCCTTCTTATGACTTGTTTCCTGTTATAATATACTTACAGTTCTACATCCACCATTAACTGGTATTTGAATATATCTACACACAATTCACAGAGATGGACAGCACCTTGCAGGACAATCTTTCTCTCTCTCTCTGTGTGATAAAATAAACTCTCGTTCTCATGTAAAACTTTCAAGGAAGCAATGTAAAATAAACACTTCAATAATGCTGGGCCTATTTACTTTAAAAATACACAAGCTTTTGATCTTACTGAACTGTCCAAATGGCTGTTAAGGTTTTACCTCCATGTTTGTGCATTACATATGCATTACATATAAACAGCTGTGTCATCCCTAAGTTTTGCTGATTATTAAAGTTTTGTTTGTCAATAAGTCATGATCATCCTGTAAAATCCAAGTAAAAATATATTGGTTTAACCAAAATGTTTGTATGAGAGTAATGTAGTCAAAACATTTACTAACTTTTAGGGATAGAACGAAAAAAAAATGCAGATGGCTGAATTTTTTCAACCAGAAATGTTCATATTTGGTGTCAAACATACCTTTTTTTTACTAGCTGTGTATGATGTTTATGCTTTGTGTATCTACAATAAACTTAATTTGTCAGTAGAAATAAATGATCTAACTCTGGCTATTACTAACAAAAAAAGCTCACTGCATAGCTTTTGTTTCATGAGCATCTTCCCAGAATTTATGTATTTGTGTAGTCTGACTTTCCATAGTGTTCCTCCCTTTTTTGTGTACCTATCAACTATTTGCTTCTTTCATTATATAGAGTTTTTTTATCTCGCTTCTTTAAGTACAACACCAATGACAGCCCTACCTCATTAGCAAGTTCCCCCTTTTCCCTCTGTTCCCCCCTTCTTGACTTCACAGCCCCCCTATAAGAGCTCAACCTCTGACCTCTGACCTCCACCCCCTCTCTGTGTGCTCATCACTGGTCTGTCAGTCAAACACCGGAGACCTTCCCCTCCCCTGCTGGGCTCGGTTGTCGGTTCTGTCTCAGGTACAGAGAGCAGCAGAGAAGTGGAAAAACATTGTCAGAGCAGGAGAAAAGGTGAAGGGAGACTATAGTCTGACCATTGTGGCAAATACCCACACACTTAAATTTAAACTGCTATCAAAATGATGGGTGTGTGTGACATACCAAAAACAAAAAATAATTCAAAGTAGTCCAACAACGGTCTAGCCCTTTTCTGTCTACAGTCTACATTTAGTAAACTAAAATTAAACACTCTCTTCCTCCACACAAAACCAAAACCACACAAGGAATGTCTCTCACCTCCAGCCAAAACACTCACAGTAGCATAACCTCTGACCTCTGACAACTTACTCTGGCCTCTAACCCAACCCAGTCACACCAGGCATGCCCAATCAAACCCCGAGGAACTGATGGAGATAGAAAACTGAAAGGGCTCAAAACAGCACTTTCACACACATGGTTTTCTCCAGGAACAATAAAACATTTTTTTTTTTTTAAACTTGGATCCTAAAGGAGTGAACTGTCTTTATTTTATCTAAAAGCTGATCCTCAGTTGTACCTGCAGCTATTAATTTCTTTTTCAGCTGGGTATGGAGTCATCTGAGATGCCTTGGATTTGAAATGGTCAAAGCAGAGGAACCACATTTGAAGGCCTGTCCTAAAAAGCCTTGTTTGCAGCACAGCTGTATAGGCGATAATGTCAGTAATGTGGTCCTAAACTTTGCTCCAGAGTCCGGTCTGATATTTGAACTAACCGACTGATCAGTATGAATGATTTGAGGAGTTGCTTTTCAGAGGCTTTGATGATCTCTTGACCTTTCCCTCAGCTTTAACTTGTTACGAGTTTTAGGAACATTTCCAAATAACTACAAGTGGTATGGCAGTTGTTTGGTACAGACCCTCATGAGAATCATGAGCTATGACTTGGTTGATTGCAAATCAACCTCAGTCATATGGTGAAAACTGATACTTTGTTTACTGTAAAATATTTGAGCTAAAAGGGGTGGGACAAAATATCCGTACAGTAATGTGTTTTCCATCTGACTGATGCAATACAGTTTTTGTAAAGCTGAATTCAGTCATTTTTATTTCATATTTCAAAATGTCATCAATTCCTTTTATTCATTTAGGGAAAATGCTCATTAATCAACCAATCAAATTTGTGTATGGCTCTCAACATTTTTCCCTTCAATTGCGACTCACCTTATCACTACGTCATGATTCCTTGCACTGGCACTAATGACATTTATCCCACACATTACTTTTTTAACAGTATTGTTACTGTGGGCAATGAATTCGTTATAAGTCACCTTGAGATCACCCACAATATACTGTACAGATGTAATCAATTGCACCTCTAAATAGCTAATGTTAGCACGATAATAAGTAAATGTATGAGGTGGACATCAGACCAGCTGAATCTTAATTTTCTAGCTCTGCCACTGTGAGTATGTTAGCTTGCTATCATTTGGCTGAAAGCACTACCGCTAAGCATAACAGAGTGAACTTCAACTGACAAGATTTAAACATTCAATAATTCCCTATAGTACCATCTTATTTGCACATACTTTGCTTTGTCAAAGAACGACATCAGCTGTCACTTCTTGTCTGTTTTCTAAGTTTCAGTTCGGTTTTCAGCTTCAAGCATCTACAGACTAACAAGGAAGATTCCACATAATCCTTTTTACAGAAGTGACTCAGAATATTTAAAGAGAAGAGTACTCTTCGTTTTTCCACTGAAGTTGTGCAGTCTTTACCCTGGGCTCTTGGAAACTGAGTGTGTTAATGAGGGAATGGAAGGGCCCATTGTCTACCGAGTGTTGGCAGAGGGCTTGAAGTCATGATGCCTTATAATGTCTGTTAATGCTGCATGCAGACTGCAAAGTTATGGATTTGGCAAAGAATCTTAACAGCACAGGCACTGACAAGTTTGAGTAAAGTGATATCACCAAAAGGAATGCAGACATTTATAAAAATGACCTATTCTATGACCTTAATGTTGATGCTGTTAGCCCAGTGACACTGCTCAAGAGCAAGAAAAGTAGATCACAGCATTGATCATTTCAAGCAGAAACAACATAGAAGGCTTGTATCTTAACAAATTGCATTATGGAGAACAGTGGACCCTTATGCTCAATGCATTCTTGTTCACAGTAACTTTACACCACTCAGCTGTTCCTCAGGATCCATGTCATGTCCTGATGCTGAAGACAGAGACCCCATGGACACGTGTCCTCGGACACACAGATTCCTGCCTGTAAAAGAGAGAAGATGAGGAATGAGTGAATACCAAGTATATCTACTCCTTGACACCACTTTACATTTTTGTGTCATTGACCTTTTGCATCAAATTTTGCTCAAAGAAAACTACAGTATGAAATAGTTTATGGTAGGCCTGGACGATATAGAAAAAAAGCATATCGATAAAAAATAAATCATATTGATCGATATCGATAATTATCGATATAATTATTATAATTATTTAACATATATTTTAATTGCAGCCCTGGATGTTTTATGCTATTGCTTAATGACCTACTTTTAATAAAGAACACACAAGCACTGAATTCAAATTCAAACCTTTATTCAACCACCTTTTTTTTTTACCACAACTGAAAGTTTTTTTAAAAAAGAACTTAAAAAAAAAAAATCAACTTAAGTGGCCTGAGTGACGTCAGTAAATACTGACAAACATAAAGACTAAAGTGACCAGAAAATCTGATAAATAAATATTTAAATAGTCTTTTGATGAAAATAAACAAAACAAATATATAAATAAACAGAATAGCTTTAGGTGGGAATAGCATACTACCAGTTTTAACTGTGTGGGAAACTGCCCACAGCCTGGTGTCTGAACACTGAAATATTTCTCCTGGGGTCGGGAGATTTATTTTTTTTAAATATCATGTGATTGACTTAATAAACAAACTAAGCACGAGAAGCAGGACTTATCCACGCCGGTGTTGTGTCGTAGAATGCACCCCTGCCGAATGCCCCCCTGCTAGTAGCCATGATCCAAATACTCGCGTCTTTGTAAAATATGAGCTCATTTTCTTCCACTTTAAGAAGCTACACCGGAGCGTATTTCCTCCGCACCCTTCTCACCTTTTCAACCCCTGACCCATTTTCATGCCTGAAGCGCTGTGTTTGAGAAATACTTGCGGCCGGGCACTTCATATCGCGGGTCGAGAGTGGCTAGAAGCTGGTCGAAGCCAGGCTTTTCAACGGTAGTTATTGACAGTATGTCCCTCGCTATGGAGCATGTTACTGCATGGGTGATGTCCTTATGCCGCTTGGACGCTTTGTCGTATTTTGGCAAGAAACGAAGTCCAGTTTGGTCTGCTTCACTTGCTTTGTGCTGGTGCTAACAGCGGTTCCAGAGGATTCCTCCGACGACGACGTGGAGCCGCGGCGCGGCCGACACAGCTCGTACTCCTGCGGGTGCGACCGGTTTAGATGGTAAAACAAGTTGGTTGTGTTACCGGACTTGGTTTTTACTAATTCTCTGCAAATTTTGCAAACGACCGCTGTTTGCTTTTTGTCAGACTTCTAAAAACCAAAACATTGCCATGTTGGTGAACTACTGAAACCTTTTTTCGGGACAATTTCCTCCGCTTCTCCTTGCTGTTACATTATTTCTAATACACGTGCTGTCTGTTGTGGTTTGATAGGGGCTGGGCTTGGTGCCGTAGCGTACCTGGGTCTGCGTTTGTGATTGGTTGGGAGGAAGTAATGACTGTAGTAAAAGCTACATGATAGGCTATGATGAAAAAGAAAGGGAAACTGTGTTTTTCTATCGAACTTTTTATCGACCCGTTTTTTTTCTATCGCTCCACACGTCTATCGATCGATATATATTGTTATCGAATTATCGTCCAGCACTAGTTTATGGGCAATATAAGCTGTGAGTAAGTCTCTCAAAATATACTTCTGTGTGACATACAAAGTCTAGTTTATAATTATCATCTGTACTAAAGGCACACACTAGATAAAACTGAACACTGACCATGGATTCAAACAAAACTGTACTATTCATGAACTGTTAAAACTGTTTGCAAATCAAAATGCATAAATATCTTGTGTTTACTTAAATGTAAAACATAAGTTAAAAGAAAACTTGCATAATTTTCACTTTAGAGCCATCAATCAGTCAAAAGAAAGTATAAGTCCAGAGGTGAAGTTTTGTTTACAGTATGATTTGAGTGGGTTACATAGATGGCTAAATTAAAAGTTGGTGGTTTTAAAATGAAATCTCCAAAGTTATATCAAATGTTATCAATCTAACAAGCAAATGTATAAAAACAATCCTCTTGTCTTTTAAATGTTTGCGATTCAAATCAACCGGGCACTTCGAAATATGCAATATAGTCTTTCACCAACAGGGGGAGACATTCAATATCTAATGAAAAGGAAGATGGTTCAAAGTAAAGCTTTTTGTTAAAACTGTGTGCAGAGATTACATCTAAGTTAGGTTTGGTTAAGAAAGTTTTATTAGCCCCTATGGATAACTTAATGAATCAGTTACAGACTTTGGGCTCCCTTACTGAGAGAAAAAGGACTTCATTTCAATTCAAGTCTGAAACAGAAAGATTGTCAGGAAGGAAGGAGAAAAAGGAAATACAAGTACCAGAATTTCAAACAAACCACATCAATGGGTGCAAACACTTGTCTGTGCTCAGTGTGACAGAAGCGACACTGCCTCTCCTGTGTGGTGCAGTTTTTCTCTGTACGGTTGAGGATGTGGTGAACTTTACTAGCATGCCTCTGTGTGTCATCTTACCGTAACTCTCACAGAGGATGCAACGTCTTTCTGCATGTGTGTATGTCTGCCTGTGTTTGTATGTGTGTGTGTGTGTGTGTGTGTGTGTGTGTGTGTGTGTGTGCATTCACTAAAGCTTCTTGCTGTGCAGCATGTGCATAATGCATCAGTTGTGGTTATATGTGGAGCAGTGAGTCGGCTCTGCGCTGGTTTCTGCGAAAGCAGGCGCTCAGGAGGAAGCAAGGGGAGCGAGCTGTGGCACAGGTGAGAGAATACAGTGGTTCCTGTGGTCCCTCTTTCTCTTTCTCTCTCTCTCTGCTGTGAATGTAGCACCTGGATGACTTGTATGTCAACAGTGGGGGCCAGTGATCTCCACACACACACACAGAAACACACAGTTACAGTGATCCTCGCCAAGGTCAAAGACTATAAAACCAGGATACGAGTCATGTCGCCTGACTGAGATAAGGTGTTACTTTAAACCAGTTCACAGGAAACAGCCAGAGATTAGAAAGGCTGTTCAAAATTTAAATTTGTGTAGCAGACGATTAAAAAGTTAAAACCTGTCTCATTATTCCTCTTTGAACCCACTAGATCAATCTTTGGACACAAAAAATAGCTCCTGTTTTGAAGGACAGTCAGGAAATTGTCAAGTTTGTCCAAAAACAATACTCACATCACTGTTTAAATGTTGAGAAATTTACAGGTGGCTGCAATCATTCCTCTCACCACGTACAGTCTGATGCTGCAATTTCTCTGTAAGCCATGGAAGAAAAAATATACTGTAAACACTGGGGTGTATTTTTTTCCCATAACTTAGTGATCTGCCTGATCAGACTGATTGTAGAAGCACAAGAAGGGTCCTGTAATAAAAGTAGTGGACTGATTTGACTGGCAACACCCCATATAACCTTGGCATACTTAAAATTTTATTTATTCATTTTTTACTTACAGGGCTGGATTTGTGCCTTGTCTCTGGCAGAGTAGTCAGACAGATCGTAGCAGGAAATAGAATAACAAATAACCAGGTCGTTGAACCTGATTTATGCTTGTAAGAATAACTTGCCGTTAACTTGTAATGCCAACAAGTTAACCTCTTTTATTTCCACAGCCTGAAGGAAATGTCAGAATATATTTTATAAGAATTTTTCAAGGTCTACCTTGGTCTCTGGCCTTTGTGGGAAAATAGTAATACCTCGTTGGCAATTGGGTAGAAATGTTGTATAATCCATGACAAAACAGTAAAAAAATGGATTAGTCATGAAATCATTTAGCACAAGAATAAAGTTGGTAATAAAAAAAAAAAATCAAAACTTTTAAATTAAGGTAATATCCTTTGTGCGTTCATGTTGTTTTCCTACAAAATACTGTCATAACTCTTGTGTAAAAGTTAAACCAGTTGTTCAACAGGATTTCTATGAACTAAAATAACTATAAATCCTTCCTTTTATTAAAGATCTTGCAGCTAGGTTTAAATTTGACAAATGTTAAGGCATAATATGTAAAATAATATGCTTCAAACATTGGACATTGTAGAAAAGCAATGGTGCTTTCATTAAATACCTGGTTTCTAGAAAAAGTTAACGAGTTGTTCTTACCTGTTGTGTCCTGTTCATCTTGAGGCTAAAGCTAACGTCGACTAAGCTAACGTCGACTGAGCTACCGTTGACTAAGCTAACGTCGCCTAGCATACTTCGTTGGCAGCTGCTCACCTCTAAAAATATTCGCAATAATCGTATTTCTTTAACTCTAAAGTGGGAGTGAAACAGTGGTGCAAAAAAAGGTGTAAAAGGAACGAAAGACATGACTGCGACTCTTTTGACGCGGGAAAAGGTTGTTGTCAGATTCTTCGCGCTGAGTCATCGCTAGGCAACAAGTGAAGTCTCGGAATCTACCGTCAAACTTTAACCTCATACTGGGTTTTACTAAAAGGAACAAGTTTATGTCTTCAGGCATGTGGGCTTTTAATGTGATGGCTGCCCAATATTTTGCTATCCAACCACTTTTCTTTCAGACCAGCTGTTTTTCACCGTTTCTAACCCTACTAGTGTTGTTGCGTTCGCGAATGATTCGTTCAAAAGAACAAAATCTTTAAAGTGACCGTACTGAACCGAACCACTTCCCCAATAGATTTGTTCGTTTCTCAGCGCAGCAACCATAGCACGCAGCATTGCCAGGCGAGCAGACACCGAGTGAGGGAACCGCACACACCAACGCCTGAATCATGCAGTAAACGAATCACACTTTTTTTTTTTTTTTTTTAATCATTTTTGTCTGAGGGCTTCACTGTCATGGCTACTGTTGTTCCCTGTTGTTTTAACAACAACTTGCACACAGTAGGACACAGCATGTAACAAGCAGTGTATAAAACCTGCATATTGAGAAATGCGTGACTGTCTGATCCTATCACTGCGGCGATTTGCGAGGGAACGGTGTGTGTTCAGTGTGACTTCTTCATTGAATGTACTATGGGGTTAACAGTGAACAAATCACTCAGTGAGCGCAATTTACTGAGTAGACCAGATAAATAGCATACTATTGGGCTTAAAACATCATGATTTATAAACAAGTTCATTTTTACAAAACATCATAAGCAAACAAGTGAATACTAACTATCAGGGGTGGGAGAAAAAAATCGATTCACATAAGTGTTGCTATTTTTTGTTTTACAATTTTTAAATCTATTTTTATGTTCAAAAATCGATTTTGTTTTATATTTAGGAATAAATCTTAAAAACTGACTTACATGTGATGTGTATTTTGGGGGGAAATATGGTTCCTGGAATAGTCAGAAGACAATCGTAACCATTGTCACTGGTGTTAAAAACGCAGACTAAAATCAAGGAAATCGACAATATCGTAGAATCTCAATTTAAATCAAATTGGCATCCAAAAAATCATAAAACAATCTAATCGAGAGAAAAGCATATCCTTCCAGCCCTACTAACTACCTCCTAAAAAGTAAAAGTTGGTTGTTCAGTGTGAGTTTTTTCTTTTTATTAATCAACTTTAATTTTGACACAGTTGCAGAAACACCAAGGAGCCTAATATGTCTGTCAGCTTGTTGTTCACAAGAAATATAAGTCAGGATCTAATCTCTCTGTTTACAAATAAACCTGGTAATACAACTCCTCTCACTAATTATATGTGCTGTTAATAAACATGGACATTAAAAAAAGGAGACATAAACAAGTACAGTGATATTCATATTGGGTTTCAACCACTTTTAATTAACCCTGATTACAGCTTAATTACAAGTTTGGAAAAAAAACATGAAACAAGTGGAGAAATTCAATGTTACATCATGGTATTAACTCTCATCTCTCCATCTGAGTGTTATGTAACTGCTCGGGGGAGACAAGGCGAAAGAACAGACCAAAAGAGGGTGAAGATAGACCTTAACACAGTCAAACAGTACACATCTTTTTTCCTCTTTTAAAATGACCCACCCCTCCCCACCCCCCTCCAAAAATAGTAGAAGAAATTTTCAAGAGCAAGAGAGAGAAAATAGTAACATTATAAAACAAAAATTACAATACATAACAGATAAAATCACTCCCACCCTTATCTCTAAATAAAATCATACACTGGCTTCTGAGCCCCCTGTGTTACTTCTGTCAGCAACATAATTAATGTTACACATTTTTGTTATTTTACATTTGTAAAAACTAAAAACAAGTAAAATGTCTCTGGTTTAGGGGGCTTGAAGATCTGAAACAGGATATAGGAGCTTGGATGTACACAACATAAAAGCATTAGCTAACAGAGCCATGGAATAGTAATAATGCCAGGTGGAGAGGTTAATAACCCAATGAGAACAATAATAATACCAACAATTATCAATAGCAATATCAACATCAGAAAAATAAACTGAGAAACCTTTTTTTATTTTGAAAGAGAAATGAAATCCTGCCGTTTATCCGCTGTTCTTTGACTGTAGAGGCCTGCACAGGATGAAGGAGAGCCTCTGGTACAATCAAAAGTCCAATCAATCGTTTTACCCTGCAATATCATGACTCAGGCAGAGTGTATCTCAGTTAGCAGGATGTCTGACAACATCGCAAAGAAAAAAAGGAAACTGAAAGGAGGGGGAAAGAGTGCAGAGCAGGTAAGACTGATGCCTCAGCTGTTGCTCAGATATGACAAGTAGTAATAAGGCAGCTGTCAGTTCAGGTACGGACACAGGACTTAGTGAGGGAGGGTGTGTGTTTGAGAGTAGGTATGAGTGTATGTGTGTGTGTGTTGTGACATGCTCCAGTCCAGCCCACAGGGTTCTGACGAGGAAATTCAATCAGCTCAGCTACACAGACTGCCTGGAGGCCATCAATGTCACAGTTTGCCGCGACAGATCTGTCTCGTGGCAGGGACAGGACGTGGTCAGCACGGCTTGGTTAACCAGTCAGACCCCACCTCGATGACCTGGTCTCCAGGACATCAAAAAATAACCACAATCTGTTTGTGTATAGAATGTGCATAGTTGGAGAGAAGGGGCTTTTCAGGACAGGGTCTCACATGTTCTCGGCTGACGTACAGTAATAATTAACCCCCTAAGCCTCTACTTCTCCTTTGCCCTGTTTCAGAGCTGCTGTGAACTTTGGAGGGTTATGGTAACTGGACTAAAAGAAAACACAGGATTACTGCTTACCCTATAACCCTTGAGCCATCGCTGAGCACACACACACACATACAAAGAGCTAGACTGTACAGACTGTACAGACTGGAAGGAGCACTGTGCTGCCATCTGAAAAGAAAGTGAACAGCTGAGCGAGTCCTGTGCTGGTCTTGTGGCTTGTTTGTCTATGAAACAAATTTACAAGAAATAAAACTTGACCCCTACCCCTCTTCATGGTACCCACCCACCCTCCATTTATAACGTTTTTATAATCGCTCAAAATAATCCACTTAAAAAATCCTGAATCGCTTGTCTTTAAATGCTATGGTTCTCTTTAAAATCTTATGTAATCATTTCATTTAGAATATATAAAGATATATTTTGTATGTGTGTTATTAGAGCTCAGTTTGCACTTTTATACATGCTATAAAAACAAGGCAAGAGAGGCAGTGTGTGTATGTGAGTGTGTGTGAGGTCTAAAGATGTCCCCTGCTTTCTCAGGCTCTCATGTAGTTAATAGACCTGGCAGTCTCAGACAATCTCAGGGCCTGAGGTTGATGCCACTACACAGAACACTGGAGGCCCAGACAGAGGTGGGTGGGTGGGATTAAGAGCTAAAGGCAGTGTTGTGCATGTGTGTTTGTGTGTCTTTGCTGGTTTAGTTTTTACACAATTAATGATTGTTAGAGGAGCTTGAGCTGGTGAACTAGTATTCTGTGCTGCTCGGCCAGCAGAGATTTTATTTTCTTGTCAGTATACAAGCCGTATTACGTGAGGTGAGGCGGCTGGTTAACAGTTACTAGAACCCCTCCCTCTATAACCCCAACCCCTTCCCCCACTCTTGGTCCCATAAGCGGTCCTTTTTCTACAATGGATTCTCCTCTGTATATGACTCACATCTCCCTGGGGTAAAAATCATTTCTTTTGAGTGGAGTCATGATGTTTCCACAGGTGGTCCGCAAGAGAAAGACTAGCAGGACAGGAGAGAGACAGGAAAAGGTTATACAAAAGTCAAAGCTCAAAGAGAACAGTGTGCGAGACGGTGTGTGTGCGTGTGTTTTCCATTGTGAGTTCCCCTCACTGTTGGCTGTTCTTCTGCCTGTGTGTGTTTGTGTGCATGATTCCAATAAACGTACAGCGATAGGCTTCCCTGAGTGGAGTGGGCCAGGTTAAGGAGTTTGTCAGAATACACCCATCAGCCCCACTCTTCAGTCATGTAGACGCACTTTCCTTTTGTCGGTATCTTACTAATTTTACAAGTGTTTCATGAGTTGAATGATCAATCATAGCAGTCCTCTCCTTTCCTTGCTCTCTTCCTTGTCCCTTCATGGCTGTGGGTTTTAGATACAGGCACTTATCAAAGTCCCACCAGCTAATTGGAAAATAACAGAGGGGAAAGTGTGTACAATGGGATCCAAGGTGTGTTTCTGGGCTGTAAGGGAGTGTGTGTCCCCTGAGGAAAAGTGCTGCTGATTTTACTGTTGGAGTCTGAAGGGAGCTGTGCTACTGGTGCAGAATATGTGGAGCTTCACTGACCCGGTGGGAGGTGAACTTGGAGCCAAGTTTCACAAGATGAGCCTGCCTCTGATCCTTAGATTTCACACCTGTTACAGTCACTGCTCTGGGATGGCTTCGTCTCACCTCCCAAAACAAAGATGTGTCCCAGAGAAACTCTGATCCAGACTGAGGCCTGGTAAAAGATCTGACAAAACAAGAGTCAGGTTGTCTCTGAGGTGTAGGTTTAATATGTGTGTGTGTGTTGGACTGTGCTCTCATTTCACTGGAGTTTTCAGGAATCTAGTCTGTCAGTGTGGGTGAGGGATTGCAAAGGAACCATTTACACAGTCCTGCACCACCTCCAGTGCCACTGGAGCAGTAGTGTTTGTGTCACTTATCAGCAGTCTTTGTTTTCCAGAGACAACTGCGCAGTGGCACGATGCAGCTCAGCGCTCACTCTCCGCTGCGAGGACAACGGCGTGGTTAAAGAACCCTCGTATGTCAGTGGGGGAGGACTGTCTCCTTCTCCGCTGCCTGTCCCGTCATCATCCATCTCCATCCTTCCGTTACTTCTCCTCTCTCTTTCTCTCTCCTCCTGTGGTCGTACTTTCTTGTCGTCTGACTCCTCCTGTGAGGCCTCCATGCGCTGGTCTTCACTCCAGCGCCTTTTGAAGCGCAGCTTTAGAGGGATGCACTTTGTCTGGGAGCCTGTCTGAGGTGGAGGTGTGTGACCGTCCCCTGGTTCAGTAGGTTCACTCTTGAGGGTAGGCAGCACACGGTGCACATTGGAGTGCACATGATGAGATGTGAAGAAAGGCATCAGGCCAGGTGGAGGTGGAGCAGGGGCTTTGAAGACATCCTCATCAAGGTCCTCATCCGGGTGGGGGTGATGTTGGGGGGCTGCAGTGCCGTTAGCATGGTGATGATGATGGTGGAGGTGGTGGTGGTGGTGGTGGTTGGGGGCCCTGGAGTGGCGAGGGGAAAACAGATCAAACTCTTCGTCTCTCTCATCGAGGTCCTCATCACTGATGTCAGTCACCTCCACCTCTTCCTCTGACTCAATGTCAGAAATGGGCTCCACCTGGAAGGACGTATCAATAAAGAAGGGAGACAGAGGTGAACTTCGAGAAGGATCAGAGAGAATTCATAATAATAATTTTTAATCATTCACAAGAAAAACCAAGAGTGAAATTTAAATCCATGTGTCCTACCTTAATCTTGGGAAGTCCTGCACTGTTTAGAGACTGCGTTGAGGAGGAGGCAGAGATGAGGCCTGAGCCGCTGGCTGAGCTCAGGTCGCTGCCAAACGACAGCGAGGAGCCAAGGCCAGAGGTAGATGACATTGATCCTGATCCTGAGCCTGAGGACATGGAGCTCTGCCTGGCTTTGCTCTGGCTCTGACTGTCCCTCTGCTTCCTGCCGGGCGGTGGCGGCTGCAGCTTGAACTTGAAGGGAGACAGGTGTGGAGGCTCTTCACCCAGGTGGAGGGGGTGGTGCATGGGGTGCGAGTGTGGATGAGGATGGGCAGAATGAGGATGTGGGTGGTGGTGGGCCGAATGGGCCAGAGGTGGGTGGTGGTGCCGCTCTCCTCCCCTCTCTCCTCCTCCTGCTGCTACTCGCTCTGCTCTCTCTCCTCTCTCTCCTGCCAGGGTTTTGTCCGCGGACGGCCGGTGTGGCTGGGGGATTACGATGTTGGGGTACTGGAGGAAGGCTCTGGGGCTCAGGCCGTAGTTGTACACCGACTGGGTGTGGGCCTGCAGGTAGCGCTTCATGTCCTCGGGGTTGAAAGAAAAGTGGGAACCTAACATGGGTGACAGTGTGGGCGAGGGAGTGTAAGGGAGGTGAGATGTTGGTGTCATTGACAGGGCTGGAGACAAAGGAGGTGCTAGAAGCCCCGCTCCTCCTGGCCCTGGTAGAGGTGACACAGGGAAGGGGGACAAGGGCTCTGGGTGGATCCTGTGTCCTGTGGGGCCTCTGGAGCCTGGGTGCCCGGCAGGGTTTCCTGGTCCTCCGTACATGCGGAACAGGGCTTCATGTGAAAGACGAGGATGAATGATGCTTCTGTAACCGCCTCCTCCACCTCCAGGTCCTCCTCCTCCGCTCATTCCTCTCTCTCCCCTCTCCTCACCTGCCCCTGTGTTACCTTCTTCAATCTCAGAGTTGACAGAGGTGCCGTCGCTGCAGTCGCTGACCGAGCCACGTGCCATGCGTCTGGCCACGGAACTGAACATGCCGCCAGGGCTGCGCAGGTCTTCATTCGGGGAGAGGACTTCGGAGGGTGTTGAAGGAGGAAAGCGAAAGTGGGTCCCTGCACCGGTAGGTACGGGAGGGGCGCTCTGAGGAACGCTGCTTCCTGGAGAGTGGAGTCAGGGGAGGGAGCCAGAATCAGAAAAGAGGGAGAGAATACTGAGAAATGATATATAATGCTCTCCTGTGTAATCCTATGTAATCATGCTATCCTATTGTGGGATTAAGAGATATCTGAACATGCACAGGCACGCACAAACACACAGCACCAGACTGTCCAGGCTTACCAGTGGAGCCCATGTCAATGAAGGGGTAGTTGACCAAAACCAGTTTGTTGAAGTTGAATTTATAGGTGAACCTCTTGCCTTTGGTCTTATGGAGGATCCTCTTGTTGTAGTAGTATCTGGTCAAGAAAAGACAACAGAAGACGCCGGGTTCACATATGCAGATGACATGTAAAGGTAAATTTGAGGACACATCAAAGAGTTGAATAACTGACTGCATAATGTCTTATGCAACAGTTTAGATACCAGCAGAAATATAAAGTCTTCATTCGTCACAAATGTACACCTCGTTTTAAAATATCATTTTCCCTTTTTTTATTAAGTATCACAGATGCGCCAGCACACTCAAGCACACACTTTAATAAGCATGAGTCTTTCATGTCGCCTCCCCCCTCTAATGATAGATATTAGGGAGTGTTGTATGACATTTGCACAAAGCAGACCTAGTAATGGGGGGCGGGGGGGGGAGCAGGAGGAAGAAGGGAGAGAAGAAGAAGAATAAAGAGAAAGCAGATAGATGATGGGAAGCTGTGGATGGACTGAGCTGTGATGTTTAGAGGGATAAACAAACAATTAAAAGATCAGACGTCAACGTGTGCAGCTTTAACAATGTGGCCGAATGTGGGCTACCAGAGGATTGTGAGGGCACAGGGGTATATGAAGTGTTGCATGCATGTTTGACAGTGGGTGTGTGTGACTCGTGATACCTTTGGTGGACTTAGATTGCGTGGTACCTTCACTAATCCAAGTGCGTAAAACACAGTCGGGAATCAGAAAAGAATATGTCTTTTGAGGTCTTTTAAGTTCAGATTTCATCTGACAAGCGTCACACACACGCTGTAATTCATTTTGCTAGATGGACCCATCTCTTTATGTAACTCTAAAGCAGAGCCACCAATAATTCACCCCATCTTTATCTGTTTATGTAATGGCCATTCTGTTTTTTTTTTTTTTTTTTCAAGCTTTCTCTCTCCCATGCCTCCTGCCTACAGTACAAGGCTCCATTTTTATTAACCTTTGTCCAGCTACAGCTCTTTATGTAACATCTCTCTGCTTTCTTCCCCAGATCCACATCCACTTTATGTAACCTCTAGATCCCTGGCTGCCAGGCCTCACACAGACAGAACGAAGGAAAGAAGAGGAGATAAAGAGCAAGAAAGGAATAAAGATGTTGTGTTTTGTCTGCGAGGGAGACAACAAGTGTGCGCTCCGTGCTCTCCAAAACTACGACCTAAATGCTGAACACTACCCCTGGCTTTTTTAAACACGAGATTTTAACTAGACTGAACATTTGCTCATCATGTCTGCATGCCTACCTGTTTTTACTGCACGAGACTCTGATTTCCTTTCTTCCCGCATGTGTCTGCTGGCACAAGTTAAGTGAAGTGTGCTGACAAAGACAGGGGCTTCAGGGTATGTAGGTAATGCTGAGATAATCAGAGCCCATTGACTATCATTACACTGAATGGTAGTTATCCAGACGGCGGTGTATGTGTGTCTGTTTGGTGGTGGGGAGGTGTCGCCCTTCACCCCCTCTTATTATGCTTATTACGCAGACTGGTTGGGCCATTTTTTGCTCAAGGAACAGTCTGTTGCTCTTTCCCTCTTGTTCTCTTCAACCCCTCTCCTCTCCTCCTTTTATTCTCTTGATGTCTCTCTCTCTCTCCCTTTTCTCTCATCAATCCTCCTCCCCCTCTTTATGCCAACTCTCCCTCTCCCTGCGCTCTCCACTCATTCCCCTGAGGCGATGAGAGAGGGAGAGACAGGACAGGCCTGCACTGTTGAAAACATTGTTTACGCCAGGCACAAAGCAGCATGTAATTTCTGCTCTAGGGGAGACACTCACAAGGGCCGGGAAGGAGGGGAGGGAAGCAGTCAGGAGCAAGGGGAAAGACGGAGACAGGCAGGAAGTCAAGCAGAATTAAAATCACAACAGGACTGTTATTGAATTAGCTGATGGTTAAAAAAGTCAACAGGCTGTGCTTGGGTCTAGTATAAATATAGATACACACTGCACGGGTAGAGAGAAAACAAAACCCAAGATATGTATCATATAGCAGAATTATAAACCCTAAAAATTAACTTTTATCTACTTCTGACATCTGCTAAACCTACTAAAACACGATATAACTGAGTTTTTAAGTTTTCTCCAGTATTCATCACTACCACAGGCTGCAAAAATGATCATGGAGTTAATAAGTCCTCTCACTTCTTACACTGTTTTAGACAGCAGTTGATCAGAGGTGTTATCTAAAGTTGTGGAAAATGAGGGTGTAGTTTGCACACATCTTAAAAGCTAATAATATCACCGTCCTGGCACATCTGTGTGACTCTGGCTCAGTAGGGAGCATAACCAGCTACAGTTTAGTGTGCACTTAAACATGTGGCTGACAGAGAGATTGCTGAAATTAAAATTTAGGAGCAGACGACAACTTTAACGTAATCACAGCTGCAGCGACCGAAGGTGCGTCTAGAGCACATGGTCACCCACTCGCTGCTCTCCAAGCCCCCTCCTCCTGCTCTGTCATACAGGCAGACAGTCTTTGAAGAGCATTTGAACTCACTTCAAAAGAGAAGAAAGAGATTCTTTGAGTGCCTGTGTTTAGCTGCCCACCGCACTCGCCTTGCACATGCACACATACAGACGCACACACCTCTTTCCTGCCCTGACTCTGTAACTGTCATCTCATTCAGACGTAGTCAAACACATGGGTGCATGTGCCCCCACACACCCGTAGAGCGTATCATCCTGGAACTGCGGCTTTATCCCGCTCCCTGTTTAACCAAAAGAGTAGATTGAACAATCAATGCGAGTATGGATTTAGGCAAAGCCTTCAGGGAAACAGAGCTGAGGCTTTCTATCAAGTCTGTTGTTTCTGTGTGTGATTCTAGGCCAGGGATTAAGGCTGCGATTACACAGACCTGCTGTGGTCCAAAATACTATGATCAAAGCAGAAACACACTTACACACACACTCACACACACTGGACTGCAGGAACTCTGTTGCAATGAATGATCACGGCAGCATTTTAGCCAAGTCTGAAGTCATTTTAAAGAGAGACACCCCAGAGTTATTAGTCATCTTGACCCTCATTTTCTTAAACGGTGTCATACTTTCTTATTCTGCACCTGAACTCATGATTTCTTTCCATTGATTTCCTGCTAAACTTGTTATTAATACTTGTAGTCGTACGGTACAATACATTCATAATAAGAGAGGAAGCGTTAGTGCATAGAATATGATCTGTACATGCTTTGCTCAGTTGGTGTTTTCTATACTACTGAGCCAGGCATATAAAGGTAGTAATTTCATGTTAAGTAACTACTTTATTTAATCAATGTTAATTATGAGTAATTCTGAGCTTTATTACAGAAAATGCCCAGTTATTCACATTCGATTAGAAGTTCATGACGTGCAGAAAAAGGCATCCCAAGTGCTTTTGAACACTCCATTAGACACCGTTCTACTCTAAACATTAGCAACACATTAGTGGTAAATTTGAGTATCTTCATATTTACCTGTATTATAACTAATTGATATTGTAAAACCGGAAAGTCATGGTTAAAATAAACTGGATGGTGTAATTTAGAAAAAAATTTACTTCTTTTTATATAAACTTGATCCTTAAAAGTAGTCGCTCTGTTCTTTGGCTCTGTTGGATGCTTCTGTATTTACTGAGTCATCATCGACCAAGTTGCTAAAAATGTGAACAAAGGGTTAGGGCAAAATCAAGCCAATTCTTTAGGTGACAATAAGTTTGTTTGTTTGCAGCCATCACAGCTCCCTGAATGCTCCTGTTGAACACTCAGCTGTAATAAACGTGTTTAAAAATGCTGTAATGTTTTGATGTTGGTTAGACACACAGCAGTCATCTAACTTCTGAGATGTTTCTGGACTGAATGTTCTTATCTGTGATTCTGGTTGGAAAAAAGAGCCGCCTGGTATTATTGACAACGTTTTGTATTACCTATAATATGATATGTGTATTAGATCACCAATCTATTTCTGTATCACTTTGTATACACACACAAATGTCAACACTGAAAACAAAGTACACTAACCCGTGTGTGTGTGTTAGTGTATGTGTGTGCATGTGTTTGTTGGTGTGTGTCGACAGGCTGTGCCTTTCCATTGTTGGGTTGTAAATAGGCGCTGACTGTGACAGGAAGTCGGGATTACAATACTCCCCATGAGCCCCGTGTTTATTTTCTGCCTCTTTCGTCAGCATTGGCTATTGCACACACATCACGTCCAGATCCTTCTATACACACACACACACACACACACACACACACACACACACACACACACACACACACACACACACACACACACACACACACACACACACACAGACCAGCTGCTCACGCTCAGGTGTGTGTATGTGTGTTAATGATGCACATGTGAGAGTGTTTTGTGTGGAGGCCAGGTTTGGTGAGTGTGAACCGTCTCAAAAAGGACATAAAAATCTGTTTGTGCAGTGATGTGGGCAGGGTGGGGGTACGATAAGGCGAGGTGTCACATGCTTTGTGTGTGTGTGTGTGAGAGAGAGTGAGGGGTAAATATGTATATGTGTGTTTGTGTGTGAAGAGGAGATCTGGTCAGGGTATGATTAGGCCAGTCACATGCTCTGTGGGTGTGAATATGTACTTGAGTACACTCTGGTGTGTGTGCATGCCGCCCTCCAACAAAATAAAGGCCTCATTCAGTTGGTCACAATGACGTTCACACAACATGTACACTGGACACATGCACACAGCAGCCGCAGACAATGGAAAGACAATGCAAACTGATGTATGTGCGTTGAACACAAAGTCATACAGTGGTACTGTCCCTGGGTGCTCCCTCTGCACTTTCTCCCTGGCCCTGGGTGTTTCCACACAAAGCTCTGCTGCTGCGGTGAGAGGCCTTCTGACCTACAAACAGGCCTGGCCAGAGGGATGAATAACACTGTGAGCATATGCAGCAGAATGTCCTGCACAGGGTTTTGGAGATGTGGTCAGTAAAGTTCGACCTTAAATGCAGTTTTATAAACCGAGTTTTGTCCATGTATCTTGAAAAGTTGATACCACTAAACAGCAAGAGAGGGAGTACTCTGATTTTTGAGACTATTCCTCTGTAAAAACAGGTCTGATCATCATTTAACCTGGCAAATATCAAAACCAGGCCTTTTCAAGCTTAGCTTTCATCTCTACAGTCTGTCTGGCCAAAAATGTGAGTGTCATGTAGAGTGTCTTCTATCATGCATTCTCTCTTGCGCTTGCTTAAAGCCCAGTTTTTCTTCTCTGATTTCTACAATCTTAGTCCAAGCTTTCCTTTTTGGCAGCACATTTTTCAAACAGCAATTTTTTTTTCTTACACCTGCTAGCAGATAAAAGTGTCAAGAAGGCACCTTCCTGTAAAACAAAGTCAGTTGAGAGCCATGACTTGTTTGTTTTAGATACAATAAATAATACGATTAAAACGTTATCATGAAAGTGTAGTCCATTTTCAGCTTTACCATACCCAGTTTTTTCACAGAACTTCCATTCTATTTCTGTCCTACTATGTGGGCAGAGTTCCAGCCGAGGCGGCTTCGTCACCGTGAACTGAATGTTGGAAATGAAGCAAACACTACAAACATGTGTGCACACAAGCATGCACAGGCAAGAGTCCTGTGTACAATGGTGCATTTGTGTATGTGAATGAGCACATGTGCTGTGATGTTAATCTTTGCCAGCTGTGCATGGCAGTACCCCTGACCTCTGACCGCCATGTTGGAGCAAATGCTGGCTGCTGACTCCAGGACAAGGGGGGGGGCCTGGAGGTCCCTTGGTATACTGGGACCTCTTAGCATGATTACACTCATTAAGTCAGGCAGCACTCTTAAATGACTGATTGGCACCAGGCTTCATCTTCCTGACTCTGCTGTGTAGGTCTCATTAACAAGAGACAGGGGAGGGCTCTGTCTTTTATTTGTGGACAGGTTTACTTCCTCAAGCTAACGTATAATTCCTCTTGACAAACACAGATAGTGATAAATAACAATGTCCCTCTTTTCATTCATGAGCTGGACCAAAATAGTACAACCGCGCTGACCTTTTTATGCATTTGGCTCATTGGAAAAAAAGACATGGCAACAAAATCCTTCATCAATAAATCAACAAAACAAGCCGAGGAAACAGTGGTAAACTTCTCCAAACATCAAGGATGTCCGCACACATCCACAAATATCCACACATACACACACACACGCAGCCAATGTGAGCGCAGTCCTCTCAACAGGAGTGGGAATTTCACAGCGGCCGTGGGAGCGGGAGACCAAAGATGACGCATGAGCTGAGGCTGTGTCCCCTCAACAGAAAGCCAACTCTCACACACACACACAAACACAACACACAGACACACAAACACACACGATACAGCGGCCCTGATTCCTGATAAAGGGAATTTCCACCATGTGCATGGCAGACAGGAAAGATCACAGAGTTAAAAATAATGATTACAAAGGCTAAGTGATAAAAAGAGCACTTCAAAAACAGGCGTTCCTTTTCAAGTATGTAAGCATGTGTGTGTATGCTAATTACCACATGCTGACTGTGCTCGCCTTTATTAGCAGACTCCAGCTTTTCTCCACATGAAGGGCACGGGGGTGGCCTGTTCCCTAACAGTCTGCAGCTTGTTGGGACTGTAAGCATGCTCATGTGGATTTGTGTGCCTCCTGTATAACTTCATTAATCTTTAGTGCCATTAATCCTCTCGCCACATTACTATTTATGTGCGTCTTGAGAGGCTTCATTTCCAGGGCCTCTTGCGGTGCGGGACTGACGACAGTTCTGGTGTCAATTCAGGTGACTGGATGGACATAGGTGTGCGCGTGTGTGTTGTTTTTGTCGACCTGGCCTTCTCAATATAAGCCTGGAGTGACTTTGCTTAATTTAGAGACAAAGAAGGAGGGTAGAGGAGGACACAGAGAGAACCTAAGAGGAAACTCCTGTGTTGAAAACTTGCTGGTAATCAGCCTCTGAGGCCAGGCCATCAGAGGGCACTAAGACTCACTATATATAAGCACTTACTGCAGCCTAAGCTCCAAATCTGTTACAGCTCTACAGGATGGACAAGCTATAAATAAATACACAGCCTGCCCATCCTTATTCTTTTCTCTCTAATTTAGACTCTAAATCCGTACGCATAAAGCCGAATGTATGTGCGCATCGCATGTATGCGCACATAAGTAGTGCGTGTTCGCTTCCCTGTCCTTGTTGCATGTGATCCGTAACAGAAGCTATCTTGATCTCGCATGCTTAAATGAGCATCCATAAGCCTTCCAAACCTAAATTAAGCGACTCCATAGATATCCCTGCTTTAATGGGCAATGTGGCTTTCTTTAAAGTGCTTAGTCTAATCTTAGTGGGCATAAACAACAAGCCAGGGGACACATGACACAGTTCAGCACATTGTGTCACAATGTTATGAAGTTACACTGACTGACACAGATACTGACATGTCAATATTACTTCCTTAAATGCAGTCAATCCAATGTAGCCTAAAAATAATTGACTGTTTAGTTTAGTTCTCTTTCAGCCAAAAGTCTCCGCAGAAATAACAAACTGTTAACAACAATACTTACTGCCAAGGTGGGAGGAACTTTGGATGCATAACGCCCCAAAAAAAGACAAAAGCTTGCGCCTATTCTCCCCTCCAGCATCAATGATGAGCAAAAAGCAACACCATCATAACACATGAGTCACATTTTCATGAGATATTTATACCTGAACTTGAAACTGGGGTCAAAACATTTACTGCGCCAAATAGCTGCCGTAACACACTAATGGGCTTTGCTGAGCTTGCAACCAGAGGTATAAAACCTTTGAGGTGTGACCCACCAAACAGGTCAGTGTTGTAACTATACTTGTCCAGGTATGCCCAGGGTGAAGGCACGAGGCCAGGTCCACTTTTGCAGCAGTATTATAGACTTGGCTGGGTGCTATTGGTGCCGAGGCATGCAGAAACGGTAGTTGGGTGGAAGTTTGTAGTATAGCTGGCCTCATAATAAAGAACCTTAAAGAGTGAAACTTGAGAGCATAACAGCTCTATGAGCACCACGAGAAAAACTATCTGCTTTATGTGTTTTTGTTTTTTTAGTTCACCCTACATTGAAAACAAAATCGATGAAAAGAAAATCGATCATGGAAAACATGGAAGTGGCATTTTGACGTGTTTTGTACATCCTGTCGTGTGACTATTACCTACGTAAACATTACAGTTACCACGCCAGCAGGCGATAAATTGCTTAGCCCCCAAAAATGTTGGGGATTATCTCCAGACTTGACCTCCTTTACAGCTGGGTTCAGGAGTTCTTCGAAGTGTTCCCTGCCCAACTAGTTGGGGTAAGAGGTTTTTCTCTCTTGGCAAAAGCACCGTGGCCTAAATCCGCGAGTTCAAGAGTTGTACCATGGACAGGTGAACCTAACAATACATGTTTAATACCAAGCACACTATCTCAGACTCATCCACTTCCAAGAAGATGACCTATAGTGTCCCAAGTGCAATTACACTCCCCCGATGGACAGACCGTCAAGGCCTCTACTTCTGTCCGCTGTCCAAGTCATGACCCGGCACCACACGACAAGACTGTGACTCTGTGTGAAGTGTTTTTACTGCAAGGCCTGTTTCCAGTGGGGGTCTGACCTGTGTCCTAACCCAATGTGGGTGTCTTAAATAGATTACTCATAAAAGTCTTTACCAGTCTGAGTCAGAGGTTTTAATTAATGAAGTATATTTTCCGTCTTGAGTTATAAATTTGATTTTCTTCCACCTACCACTTCTACAAAAAGTGCAGTGTAGATTTATATTCGAGCTTAAACTATCTAAACGCTAAAAAGAGTCTTGTGTGTTGTTTTTTGCAGCCCTACTGCAAGGTCTTTTTCGATGAATCCTTCAGCTGAAGTGTGTGGGCTCTTTTCATTTAAGCATCTGGTAAATCTTTGTCAATGTGCCTCCATAAGTTTCACTCGTTTCAACATACAGATGCTAAATGAAACAAGCGTCCCTGTCATTTTACCTCAGTGCCCTGCTCAGTTTATCGTAGTTCATCTGGGGTTTACATTTCCGGGCCCCCCACAGCCGGGCCACTTCATCTGGATCCTTGATGACAAACTCGCCATAGTCCCCCTGCCAGGCGATGACATCGTGGTACTCTTCTTTTCTAAGCAGCTCCAGGATAAAGTGCCACAACTGGATCTGCCTGGACCCCGGACTCGACTCAGGCTTATAGGCCCAGTCCGGGAAGGCGAACCCTGCAACAGAGAGATAAGGAGGGAGCGGGGTTAGCGCGGGCGGCCCACTGGAGTAAAAATATAAAGAGCAAATGTTTCGAGCGAAACACAAGAGGCTGCATCTAACCTTAGACAATTTATCAGCATTTATCTAATCAACCTTGAAAACCCTGTTTGCCACCGAGGAGAAATTCAGACTATTGAGGGCTGCTCTAAAATAAGTCAACAGAAAAGACTATTAGGAGTCAGCAGTTGTGGATGGTTCAGGTGAGTGGATTCTATTCTATGAGGGAAAAGAGGATTATAGGTGTCTAGCCAAGTATAGATCACACACAACAGAGCAGCTTAGTCAGGCAGTGTCCTCATTCATATTTCCCACTGCACACGGCTGTCTGCTCCAAATGCTTCCTTTGCATTTATTTCTCTACTTTTCACACAATCTTTGAATAAGATCTGCGGGTTATTTTTGAGAAACTTGAGAAACAGTTTGACACAGTGAAAAGCAAAAAAAGAGGTCAGGAAAAGGTGAAAAAAAAGAGGGATGGAGAGACAATAAGATGGCACAAGAAGCTCTGTGACATTCCCCAATTCTCCTTGAGTTTATTAATTTCATCTTAATATTAATCTTAACAAGACTGTTCAACGATATATATATATACACAGCAAGCAAAGGTTGTAAAATATCTGATTTTCTCTCTGTCTGAGCCCTTCCTCCAGACTGAAACTCTAAAAAAAGCAATTTTATTTTTTTTTGCAGGGGTCAGAGAGAGTGTGATAGTTCAGGAGACAATTTATGTAGCAAGAGAAAATGTTCCGGTGATTCAAAATGATATTAAACTGTTTGTTATAACCCCCATCAATTTAAGTTTTAATATATGATGTCTCAATTATAAAATCATGAATATGCTACAGCAGCAGAGCCGTTTGAGAATGATGGCTGAGTGTGTAAATAATGCGTACTTTGCAGCACGTGTCACTCTGACATTTTGTTCTGCTTGGCTGGTTAGGTGGAGAAGGAGGTTAAGCAGGGGTTCAGGTCAGTGCTTCAAGTGGGACACGCAATAAATTTAACACACTGGTGTAATGGGACATTTTTGGCACGCAGAGAAAGAATAGGACAGTTGGATAAGTGCATGGTGAGACATAGAAACATGTTTTTTGTGTGTTGTGTTGTAGTTTTTTTTAATACTTCAGGTGTATCACAGAAGTATCATGAGATATAAATTTGGGCTATCATTGCCACCTAGATTTATACTGAACAGAAGACAGTCAGCTGCAGAATCAGACTTCTGCAATAACCACATTTTAATGTCAATAGGTCACCATCTCACCACATCAGCTCGTCACAGGAAATACACACACACAAACTGAAACTACATTACGAAAAGTCGAATTGTCAGTGGGCTTCATGGAACTGTTGTGCCCATGCAATGAAAAAACCTTTCCACCTCTCCTCCACCTCTTTCCTCTCATGAAGTCACTCTTTCCTACAACAGGAGGAAAAAAACATGACCAGTCATCTCTCCTCTCTATCCCTCCATCAGCTCTCCACCCGCCGCCTAAAGGAAACGCAAGAGTAGGAGACACAGAACGAGACCGTGGGTGTGGGTATATGACTGTTTGTGCGAGCATGTGTGTGCCCAAATGTACAAGTTTGAAAAAGAGTTTATGTGCCAGTGCGCGTGTTTGAAAATGTTTGTTCAAGTCTCCCACTAACATTCTGTTGCCTGGGCGGTCAAGAAAATCTGACACGACCGAGCAAAATAAGACTATCACAGTGTAATGTTCAGCCAGATTTAGCCTGGACTGGATTTTATTTTATCAACAGTCCTCCTCACAGCGCTGATAAACACACAAGTGAGGAGGCGGACTCAGAAAAAAGAAATAGCATCCAGGCTTCTTAAGTGAGCCTATCAGTCCCACTGATGTTATTTTATAATGTTTGGTGGTGCAACGTTGAGCGTCGCATTACACCGAATAACCAGTCAAATTGAGTTACCTGTCTGATGTAACACAATGCAACACAATAGTCTGTCAATGATTACTATGCTTTGTTGTTGTGCCTGCTTTACTGCTGATTTAATCTTGACTGTATTATTGGGGGACTTTTAAATCGATCAGTGTTTTTAATATATTTTAGCAACCCTATTTATTTTTATAGATAAAGATAATTAGAAACGGCTTGAAATAGAAAAAGTAGTAAATCAAATTCACAACTTTAATGACACAAACCACAACATAGCCAGTAAAGCAACTGACTTTTTCAGTCTCTTTTTGTCATCTTTATGTGAGCAGAATATTTGATATTCTCTCTATTAGCCTGTATTAATTCTAAGCCTGTGCAACTACAACACCTAAGCATCCTTCCTTAGGATCAATAAAGGCTTATCTTAGCTTGTATAAAGCTATCATGAAGCCAGTGTTTGCGTTTGTTTAACTGCAGCATGCAAATGGCAGCAGAGGAAATGAGACAGGCTTGGTGGGGGATTGGGAAACAAACAGACCCGAATCATCAGATTACAGATGCACAGGCCTGTCGATGGATTTGTTGGACTGTGAGCATGAGCCGTGGATAGATAGCCCTGATAATCTCTGCTGCACTTGCCTATTCTGACCATTTAGTCACTGTTGCATAACACTCAATAATGTTGGTAGCACATCTGCTTGAATGTATGAGTGTTCCCACTGAAGCCTTTCATTAACAGAAGGTACTTACTGTACTTTTAGTTGTTTGTTTTTTTTAATGCTACACAAAAGGACAACTTACATCAAGCACACATTGATGTTTCCAGCTTTGTTAAAAATAGGCTGAAAGGAAAGTTATCTTCCTATGTGTCTTCTTACTCATCAAGCGTAGGCAACCATTTCTTGGTAGTTTTCCTCCAATCACAGAGGTGTATATGGGAGGCATGGTCAATGAATCACTCAGCTACCCCACCTACTCGCGAGTCATTTTGCGATGCAAAATAAAGACTTTTGAATATCAGTCAAAAAATGCACAGGTTGCCTACACATTTTCCATCTCGAAACTCCAGACAGGATTTGGTCTACGATGACTATTATTCAGATAGTCGGAGGAAATTAACAAGCAGGCTGTGCAGACAGCTTAGCCTCTTTATTCAAACTATGGATTATTGTTCTTTATCACAAACATCATGATGTGTGAAATGATCATGGGTGTAAAAACAGCAAAAACTGCACCGTCTGTGTCTCTAGTTGCTCAGACTTTCCAGACTTGAACGTTGTAGGTAGCAGCTATCATACACATACAAAAATCACCCTTTCCACTCTCCCCCGTTTTTATTTCTTAAACACCCTGAGTGCACTATAATCACAGAAAAACACATGGGGGCGATTATTAACAGGTCAGACTGAGTATGCACATCCAACAATAACACCGACCGCAGAGGATAACGTATTAAGTTCAGTTGTAAGACAGAGATGGTTGCCATGTGGAGGAAAAGGGTATGAGCAGAGAGGAGCAAAAGTGACCGTTTCTCAACCACTGACCCGTCTAAGCTCACAGCTGCAACACTGACGCGGATCTGGGCCAACATTTGTCGGGTCATTTTGTGCGCAGCTGTCTGTATGTGATGCAGAAGTTGTCCAAAAAACAGAGCGAGCAACACTAACAAGGATTAAAATGAAAGAAAATATCATCAAAATTTGAAGCTATTCTGTCAGTTATTTGAAATGACCAAGTGGGCCTGTGCGTACGTGTGTATGTGTGTATCAAGTTTCATCTGCAATGATCTTTTTGACCCTGCTGCAGACCACAGAGGTCACACACAGACACACAGACACCACCATATTTCACCTTAGTCTCTGGGTGATATGGATTTCCTGTAAATACTTGGAGGACTGGATGTGAGTGAATACAGTCAGAGGAACATTCTCCGACTCAGAATGCATACGATCAACTGTGGTCGTCACTGTCATGTTTTAAAGTAAGCATGTAAATACCATGTAGACATGCAACATGGCTGCAGTGCACATGTGTGTGTGTGTGTGCAGTAAAAATACACAACAGAGAGTCTGGTACTTTGTGTAGTTTACCTGTCAGATACCTTTACATCATGTGCTCTGTGACATGTGCTCTATGCTTTTGCAGTGCAGTATGGATGGACGTGTGTGTGTGTGTGTGTGTGTGTGTGTGTGTGTGTGTGTGTGTGTGTGTGTGTGTGTGTGTGTGTGTGTGTGTGTGTGGGAGAGATGGTGAGGATTATGTTTACAGGAATGCTGAGAGCAAGAACAGGTGTCTTTGTCCTTCTCTCCACCCAGAGCCCAACCCAGGCTGAGATGTCCTGACTCACACTGGATCAGCTAACACACACACACACACGCACAGATACGTTTCATCAGCCTCGTACACCCCAAAGGAGAATTTCGGAGAGGAATTTTTGGAATTTGCGTGTGTGTGTGTGTGTGTGAGAGGGGGTATGATCTAAAGTGAAGTTAAAGAAGAGAGAGAAGCGTCACAGAGCCTGCAGAGCACGACGTAACCCCCCTCCACCACACTTAACCCTCCTGACCTCTACTCTCCCTCTCTTTGGCTCCTTTCCCATCCTCACCCTCATCACTCCCTCCCGAGGGAGACACCAGATAGCCATTACAGCATGCATGCACATCTCTCACACACTCTCACCCACACATAGACAGACTTCAGCATCAATAATGTAGAGACTGGTGTGGAGGGTTGACGGTAGGGGTGCGCCTAATCTCTGCCCTGGGACACTAGAGAGTGCAAGTGCGTCAAGAGGTGAGTGTGTGCATGTGTGTATGTGTGTGTGTGTGCGTTTGGAGTTGGGACAAGCGAGGGGCAGGTGGTAGAAAGTGATGCAAAAAGGATGAAGAGGAGGAGGAGGAGAGGGGGGGTCAGAGTGAAAGAGAAGAAGGCAAGGCGAGATGGGAGAGAGAGCGCGAGGACAAGCGGAGAACAGAGAAAAGAAAGTAGCTGAGAGAGAGAGAGAGACATGGGGGAGGGAGAGCGGGGAAACAAAAGTGGGAAGGGAGAGAGAAAGAGAGACAATGGTGAGAGTGGGAGAGAGGAGAGAGGGGGAGGATGGAGGGGGAAGGAAAGAGGAGGGGGGGGACGTGAAGGGAGGGATGAGATCATAGCTCGTCTGGTAGTCTGTTGTCATCCAGATCAGATTGCTTATTCCCCCCCCTCCTCCTCCTTCTGCCCTCCACCCCCCTCCTCCTCCTCCTCCTCATCCTCCTCCACTCCAGGAGTGCGGATGCCTCTTTTCCTCTGTGTGATCTCGGTGGCAGGCCTCTAGCAGACTTCTAACACCGCTGCTATTCCAGCTATGTGCACCAGTCCAACAATGACCTCCACTCTCTTTACACACACAATGAAAGAAGAGAGGGGGCAGAGGGGATGAAAGCAACTGATTGAGAAAAGATTGGAAGAAAAAGAAACGTCTTTAAAGGAGAAGAAGAGGAAGAAGAAGAAGAGCACTTTTGGCTGAGCTGTGGAGAACCAAAGAGAGTGTTAAGCCTCGGTAAAGGGCAACTTTGGTCAAACTTCAGCTGATACCATAGCCCTAGGATTGTCTTTTTATTCCTGCTCCATTTAGCAAGTTACACATGAGTTCTTGTCCTACTTCTTGGAGTTCATAATTTATCTGAATTGTTGATGCGGTTCTGTGTTCTCTCGAAAGCCCTTCTGACAATACTGCTGGGGAATATCACAAACACTGAGCCTTCACGATACGAGGAAACTGTGCCGCGTGCAATCGCGTCATTCAATTTTGCGATGACATTATGACTTAAAATAAACCAACACTCCGGTGAGCATATTGTTTCTATTTTTTTTCTGCTGATGTGGAAGTTTCATAAAATTCTCTTCCTGTCAAACATGGTCTCTCTGTTCTCCTCACTGCTGCCAAATCGACACTGACAAACCTGAACATATTAAAATGTTGGATGTGCTCCTTTTGATTGACTAAACGACATAAATACCAGTTCTGGTAATACCCTGTTAGGTGTTACTGCATGGGTACTTAACAATTGTTTCCTCTTGACTGCATTACAGGCAGTCTTATGCATTGTGTTTTGGGCGAATTGATGAGGAGTTCTAGTTCTGATAGGGCTGGGCGTTATGGCCTCAAATCAATATCACGATATATGGAGCAGGTCACCTCGAAAACGATAAATGGACGATAACTACTCCACAAGCTGCTCACCCCTCTCACATTAACTTCGTCTACTTCAGCCGCTAGTCCAGCCGCTACAACTTTTGAACCGTCCTCCATCTCCTCACCTGTCTTTACCTCTTTGTTCCGGACTGGATGGGGTGGAGTCACGTGTCCGGCATAGGACGGCGTCTTAAAGGGATGTGAGACCAGAGCCTACCTACACACATCCAAAATTAAATCCAAAATCAAATTTTATTTATCTATTTTTTTGACACCAAATATATTGACATGTGCAAAATGAAATCGGTTATTGTCGTAAATTTTGGTATCTGTAAATTTTTGGTTTATTGCCCAGCCCTAGATCCAACAAGCACAATTTGCTACATCTTTGCACTATAATCACTATAAGTTGACTCACAATTTGTATGCAGATAAAGTGGAAAGTTTAAAGTCCTTGGTTCTTTAACTTTACTTAACTTATTTGTTGCAAGCAGGCAAGACAATGTTATCTCTTCCCCCACGAATAAAACAAAAAGGACAAGGACGCCCAGTAGAACAACATCTATATAGGCAAAAGTTTCAAATAGTTTTGGGATACAAGAAAACCCAGCTGTGTTTAAGGTAATAAAACATTTGTTTAATCAAAATCTCCACAACTCTGAGATTTAAGAGCTATGACTTTAAGCTGAATCTTCAAATGAATCGATGATGAAAAGATTTGTTGCGCCAAAACTTTTGGCAACTTTACAGCCTCAGAGCCACGACCTGGGAGAGCAGTGCCAGGAGGGCGAGAGCTGATGGGAAGCCGACAGAGACAGACGGGCAGTCAGACGAAGTAGTGGAGTGAGAAAAAAGATGAGGAGGAGCGATTCCCAAAGCTGCGAGTCCTACTCAGCAGCAAATCAACTGACAGGCCTGTGCCAAACTAACAGTGGAGCTGCAGACTCAGGCTTTTTACACTGGGCCGGGGCCTCTGAACAGCCATTAGTGGCAGTTGGCTGGTACCGCGCTACTTTAAACCTACTCAGCTTTAGCACGGATGTGGTAAACAAACATGCGTGTGTGTATTCACTGTTAGCTCAGAGTCAGTAAAATTACAGAAAAATTATGTGAGACAGTCAGTGTTTGCTTATAGCCCACTCATTCACCAAGAGACTCGCTATTGTCTTTGTCATAGCCGCCTGGATAAGAGAAAGTGCCTGAAGCGCCAAACTCCGGGGAACAGAGGACAGAAACACAAGACCAGGAGGTGGAGGGGAGGGATGGAGGGATAATAAAAGACTTTGGAGGGTGAGACAGAGAAAGTAAGAGTGAAAGGAGACAGAGAAAGAGGAGGGTGGGATCAGCAGCAGGAGGAGGGTAATCAGAGCCCATACGCCTGAATCCCAAAGTGTCTGGACTATTCCCACCAAGTCCATTAAGAATTCATTAGGCCAATACTTCAGGAAGGCTGGAGAGTGAGACGCTGGGAGAGATAGACAGAGACACAGAGGAGTGACAGAAAGAGGAGAAAGTAGTGGATACCGGAGAAGATCAGAGTCAAATTTACCCTGGAGCCAAATGTCTTTTTTTAATAGTTCACTATTATACAAGCTGAAATGTAAACATAACACAATCGATTTAATTTGTAAAGGTCACAGAGCACATTGATTTTCATTATGGAATAACCTGCTGGTTATTGACCGGGTTAGCTAATTCATGGTGTGATACAATAAATGAAAATTTCACCAGGACCTCAACAAAAACTCTAAGATCCTAGAATACTCAGGGTACGATTGTATTGAAGCAAAGTAAAACAACTGAACAGGGGAAAACAAAAGCAGATCTTCAGTTCCAGAGAAGTAAAAATAACTGAGTGAGACGTGTGTTCAGAAAAAAGCTACACGATAAGGTCTAATCAGATGTCTATCCAGAGGATAGGCAGATCAGGGGAAAAACTCTTTGTGATTGTTGAGCAAAGTTTCCTGTGTGCTTACCTAAAGCAGAACACAAATATCCCCTCCTACATTTTTTATGATGAACTGCTATCACAAGACTGTATAAGAGGAGGCATTGAGTTCATGAGTGCCTGCTTCAAACTCAGTATGTTAAACGTGCAGTTTTGAAAAATTCACGTACTGCTTTTATTTGACTAAATCTTAACTTACTATTGTTAACAGTCCGACTGAAACCTCACAAAATCAAACTTCTCACAGTCAGACTGACACACGTGGATAATGTAGTTGGGGATTGATTTTCTCTGTCGTGTAGACGGCTTAAGTTAACTGAAACTGGCTGAAGCGTTCTGTGTATGCTGCATTATTCATACGCGAACAGGAACATGGATGAGTTACTGGGAAGCCAGGTAGTGAACAAAACCTCAACAGATACAGAAAGGACATAAAGAAGAGCAAACTTCCCTAAACCAACGGCACAGAGCTTTAACAGTGATGGTCTTTTTATTATTCCAGGTACATCCCATAAAGCCTCTTCCTAACCTGGTTCGCACAAAATATGTCAACTGGGAGACGACTCACTCAAAAGTTACAAGTCTGAAGGTCCTTTCACACCAGGACCATTTTTAACATGCGATTATTTCGGACGTCAATATTTTTTTCCGAACCCGTATCCTTTCAAGTTCACATTAGCGACGTTTTCCAGTACTGCGATAATGCAGCATTTATTTTTTCGGATCATGGTCAATTTTTCTAAAGTTTCGCATACTGTGTGTCCACTTTTGACCAATCAGATTGCGTGTTGTTGCAACGTCTGATTCACCGATACATCCAACATGGCCGACCAGCGAACTGTTTACTTGTCGGAGAACAGAGTGCTTTTTTGATAAAAGACAAAAGCATTACAAAGATAACGACCTGAAGGACAATATATGGACAGTCATAAAGTCACAAAATCACATCGGGCTTGATGTGTATAGTCAGGGGCGTCAAAATTCTCTTCCGAATATTTCGTAATTTCGTGTTCTATATTTGCGTCGGCCGCGGCGTGTAAGGACCTTAAAGGGGACATGTTGCTACTTATCGGAGCAGAGGTGGACATGCATCTGTCAATAATTTGATTCTTTCCCAGTGCATGTGACCTGGGACAAGGACAGTGATAGAATAAACATACTGACTGATATGTAAAGCCACTACACTCCGGTCTGAGCGATCTTTGTCAAGTTAAAGGTGTGTTTGTTAGTTTGGCATCAAATCTGCAAAATGTTAGCGCCCATCTCCAGGGGTATTTTGGCATGTGTCAGTTTGTGGCCTATGACAAAATAAGTATCAATATGAGTCAAAGTAATAACTGGACTCCCCATTGTGGACTCTTTCCTCAGAAATGTGAGCTGTTGTGACGATCTTGACAAAATTCCCTTGAAGGAAAGTGTTCTTGTCGGACGTCTAAGAGCATTCACAGAACTTGTTAACCTGCAGGGCTGCTCAATTATTCCTAGAGGTCATGACAGTTTACATTTTCCATAAGCTCTTTACAGCAATATAGCTGCAGAGAAGAGATAGACAGAAAGAGCACCAGAGAGCAGAGTGCTCTGTGGCCTTGGAGGGGCCAAAAATAGTGCCACACACACTTACACACACACACACACACACTGAGGTTATTGTTCAACAGTGAGAGAGCAAGAGGGCGAGAGACAGAGAGAGAGAGGAACACACAACATGGATGGAGAGAAGAGGGAAAGTACAGAAGTGCTCAAGGAGGAAGAGGAGGCGGCGAGGAGGGAACAAGTGGGACAGAGAATGAGAGGGACATGACGTAAGATGAACGGTTTGGTCTCTGTGCCTCTCTCTGCTCGCGGCTGTAGAGCTCGTCTAACAGCGAACAGACAGACGTCTTTTCCAGGAAATTGTAGGGGAGGAGCGAGGAATGGAGGAGAAAAAAAAACATATCCATAGGGATCCTCTCTTCCAGAACAAGCTTCTCTCCAGCAGTCATCCTCATCTAATTCACATGCTACAGTCTGTACAGTCTGTTGGGTCACAGCATGGTTCAAATACCCATTAAGTGAGGAAAAGCTTTGAAGTGTGTGGAAGAGTGAGTTACAGCCAATGTTCTCCTTTATGAGCTGGACCAGTGGATTCTCTGTATTAACCAAGAAATTACAAATAACATATGACATAACTGTTCACAGCACAAACTTTTCTTGTACGACAGCCACTTAAAGCTCCTGTGAGGAGTCATTGATGGGCTATGAAACAGACTGAAATGGACAGCGGAGTGTCTGTATGATGTACAATAGCTAATGAGATTACTGAGAGCAGGGAGTGACATGCAAGAAAGGAGCCACAGGCTGGAAGGGGACCTGGGCCGGCTGTCTGAGGCATAACCTTTGTATAAGGGGCACACAGGAGACTGTTACTGTCTCCACACACCAAGCGTGAGTAAAATCATTCGCACGAATGAATTACATGTTAAGCCAATGCAAAGACGCGATTAGACGCTCCTACTACTCTGGCGGCGCGGATGACAAGAATTGGGCGCGAGCTGAAAATGTCTCAACTTGTGCAGATATTCGCATGGTGATAACTAATCAGCACGAAAGTTGCGGGTGACGGATGAAAACGGACAGTTGTTCACTGGTTTCTAAAATGGAGGACAAAATGATTGTGTCGGTCAGCGGGTGCCCCGAATCATGATACCTTTTCTTTCAATTTTTTAAACCATAATAAAAAAGAGCTCGCCTGTAGGCAAGTGAGAGAGGAGGTCGGATTACCTGGTAAAAACTTTTGTCTAATACTTAATTCCGCCGGTTAAATTGGCAGGAATTACCGTTGAAATTACCGTGAATGAAGCAAGTAAATACTATTCATTCATGCATCTAGATACGCACTAATTATGCGAGTAGATGATTTTACTCGCGCTTGGTGTGAGCACCCCATAAGGCCACCATCGCCCCTTTTAAGTCACCCGAAGAGAATAGGGCGCAATAATTTGAAACATACAAGACATCTTATCTGGTGATTTGAGATCTTGAGATTATCTGGTGATTTAAAAACAATAAAAGTTTTTAAATCTCTCCTATGCAGGTTTGATATCTCTACTTTTGAAAAACTAAACCAAACTTCTGCAAGACAAGAACAAAGTATATTGTTTAAGTTAAATTCTGTCCACCAGCAAGCTTGACATTATTCAAAAGATACTTGGGTTTTGTTTGAACTTATACTTTATTTGTAATTACTGGTAAAATAAAGCAAGTTTAATGGACAAACCTTGAGGTAAAACTGCCATATCCAAAGATGTTGATAAAACTTGATTTTATTCTGTGAGTGTCTTAGTGTGTCCTCCTGAGACAACTAAACACAATACACAGACCATGTAACTGGCAACATGTACACACAACAGGCGCTTCTACACCTGGGAGTACCGAGAAAAGGCACAAACACACACATACACACCTCCTCAGCTTTTTCACACGGGAACATGTGCGCTAAAAAGAGCAAAAAGTCTGTGACAGCGACAAACACATGTAGGACAGAAGCACCATGTGAACAATAACAACCAGCACTGTCCACACTTGAGGCCTGAGGCTCTGCACCTGATGCGCTCTCAGGTGGACTGGACAACTGGACTTCCCTCAGAGTAATCACACTTCTAAACAAGCCCTAGTGGGAGAATGTGTGTATGTGCGTGTGTGTGTGAATGTGCTCCCCAGAGTGTGTTAAGAAGAGCAGAATAATATTGTGTCAGTGGGAGAAGAGTCCTGTTGCTCTCTAGATACTGTTTGGTATATTTACTCTCACCAAAGTGACGCTCTGCTCCCAGGACATTTAACACTCTCTGCTTGGACACACATACACACACACACAAACATCATCATCATACTAAAATCAAAGACCATCATGAAAAAAACAGTCTAAATTTAGAGTCTTAAAGTTGAAATCAAACTATTTTTCCCCTCTAGATACAGCCTACATTTAAATTTTCAGGTATCATAGAGCACTTCAATATTTATTCTGATAAAATCATGAATTTGAAACCCCCCAAAAGTCTTCAATCAAACCAATTAAACATCATTTATATAACGCCCAATCACAACAGTCGTTACCCCAAGATGCTTTCCAAAAAAAGGAACAGGTCTAGACCCTGTTAATAAAAAAGTCTGACAAAAATAAAAACAAGAGTGTAATCTCTGGCAAAGCAAAAATGTCTGCCATTATGTCATTTCTACACCTACAGCTATTCTTTCTTTACACTGAGACTTTTTAAACACGTTTTAAGAAATGACAATATCTACCAAAGAATCAATATTAATAAAAGCCACAAAAAAAGTTAAATAAATAAAACCATAAAAAGAAGTAAGACACAAACACAGTCAACTTAAAACCACAGACCTCACAACTCTCCAGCCAATGAATAAATCTGTTCAAAACTCAAGAATAGATGTCAGAATTGATACCTAGAAAAGAAAAAATGAAAATATCATCTGAATCAGACTCTTAATTTTCACCCCTGGTCTTTAAATGCTTTGGGAAGTGTCCGTCTTGTGTTATTTTCCCATGATGGCCTGATAATTTCCTTCAAAGTGACTTTTTCGGGAAAAGCTGTTAAGGCTAACACAAGTGTGTTAGAGGCCACAGGCGCCTCTCTTCTCTTTCACTCTGTCGCTCCACCTCACAGGCGGCTGTTAATGTACTCCTGCAGCCAACAGCTTGGCAAAGAGCTGCCAGATGACACTTCACCTCTGGTTCAACAACATACTGCCTACACACACTAATGCCTGCATGAGAGAGTGTGTGTGTGCGCGATGACACCTGTGCATGTAGGAAGAGAGACACTGCCATTATATTTGCATCTATACGATGCGTCTACATTTAATAAATCACACGCTCAAATCCTGAATTTAACATCATTTGATTAATCTGAGATAAAGGACTGTCAGGACATGAATATTTGTCGTCACCATTGAGCTTCAGACGTGCAGCTTTGACCCTGTTATCATCAAATTGCAGGGTCAAAGGGTGATTTCGTCACAGAGTAGTAAATAAGGTGTGACATGATGGACCATACATCTGTTTGTGTATCTGTAAGTGTGTTTCTAAGAGATAGGTGGCACTTTTAGGTGCTGGTTTCCTGGAATGTGCCACTTGAGCGGGACAGGATGTTAGCAACTGTTGTGCACCACAGCCACAGGTCTGTTTCCTGTGAGTGTGCGTGTTTGTCCGTGTGTATGTTATTTCTTTAGATAAGCATTTAAGTCTTATGGGAATCAGAACCAGCCTGGAACTGAAGAGTATCACAACTCAAGGACGATGGCTGTCTGTGAACATGTGAACGGACTGAAAGTAGAGAGAAAATGTTGCACACTTGTTGCACTAGACTTCCTAGCATGCGCTATTATGAATCTCAGACCCTGAGTGCATGATTAGGTCTTAAAATATATACATTCACCGACGAGGGCATGTATGTGACAGCATGTTCTGCAGAAGAGTCTGGATTTTCAAACACATATGACAAACACAGAGCTTCGTCCTGCTGAAAATATACACAGAACCAGAAAAACAAGTCCACAATAGCAGCTTCAGACTAAAACACCCTGCATGTGTGTATATTTATGCGTGTGAGTGTGTGTCAGTGCTGACTCAGTGCGTGAATGTGTTTGTAATTCAGCCTTCACAACGCAAACTCTCCTCCATTCTCTCTCTCTTGCACTCCCTCTCCAAGAGTCTCCTAGCAACCAGACACTTAAGGCCTAAAAATAACCCCCAGAAACGAACAGAACAAAAAAATAAAGCATAAACGGCAATTAATCCTTTCAAGCCGGGAACATGGACTCAAATAGAGCAGGTATTAGAAAGGAAAAGAGCAGGGCAGGAGCGAGCCGGCAAGAGGTGGAGAGAAAAGAGTGGGAGGGCCGAATCTGCCAGCAACAGGTAGTTGTCAGGAGACAGAGGTCTGCGCTACATGACAGTGTTTGAGAGAGAGAGGGAGTGTGAGTGTGTGTGTGCGTGTGTTTAAGTGCGTGAGTGCCCACTAGCCTTGGCTGGGAACAAGACAGAACTTTTCCACCCTCTCCAAAACCCGGGGCCGCTCAAGGCAAACAAGGCTCTAGTGTAAACGAGGCCGGCAGTCCTGCAACAAGCTGGCAACAAGTCCCGAGTTAAACCAGGTTTGAAGAGAACAACACACCAAAAGACCAGGCAAGGCCTCCCTCTGTTTGACAGCGAGAGCTTTTATTTTGATTTTTTTTTCTCTACTTTTCCCTCCTCGTCCTACCACGTTATGAAATAAACAATGTTACGAAACAGAGTAAAAAGACAACTGAGTCATGAGCACACACAGAGGCCGGCTGTCTCGCGTCTGAAGCCGACACATTCCTCAGTGGATTAAAATTCTGGATGCGTGATGGCAAGTGAGAGACGAAGCAGCCAGACACCTGATCTTTACACCAGACAGCTCACAGTTCAACAGGAGTTGATCTTTTAAAGTCAGATGGAGATTGTGCAGAGCATGCATAAATATCCTGCATAAAAAAAAATCAGTTAGATTTTATCAACCTGAGGGTTTTTACTTAAAGTCACTCAGTGAGTAAAATTGTAATTGTCAGTGAACACTGCAAAAACCAAACGACTTCTAGTCTTTTTTTCTGGAAAAACAATTCAATATTTACCAAATTCACATAATAGATCTGGATAAACATCTTATATGAAGATACGACGGACTGAAACTCAAATCTGACTTGCTTGTTAAGTGTAAAGTGGGTTGCTGTACTTGAAGCATCACTGAGTATGACCATGATAAGTACCCTTGCATGGTTCTTGCAAAGCACCACATTTTTTAACATGAACTTTAACCTCATGGTCACAGAGGTAGCCTCCTTAGTCCATGTCTCTGTTTGAGGGCACAAAAACTAAACAAACATGAGTCTCACTTTCTGCCAGTCAAGCCTCTGCTCTTGTTTTTTTAGGCTCCGTCACTGAATGCCAGTAAAAGCAGAAGAAACAGTGAGAAATGCTGTAAACGACATATCCAAACATCCTCTTCGTTTACGCTGTGTTTAAAGTGAATAAAACAATTTCATGTTATAGTTTGTGTTGTTTTCTGGGTTGCTGCTCTCTTGTTTGTGTGCACGAGATTTGCATTAAAATAAAGATTGCAATAAGGTTTCAGCAAAGTTTAAGCAAAAGGAGTGACAAAATTCAGAGTATTCAAGATTCAAGATGAGCAGTTGCAATCAAAGGACAGTGGACTCGTTATCTTGCAAAGCTGGTGGTTTTGTTTATCATATTTAATTACGGATAAGGCATTATCCTGATGAAGTAGGTTTTCTTTGTCCTCATTCCTAAAGAACCTTAAAAATGCCAGCATGCGACAACTACTCAAGAAAGTGAAGCTTCAAGTGAGCTTTGAAGGACACCATATGCTTGAGGAAAGTGATTAACCAGGTCTTCAGTAAAGCACTCATTTCTAAAAGGCTCACTGAGTTTCAAAGTTTTGTTGCCAAATACTTCAAAAATCTTAACAAAAAAGCCCTAACTTTGATTCAAATGCAAACACTTTGCTAAGTGCCTTGAATTTACCCATCTCTAAAGGTAACAGGTTGTGTCAAGTAAGTGGTAAAACTTCAACACATTTAATTCTCAGTTAGCGAGGCATGCATGAATTCTCTTATTTTCATTGTGATTCATCTGTTCATTCTTAAGACATGTGACCCTAGACTTCGCAAGCTTGCTGACCTAACCTGGGCTTTTGCAATTAAGTACTTTCAAAGTATTTTTCTTCTAGTAGGAATCTTATTTATGAAATAAAGTGGTGACCTACCAAATGTCAAAGGCATGCTGGGTAAGGATGAGTTATAAGCTGACGAGTGGCTTCCATTGTCCTTGCAGAATCTGAACACTCAACACAGTGAGTGCCTTTGTAGAAACATTCATTCATATGCTGATGATACCATCATTAAGTGCTGTATGACTGACTTATGACATAAAGGTTTTAGTCTTCTTTGTACAGGTCCTTTCACACTGGGACTGTTTTTGTCGCGCGATTATTTCCGACATCAATATTATTTTTCAAACCCGTATCCTGTCAATGCGAGCATTCACATCAGCGACGTTTTCCTGTTCTGCGATATTGCGGCATTTATTTTTTCGGATCATGGTCGATTTTTTAAAGTTTTGCATACTGTGTGTCCACTTCTGACCAATCAGATAGCGTATTGTTGCGACGTCAGATTCACCGGTATATCCAACATGGCCGACCGGCTTATCGTTGACGTGTCAGAGAACAGAGTGCTTTTTGATGAAAGACAAACATAACACCTGAAGGACAACTCGTGGAGAGTCATAGTGTCGGATTTCTCATATAACGATGGTTAGTGTGCTTTAACAGTTTGCTAAACGTCTTTGTATTCACTTTCATCTGTGCTAACGTAAGCTAACGGTTGTTACCATAGTTTCATCTTATCGCCTCTGATTGGCTACAAGTGCTGACCATTTGGCTTGAGCGTGTAATGACGTTTCCAGCTTTTCTAGCCAATCAGAGGCGAAGGAAGCGGGACTTTCCACGGCAAAAGTCTTCCCCGGGATGCATTTTTACCCCCTGGAAAGTCACAAATCGCATCGGGCTTTATGTGTATAGTCAGGCACGTCAAAATTCGCCTCTGCATATTTCGTACTTTTTGGTTCTATATTTGTGTCGGCCCCTGTGTGTAAGGACCTTAAAGATCAAATTAAAATGGGGCAATGGGGCATAAAGTGGTCATGAGCACTGACTGAATGCAAACCAATGAATGTATTGAATCATGAATGTATAGATTTATGCAACCTTGAAGATCTGTCAAAAAAAAGCTACACTTATTTCTCACAGCCTAAATGTTTGATTCATTATCCTTCTGCTGTATCATGTGGCAGTTTTGTATTCATGACCACAACTATAGTTTTCTAAAGATGCATTCTGGGATTTCTTACAAGTCTTTCTTTGAAAATGAATGCTCCCTGTAACAAAAGCTAAGAAGGAAAAATGCATTAGTGGCTTGAGCTGTGTTAGTGAGCGTGCCCTGGTGCGTGTTGGTTGTTGGTAAAAGCCTGGCTTCATAAATCTGCAACAAAGGGTCTTATCTAAGCCTCAAAACACAACGTAAACTAATTAGCGACAGGTGGTGTTTGTGCATTGCGCTTACACTCCTCTCGCTACTCATCCTCCTCTTGTCAGCCATAGAAACGTTCAACACCATAATAGATACAAAATTATCCTCAAGGAGCAGTCACTCTGAATTGCCTGATATTTCTGCATGTGAGTTTCCTTTCACTGGCCAAGCTTGAACGTGGATTCTAGAGTGAGGTTTCTGAAAAACTATAAGGGTTGCATACCCCCAATGTTTGGCATTTACTAAAAATAAACTGTTAATAAAGCGCTGTTAATAATGAAGAATAAATTCATACTTTCAGATAGGACTGGGCGATTGTATGATCGTGATCGATGATCGTGATAAATTTTAGTTCGTTCACGGTGATCAGCTGAGAGCATATTTACCCGATCAAACATAGAGGAAATATGCGTCACAACAGCCAATCAGAGTCAAGCTTTTCACTTCTGTGAGTGGCCGGAGAAGTAAACAGGAGAAGTAAACAGAATGACTGAACATGAAGCTAAACGCGGAGCTGAGGGCAGAAAAACAGATGTTAGCCGTGACTTTGAGTCATTCTCCGAAGATGTTATTGTTGAGAAGTTATTCAACGTCGGTTGTGAGGTGATGGTTTGGGTATCTCCAAAGTGACGTTGAGTAATTAAGCCGATGAGCAAGGTATGTCGGCGATCGGTGCCCTCAAAAATCGGCTACATAACAAATCTGTTTAATCAATTGAAGAAGTACTTCCCGAGTGATTATGTTATTATTATTAAGCATGAAAACGCGAGCGGAGTCTGCACAGCCTGTCAATGCTGATGGCATGAGTAGCATTAGCAGTTTAGCCACAACTAACAGTGCAGCCACCAGACCTAGGCAGCGATTAATCGTATCATTTACGTTTACATCATCTAATGTTTACATTTAAAGGCATCTTTATTATCTCTGAGGGAGCGATTTCATTATTTTGGGTCTTGCATACCTGCAAAAACACTCAGGACTGTAAACTCATTCACTGTATTATCTAGTATTTATCTACATTTGTTGTACTGTTGAGTTAAAATGTTTTTTATACTTATTTCAGTGTATCTTACTCAAATTGCTTTGTTATTTACTTTGTATGTTAATAAAATGTTGAACTAATCTCTAGTTTCTCTAGTTTTTCGTACAAATACTTTAAAACTGGCAGTAAAAAAAAAATTGTGATAATAATCGAGATCGGACGATATGACAAAATATATCGTGATAATTTTTTTGGCCAAATCGCCCAGGCCTACTTTCAGATATCTTCTAGAGGATGTGAACACCCTCTGTGTTATTCTTAATCATGTATGTTTTATTTGAGTCATTCAGCTGAAGCAACTATTCCAATCTAAAGACAACATCCACTAAAAACAAATCTTCTCTCAAAACTCACAGCCGAAGTGGGAAGCCTCTCTCTCTCTCTCTCTCTCTCTCTCTCTCTCTCTCTCTCTCTCTCTCTCTCTCTCTCTCTCTCTCTCTCTCTCTCTCTCTCTCTCTCTCTCTCTCTCTCTCTCTCTCTTGTTATGAGCTGTGTGCTGTTGTTCAGACTGAAGGTAAGAGTGGAATAGGTGGTTGGCCCTGGGGAGTCATGTTTTTCTCTGGTGCTGCAAACTGTGCTGATGATGGCTTGCATTCATGAGATATTCACAGCCAGTACAATTATAGTCGTGTGCAGTTACTCCAAGAGCCCCACGTACAGTAATATAAAAAAGAAAAAAAAAAAGAAAAAAAAACGCTGTACAGGATTTTCTACAAAATGAAGACCATCAATGACAGTTAGTGTTTGGAGAGAAAACAACATCAAAGAGTCGTCTGTTGACCCATTCAACACGCTCCCATCCAACATGGGCATGTACTCTCCCTTCAAGACTCGGTTATCATCGAGGGAGGCGTAAACCTAAGTTGAGGGTGAAGCTGAGGGCTGGTGGCCCTTGGGTGATGAGTGAACAGGGAACACAACAGCTTGCCAACCGGTACTGTTGTCCACAACACCTTTCTGCTGCTGCGAGGAGAGCAGCTTTGAAGGTGCTAATAGATGACTAATGAGAAAAAAAATCAAGCTTCACATCAGCATTACATCAGGATGATAGTGAGAAACAGACAGGACCCCTTTGCCGTTTACAACTGAAAACAAGGGGGGGTACCAGGCTGAAAGGATCCAGATCTGGGCTGCTTTAAAGCTCCTGCGTTGAAACAGACTAGAATTATTACAAATGCTCCTCCATTATAAACTACAGAAGCAAAAAGGACTATTGAAATAATGACTGATTATTGATTAATTCTGGATTGTAATACCTCTTCCCTGAAACAGATGATGTGTAGGTGTCAGACAAAATAATCAACAGCAGACTGCAGACCAGCCTTTTCAGTTGAAACAAAGATACTTCAGCTTCTGGTGCTGCAACACAGTCAACAAACGTCAACTAACTTTCCAAAAGTGGACAGAGTGTAATTAGGGGTGTCCCGATGTGATATTGATATCGGATATCGGTCCAATATCAGCAAATAAAAAAACAATATCGAATAATATCGGCCTGCATCTAAAATCTCAGATACAAGCAGTCCATTTCAGACTCCGCTCCAGCACCCTGATCCAGCAAGCTGAGCCCACAAAATCACAACATTAGTGTGTACCAAGGTACTAACAAAGTAGGAAGGAGTATTTTTTGTTGAAGTCTAAAAAAGACATTGCAGCTGAGTGAAAAACTTGTCATGCACATTCTTGTGCCAATATCGGAAGCTACAATATCGGTATCATATCAGAATTCAAAAGTTGCATTGTGACACCCCTGAGTGTAACACGCGAGCAAAGTTCAATAAAGAAACGCCCCAAAAATAACTTCAACTTTCGATCACCTGTAATGTAATGCTTTTACACTCGCGCACACAATTATGCAAGAATTTAACAGAGTGCTACAAAGCCAGAGATCCAGAGTCTTAGGCGTCAGACTCTGTGCTTCCCGTGCGTCAGAAACGTGTGTGACCAGTTCCAAAAATACACACCTCTTTGCTTTGTCCCATCAACCTATTCCTTCCTCCATTTCTAGTCTATTCCTCCATCAATCCTCCAACCCAACCCCCCCATACCCCTCCCAACTGTTTCTAACCCCGTGCGCTTTCCTGCCATTCTTCTATCAGCTAATTTTAGATGAAGGGAAAAAGCTCTGTCCACATCTGCTAGTCATTCTTTAAGAGATTTGTGTGTGTGTGCTTGTGCGTGTGTGTGTTCAGGATTGAGGGTAGTGAGAAAGGAAACAGGGAGAAGGTCAAAGAAGTAAAAACTGGGGATAAGCAGTGGGCTGAAAAGTAAATGAGAAATACGGGGGAAAAAAAGGTAAAAAATGAGCAGGGTTAAGACAAAGTCAGTGCAGACAAATGTTCATCATGACGAAAACACAATCATTTAGATCTGGAGTGTTTTCTCTGCATTTACTTGACAGTGGTGAACCACAAGAGCAACAAACTGCCATCACAAGTAAAGAGAAACACAAAATAAACTAAACATTATAATTTAGCTCAATTTGCCTTGAAAAGCACAGCCAAATGTTGAGGCAGAGTGCTCGGAAACAGTGCTCTCTTTAATGAACATAAATCACCCAAATGGGAATAATTTGTAGTCCAAAACAAAAGACAGAGGGAGGACGCACAACCAGTGATTTTGACATTCTGGCCACAAGAGAAGTCAAATTCGGAGACGCTCTCTTCGACCAGTAGGGTCGTGTTTTAAAACTCCTGTTTTTCAGCTTTTTCAAGATTTACTAAAGATTCATCTACACCACCGCTTCACTTCAAGTTAATATCAGTGATTTTTGTGACCTTAAAGGATGTGTAATTTTGATAATATCACATTAATGCTGGCGCGAGCTTGCCTTGAAAGACACAGCCGCTGTCCGGCACAACACACTCGCTCGTACACACACACAGACACACACACGCACGCAGGGTTCCTGGCAGTCAGGGCTGTGCGTCACAGTGGGCTGTGAGGGGGACACAGAGGGCAGAGCACAGCGTGTTTATGTGTGTGTGTTTATCCCGTCGTAAACAGGGACAAGAGACACATGCCGTGTCACCGCCTGTCACCACTTTCTCTTCTTCCCCGACAGTTCTCACCCTCCACTCGGCTTCTCCTCTTTTCCATCAAGTCTTCGCTCCTGTGCCCTTCGCCTTCGTCCTGCACCCCCCCTTTCGCCTCCTCCCTTCTCTCTCCCTCACCCCACTTGGTCAGCTTGTTAAGCACGTCTCCTAAAGCTGATTAAGTAGTGTTGATCGGCCTTACGTAACATTCACCTCGCGCAGACATCGCTGCCAGCCAGCCAGCATATTGTCTTTGTGCCTGTGTGTATGTGTGTGTGTGCAAGAGAGAGAGAGAGAGAGTGAGAGAGGGAGATTGAGAAAAATCAGAGAAAAATGTGCTTCATTGAACACTGCTCTGCATGGCGTATTTGCGAATGCACACACACATAACACTTCTTGGATTGGAGCCAAGTAACGGCATGGTCACTTTGGCATGATGGAGGAATGTGCACATCATCATAGTCCGCCCAGGTGTCTGTTTATGTCTGAGTTTGTCTGTGTGTGAGCTCACACTGCAGGCTGTGTAGATAATCACTGCTTATCCCCCAGCTGAACGCGAAGAGGGACCACGCACCTACAACACTCCAGCAGGCAGCGAGTGAGGCACATGCCCTCACACGCACACGCACTTGACATGACAGACTGAAGGCAGAAAAGATGACAACCATCTTTACAAGCGCAAACGCACCTCTGGTACACTTTAACACCGTGTTGGTGGTGCCTGTAAACAAAGCCCCGCTCCAGATCTCATTAATTGGTGGAGTGATTGAGTTAACGAGGCGGTGCACACACGCGGGTCAGAGAGGTTGGCCTCGGCTCCTCTTCTCTCCTCTCCTGGTTTGCTCCTGCGCTCTGCCTCATGGGAAAGATTAGAATCCTCAGCTGGAGCAAATAAAGCTGGACGTTATGCAAGAGCCCAGGAGAGGGAGAAATAGAGAGAGAGACAGAGAAAGGCTGATGATGATGTAACTTTAGAGAAGAGCAAAACAGAACATGAAAGGCGAGAGAAAGAGAAGAAGTGGAGAGGTGTGTGACAGAGAGGTCTCGGAGCTGTTGACCTTCCACAATCACCAAGCTCCATCCCTGACTGTAGGCACCTTACTGTGCTGTATGGTGCAAGCCATCAGTCGGAACAATGCTCGACAATCTGCTTTACTAGGCAATGAGCTCAGACGTAGTAAACACACAGCTGTCCTCCACTGGCACAGACCAGTCCCCTTCATTCTCTCGCACACTCTGCCAGCCGCATACAGAACCAGAGAATGACGGTGAAAAAAGCCAATACTCTGCGCTTAAATTAGAAAGATCATAATAAATACATTCAAATAACCAATTGAACAGTAAAAAAAACAGATTTATACTGCACTGTGCCATCAGTGTCTGATTTCAATAGCACAAAGCCTCAGGGTGATTTAAGATGAGTATTAAAGCGCACATTTGTTTGTCATGCTGTAACGCTGCTACCTTTTATTCAACTCTTGTACAATATCGATATGAAACACATGCAATTGTCTCAAAATATAGTATCAAATATAAGATGTGGATGATCAAACTTAAACTGATGGCTTTAGTGAAACTTTTCATATCATAAAATTACAGGACTGCTCTTGACTTAAGTTTAAATCAACATTTAATCATATCTTTGTCACCCCCTGCAGTCTGAGGCGCACTGCTCTTCAACACAACATTTATCATTGTCTGATTCATCTCATATCAAATTCTACAGGTTGTTACGAGGAAGCGAAGTATGTGTGGCATTCAGAACGAGTTTCTCCAAGGGAATCTAGTGTGACATATATCGCATCACAATGTAACGTAATACATTCTTCCCTGTTGTATTGTATCCATCATAATGTACAGTACGGTATAGTATGATAAACAGTATAGTACTATATAATAACACCATATCATATTATATTGTTGTGTTAAGCAAATTGATTTTGCTCTGTCTTCCACCCTCACAAAAATTTGTGCTTTAATTGTGCATGTAAGGAAACAGTAGCATAAAACTTAACATGGGATGGGGAGGGAAGAGGCAGAGGGAAGAGGATGGGAAAGGAAGTGAGTTCACAGAAATGAAGGCTGAGTGGCATAGATACAGTGAGTGGAATGAACTTTCTCCTCTCCGTCAGTATACCGCTTGGATGGTGTTATGTAAGAGCTGAGTGTACACACACCGATTACCTCCGCTTGGAGAAACTCATAACATGAGGCGCTACTTCACTGTGTGTATGTCTGCGTGTGTGTGAGTGTGTGTAGAGGTGGGGGGGGTTGTACGTGGGTTCATGTGTTTTGACGTACAATGGTGTTACCTCTCAGTTACACTTCACTCACAAAGACAAAAACACTCATGCAGACAGCACGCATTCAATCTATTGTCCACGGCGCTGATTCAAAAGAGCTCAGATTGTCCGTCCGGGGTGTAAGGTATCGTCGGGGATCCCCAAGAAGTGACAGCTGCCGTGGCTCACAGTTACACCTCCACAATACCAATGCGATGACACACACATGTAGAAAACAAAAGATCAGACTCACTTTGTAAAATCGTAATCTTGTCTTTGTCAAATTAGGACAGAACCCTGGATTAAGAGACATTTGAACCTCCAACCTCTGTGTGTTTCATGGTGACTAACAGAAAATAACACTAGACTGTCATGTGACGGCATTTTGATCATAACATTCACAGAGGAGTCAACCAAACAAAGACATTTCGAAATTGATCAAATAATGATGCAAAAATGTGCGTCTTACAGCCCAACCCTATATCGCGCAGAAAAACCAGTTTACGCATTCACATCACTGACATCAATGACTCACGTACAAACACACACAGATCCCACGTTCCCACACACACCTCTGCACTCTGCCTCCTCTCACATCTAACCTAAGGGAGAGAGCAAACCTCTGCACAGAACCCGGCTAATACTTGGGCCAGACGATCACAATAACCCTACTAACACAACACCCACACACAAACAGTGATGATGGTAGCTGGGGGCCAGCTGGAAGGAAAGCTGTGCGTGTGTGTGATGTTAGATGCACGTGTGTGAGACAACAAAGACCCTAGTGTGTATCAGTGGGCAGAAAATAAATCTCTCAAATGGTATTTATATTTTTGACACATACTGATTCATTTTATTCACTCCTCCTATTGTACGCAGTCAGTAGTTTTTGATTGACATCTGTTGCAGGCAGAGAGTCTCGGCTAAGACTTGTTTCCAAGGTTACATGTACACAAAGTGTAATCAGTTAACACAGATGCACACGCTGGTGGTTAATAAACAGACATGCGATGTTACTGAAAATATGCCAGATAAACGATTCATCTGAGGATATATATCGACAACCTTTGACTAGTTAGGGCTTTTTGTTCTCTTCATCAAAAACCTTTCTCGTGTAAAACAACAATCAGAGCGTCTGTGTGAATGTACAGTAGGTCTATATGTGTGTGCGCCCACCCACAAGCAACTGCTTGGTTGTTATGTAATTTCACTGGGCCACATCTGATGCTAAAAATGGACATGGATAAAACTAATGTGACCGAGGGCAGGACTACTGTACAGAGGCTCTGGCGCACAAACACACACACACACACACTTGTATAGCTAACATACAGGCACACACAGACAGAGCAGGGTTGGAGAGCTGCTTAACCCTGATGTCATGGAGCATGAGATGCAGATTTTGTGGTGGTTTTTCTCTCAGATAGTTGTCAGTCTTGTCTAAGTTAAATAATCAACAGTCAACAAAAACAAAAAAGCACTTTTAGAGGATTTTTTCCCTTCAAACGGGTAGATTAGCGAAAGGATTCAAGTACTGCAGGACAGGATTTATTATTTAAATATGTAAAACTAGGGATGCACCGATCTGATATTTGGATCGGATATCAGCTTCGATATTGACAAATTAACTGGATCGGATATCTGATGAGTGGCGCCGATCCAGTCTTTCATACACATACACAGCAACACACTGATTCTGTTCGCTCTATATTCTGTCTGTCTATCCTTTTGCACTAAATGTTTACATGGAGTCTAACTTCTTTTTGCTGAGTGCTAACGTGCAACTTGTTATTTGTTGATAAATGATATTAAGTAAATTTTAGGGTGGGAGAAAAAATCGTTTCACCGAAGTATCGCTATTTTTTGTTTTACAATTTTTAAATTGATTTTTATGTTCAAAAATTGATTTTTTCTTTTTAAATTCAAGAATAAATCTTAAAAAACTGACTTACATGTGATGTGTATTTTGGGGGGAAATATGGTTCCTGGAATAGTCAGTAAACAATCATAATCATTCAACTGTTTCACTGGTGTTGGAAATGCAGACTAAATATCGAGAAAATCAACAAAATCGTAGAATCGCAATTTAAATCAAATTGGCATCTAAAAAATCGTAGAAGAATCGAATCATGAGAAAAGCATATTGTCCCAGCCCTAGTAAATTTATAGGCTAATGTCAAGCCCGATGCCTTCACTCACAGAGCAAGGTATGCAGTTCATTCATTCAACGGTAGTATTGGATCAGATATCGGCCGATACGCTCAGCCCAGGTATCGTATTGGATTAGATTGGAAAAAAATGGATTGGTGCATCTCGGGGTAAAACCTACTTCAAACTTACCCCGTCCATGACTGGATTCAAAACCACCAATGTCAAGTCCATGTCTTTGAGGTTGTTAATGAATAAATAAATAAATGAGACTGGATATATGGACATGTTTGGGTCAAAGCACTTAAAGAGTGGAGAGTGGCAGGGCACATAAAACTAGTGTGCACTTTCACTTATGGACAAACTCCCCAAGAAATATGTGATGAGACAAGCGTGTTTCCAGGTGTGTGTGTGTGTGTGTGTGTGTGTGTGTGTGTGTGTGTGTGTGTGTGTGTGTTTGAGTGAGTGAGGGGGAGAGAATATGCTATATGATGTTCAGCACTGATGGCCGGCTTTGTCATTAAAATTTAATCCCTCTGCTTTCCTATAAATACCTTTCCAATGATCCAATGCATTATTCAGTTTCTCTAAGGCCAAACCACACACACAGGCATACACACATTCACGCACATACACACACACACACCTGGAGGGCCGAGAGAAAGCCAGTGCCTCAAGGAAGGAAGTCTTAAGAACATTTAAGAGGACGATGGCCAGTGGGCAAAAATAGAGGGATGTTTGTCCAATGCACCAACTTTATCCTGAGGGGGCCGCACATCTTGGAAGGAGTCTTTGGATGTGTGTGTTTGTGTGTCTGTGTGAGGTCACCCCATGCACTGAGGCAAACTTGCTTTTTATACCAGCATGTGGTCAAGCCTGACGTATACCTCACAGGTCAACCAGGACAAGCAGCACAATGACTGGCAGGCTTCTATACCATTAAACAACATTTACAGACAATCTTGCTGGATACACGCTCATCCTGGAAAATCAGGGTGTCCAGCAGAAGTAAGAGAGAAAGTGTAGGGTGACATGAAGCTGGAGGGAAAAGGGGGGAGAGAGGAGGAAAGATGAGGAGGCTAATGGAAGAGGAGCTGCCACTGGGGTATTAGCACATGGATTGGTGACACAGAAATGATAGTGAGAGGGAGGAAAAGTCAGTGGGATGGGAGGGTCAATCGATGCTTAAAAAGGTTTCACTCCCCTGCAGGGACATGTGTATGCATGTGTGCGCACAGACACACAACATTCAATTCAAAATGAAAACTCTCTCTCACACACACACACACACACAGAAACACACACACTTCTGAAAGTGCCCCAGCATGGCTCAAAAGTCAGAGGTCTGGCTGAGGAGCAGCATTCGGAAACAGGCTTGTAATTTTCTGGCCAGGAGAAGTTGACAATAACTTTGTCTAATTTTGGAAGAGGCAGAGAGTGAATGGTTTCTAAATCTCATGTTCTAAACACATTAACGTCTTATGTGTGGAGTCGCCCAGAGGGATTCAGAAAAGAACAAGCAATCACAGCTGATAAAAGGCAGGGGATGTTCTCTTTCCACTTAGCGTCTTTCCCCAGTTACACACACGCGCTTTGTTACCGCTTATGTTACAGGACAGAGTGCAGCGTTCGCAAACACCTGCAAATAATTCAGCTGCTATTTGCACAATAGAGAGGTTGATGCTATTTAAGGTACATAAAATCAATCTTTTGATAAACAAAAGTACTCTGCACACACTCCTCTCTTTCCAAAGCACACATAACTTTCTCACTCTCTTACATCAGGCTGTAACGAGTTGGCTCAAAGTTCAAAATGAGCGCTGACGTACAGAGGAGAGAACAGGTCTGAACATGAAGGGAGGGAGAGAGAGAAACAAGATAAAGATTGAAAGACAGACACAGCCGGAGAAGAGGAAGAGGAAAGACTGGTTGGAAAGAGGACTTCAAAACGTGATTGTGCATTCCTGACATGGGGTGCAGCAGGGAAGGAGGGCGATAGAGAGAAAGAGTTTAGTGAGGGAAAAAAAAAGAGGGAGTAAATGGGGGAGAGGAGGGAGGGTGACAAGCAAGAAAGTTTAACTTGGCGCCAGACAGCATTTCAATACCCGGCGCAGACACTCGCACAAAATATCGACACTATGTGCGGGGCACAGAAGTCCTTTTGGTGACTTCCCATCGTCCGAAATTAGATTAGATATTTGCCCTCCACCCCCGCTCCCTGAGTCCAGCACAGAGGCAGATTCCCAGATAAAAATAGCCAGAGGAACTATTCAAACACTGCTGCCTTTCTGCAGGGAGTGTCTGCTGACTGCACTGGACTTAAGAGGTTAGAGAGGGGTTAGGATCTCCACTCAGCACCTCCCTGTATCACACAGTCTGGGACAGCGGGAGAACTTGTTCGCTAACACACTTACAAGCTCGGAAAAGGATTTATGAAATTCAAATCGGGGTGTGCACAAGGGATGATTTCTGATTTTCGTAAGAACGAGCAAAAGTTTCCACACTTAGTCAATTGGAAAGGGAAAACAATTGGCAGATCATTTTATCCCCCCTAGTATGGAGAAGAGCTAGTTTCGCTCTGATCCTCCCTGGAATGTATATTAGTAGCCACATATGTGCTGATCCCTACTGTAAAGATGCCCTCAGCATGACCAGTATTATTGGGGTTAATCTGAGAAGATTAAGAGTATACATTACAACATCACTCGGACAGAGCTCTGGCTACCATTGGGAAACACACTTACGTTTGGTTGCAGTGGATTACTGTTATGTGTGTGTCTCTGTGTGTGTGTGTATTTGAGTGCTTTTGCAACAGGCCAGGCTAGGTGGTTGTGCAGAGTCCGCTTGGAGAATGACTGACTGACTGTCTTGGTGCGATTGTGGTCCTGACAGCTTACACCTTGCTTGTACTCCAACCAACCGTGAGGTGACACTCCGGGCTCTCACCTGAAGGACAGGTCATTGTGTTGTGAGGATCCAAAATAAAACCTCTCATCTGGAAGGATCAGAGGAATAGAGTTACTTGATCTTTGTGCCTGTATGAGAGTGTGTCTGTGTGGGGGCGTGTGCGTGTCATCAGACTCTGATCAGTTTCAATGGCGCCGCCGTCACCAAGACCTGTTATACATACGACCACAACCTCACAAGTAATACCTTTCACGCAGCTGCCCACCCAGAAACCCTGGTCTCCTTCATATACACACACTTGATGTTCTTCAACAATAACATGCCTTTCTGCACCTCCACTCTGAGTCACCTCTACAACAATGCAGCTCTGTAAATTCCCCATATTACGTTACAATGCACATGCATGCGCAAACACAAACAGCTGCTAAACAGTGTGGGTCGATCCACGCACGCCAACACACCCCTCTGCATTCTCAACGTGAAGTTTGATACCCACTTGAAAAGAGACCCTCGGTGCCTGTGTGTGAGTACATGTGCATTTTGAGGGTGATGGTTTTCATTACAAACAAGAAAGGCATTATTTTTCATTGATTTTTTATTTATACTGTCCTCCAGAGCTGGAATATACCTGTATATAAACGGATGCATGCCTCTGCGAGTCACTGAGTGAGCGTGTGCAGAACAGGCTTGCAGAGATAGTACTGTTGTGTTTTCCCCTCATGTGTAATGCAACACAGCCGGCAACTATTAACCTTCTAAGCAGGAATGTGGGAGGTCCAAGAATTCCAATAAAAAGCAGCAGTGTGTCTAAGTGTGTATCTGTGTGTGTTTCTGTGTATGTGCACTCACACATATGTTCTCAGAGTGTTGCAGTTATCTGTCAACAGTCCATCCCATCCAGACTCATTACCATCCCTGACCAGTAACTAATACGGTCGATGTGGGGGTCACGCTGTCAGGCTGCAACCAATGGCATCGCGGTAAAAGTAGGTTCAACTCACATCACAGACATACACACATGGCCTTAGGGCGCATTTAGTTGTGCTGTTGTGTTATCAGCGTAAAAAAGTGCATTTTAAATGGAACTCTTTAGTGCGGGACCCTCACCATCGCACTGCTGATCAAACAGGTCGGAGAGGCTGATAATCTATAGGAGTCGATGGGCAGATCTGAGGTTAATGCAAGGGTCTCTGAGGTGGAGGGGGTTGAAGTGGGGGGTGGGGTTGACAGCAATCAGCAGCACCAGGGCCATCAAGGGCAGCGCTGCCTTGTTGGTCGTGGTCTCTCTGGTCTCCCCGGTCAAGGGCGACTCAGGACTAATGGTGGGGAGGTCCATTAGTGTCGACTGGCTGAGCACATTGTTCCCTTCGGTCACATTCTTGGACAAATACAGACATTTCCACAACTGAGGGGCTTCTCTACCAGAAGTCATTTGTCCACTTAGTGTCAATAATGACCACATCAAAACTTTTGTTGGAACTGTTGGAAAAGGAGAGATGGACCTCTTTGTTATGAAAACACCGGCTGTCTGGGATAAAGTCAGCCTCTTCTATTAATGATCTTCAATTTAAATTTTAAACAACTAACATCGCTACTTTGATACTGATTTCTCAAACAAAACTAAATATTTATTACCAGCTGTGAGCAGAAAAAGTCTGAACATGGAGAGCTACATACCCACTCAAACCATCTTTCCTTGGAACCTGTGGATTTCTGCACTGATGAGTGAGAGGAGAAAACACGCAACACGAAAAAGCTGATGATGCAAACACGACAATACAAATTTCAAATAACTCGAAATTATAAAAGCAAGTTAACGTTTTAAGAGCGTGGAGAAAGTTAAAACCTTCTGAAATTTTGAGGAATGCAAAAAAATATAGCGTTTAAAAAAGCCTGTCCTTCTTTGGATCACTCCAAATTTCTTCCTCTAATGAGAGGTGTCTGCTCAAAGAAACATTAAACTTCATGTTCTTGCAATAAAAAAGAAAAAGTAAAGAAACTAAGAAGATGTGCTACTAAAAATGCCACATGTTTTAGTGACAGGTTTCATACACGTAGAGGCTATAGAGAGGCTACGGTCCTCAAAGCATGAAAAAGAAAACTTTTAAAAGTGCGCAGTATACAGATAATGCTGTAAACTGATGCACAACTGTAGTCCTGAAATGTGGCGGCAAAGGTATTTTATTTCAGGAGTCCTGGAAACCAGCTGATCAAAAAATAAATCATGGTTTTTGGAACGTAATACAATCTGCAGATTTTCTCTAATGAAAGACAATGAATCTTATTACGGGACGTCATCTATTTTAACCCTCAAACATGTTAGCTGAGCCTGATCACAGCAGGGTACTGTCCCATAAAGCAAGCTGTAAAACTGAATTGGGATAATGGGAGGCAGGGCTTTTGCTGTGGTCAGCAGTGCAGGGGAGTTTTCACAGATAAGGCTAATCACTGCGCTTATCATCACAGAGGTTGTGCGCTGAGATTGAAAAGCATATGCTGGCGCAGGAACACATAAACCCACTTATGGAGAAGGTAAATGGGTCGTCCTCGCTCAAAAGTTAGCCTTTTGTCGTGAGATAAGCAAAGACGTTGTGCGTCTAGGTTCAATGGTAAAACGGCTTTGAAGCAAGTCTGTCACTCTGGGAAAGTGCCAAACAACAATCATCATTTAACGACGTCGCTGAATGACCGATGACAAATGACTAGGAAGCCACGTTTACTTCATTCTTTTTCCCTCCCTCACACACACACACACACACACTCACACACATACACACATACACACCCGCATTTCACACGCTGGCAGAAGTACGGTCTCTTCACTTGTCAAAAGCGCCACCAAACTATGAGCTACTCCGCACCATTATGAGTACAATGAGAGGTCCCTGGCCCCACAAGTCCACACACAATCAGCCCCAGGGCCTGCCCCACTCCCACCATTGTCCCACACTCCACACACACACACATATATACACATACAAAGGCCACTCCAGAGCCAGGGGACCCACTATGCAATTCCACCACACAAAGACACACACCAGTCCTTATCCTGTCAGAGAGAAAAGAGTGACAGGGGTGGCGAGGGAAAAACCGGAGAAGGATATAGAGAGAGCGGATGAAACACGCTGTACAAAGTGTGTGGTGAGGTTGTAGAGACATAGGCTTGATCAATCATTAGGTAAACAAAAATATAGATATGTGACTGTGTGAGAATAGACAAGCTATCTGTCTGCTCTTGACCAATGCAACCTGTAGAATATGTTACCTCTCACCTTTTAACCAAACAAAGACCAGCTAAACAGCAATGATAAGATATACATAATTAAACGGAATAATTTAAACCTCCACAAAGTCAACACCGATGTTTCAACAACAGACGCTTGTTTAGCCCAGCTGCTTCCTGCCTCATCACATCAATTCTCTATCTCAGCAGAAATCCTATCATCTATCTATTCAGGCTAATGAAGTGACTGTGGAAAACAGGAGTGCAAGGGGGAAGCGTTCGCTGATGGAGGGAGAGGAGGTAAGCTCCACAGAGGCAGCAGCTTACCGTATGGGACATAATCCTACATCAGCAAACATCCTGGGAAGGGATGATTGCATTTTTTTATCCTACACTTATCCTGGCACTGTTATACTCGTCCGCATTCAAGAAACGTGTTTGTTCTAAATGATGGGATATCCACAGGTTAAGGGTTAAAACTCATGTCCTGATTGCAAACTCAGCAACAGCAGGAGATCGAGAGATCAGGACTGCGGCACGGATTAAGCAGTTCAATAATTCAACTATTTAAAAGAGCTGTTATGAGATCAGATGTTATGTTAGATAATGCCCCTGAGAGAGAGTTACTATGTTTACCAAATACAGCTGAAAGGATTAATCAATTAGTTGATCAACTGAGTAGTGATCAAATTTTCAAATGACATGCTACTTGATGAGTCATGGCTTTATGTAATCAAGAAGTTTGCTTTTCAGCATTTGAAATAATTGGAGCTGAAATGAGTAAATGGTAGCTTTGAGCGTCAGGATTATTGGAAACTACGTGATACAATACTGTCAGGATTTGATGTTGTCTTGATTTTAACCTTGTTTGCAACTTTTATTGCAGTTTAGTTCAAACTCATGAAAACACTGAGCACAAAAACTAAATGATGTCTTTGTTACAAACATTATTCAACTTCTGCAAACCTAAGCATGAAAAAATTATCACCATCTAGTGGACTGAAAAGGCTTTTGATCTATCATTCAAGAGTCAAAAAAAACTTTTACTTTAATTTTTAATGTGAGTGTAATAATTCATACAATAAAAGAATAAAAGTCTGCTCATGTATGACGACTATGTGACCACACAGAGTACCGTAATAATATACTGCATGGCTGGTTTGCCAACACTGGTGGTTGCCGTTTAACAATATCATGGGCTATATGGCTGATTTTAAAGCAATTCATATGAGACAACAGCAGATTTCAACTTTTGCAATGTGAAAAGGTTAAACTATAAATATATATTTAGTATAAATAGTATTTCCTAACCAGATAATGTCCTTCATATTGAGAAACAAAAGCACACAGCTGAATCTTGACTCTGGGTGAACTTTTACAAACTTCACCAACTATTAAAAATATTCAGAGCTGAAAATAATGGTAAGATGCTGTTCTAGTGCAAGATAGATAGGAGCACAAGACTTAACACATGCCACACAATGCTCTTCGCCTTTAAGGCTACAGTCAAGCTAAACACACACTAACTGCATACACCAATCCAATAACGTGAGTACGATCAATTTTTAGTACCTTCCCAGAAGGACTTAAGCTATCTGCTGCCACACAAACACAAAGTTCCTTGTAATAAAAGGGCTATTTGTGGTGGGATGTGGTGTGATGTCATGGTAGCCTCCTCGGGGCTGCTGCAGGGAGAGGGTGTGTGTGTGCAGGAATGTGGAGGGCTGAGGGGCTGAGGCTGGGTGCAGCGGGAGTCAGGAGGGGACAGGCTGGGGGAGGGGAGGGGAATGTCCCAAGTGGGAAGAGAGCTCACACAGTTTGTCAGTTACACACTCAGGGACTTGTGCCAAATGCTTACCGGTAACTACTTAGAAAGTCATCTTATTGTTCCCGCAGGTAAAACAACATATTAAATATGCATACTTTGTTTTGTATAAAAGGAAACACACAGTAAGTGGCTGTTGTATGCTTTCAGATGTTATCCTCGAGCTACTTGATTATATCAACACATGAAACCAAACTGATCTAGTTCTGTCACTTAAAAGCAAAGGGGTCACGTCAGGAAGACGATTATAAATAAAGTGAATAGCTAGCACGAATGGCCACACTTCCACTTCCTCCTTTTGGAGTAAAAAATTTGGCTTCCAGTGAAGGGAGCAAGAACAAACTTATGCAAGCATTTCAGGAATTAGACAAAATGACACATGCAGAGACCTCAGCTGACTACTGGAAATCCCCCTCGCCCCTCCACCCCTGCTCTCACTTCATTATGCTGACAAGCCAAGTACCTGGCAATTGTATGCTCAGTTACTGAGTTAATATCAACGTGCTCTGTGTACCACTTGCCAGATCCAATCACCTCAACGCCGCCAGCAGGAAGAGAAGATCCCTGAAGTAACTTATCAACACGTCTATATCCCTCTGTCTCTCACCCACAATTAAAACACGAGCATATTGTGTTTGCAGAATTTTCAGACTTTCTCTGAAAGGTTGCTGGATGGTGTAATTGGGTTGTCAGGGTGACACAGAGGATGTCGCTGTAACAACTGTACAGTAGTTTAACCACTTCCTCTTGAACCGGAGTACAGTACTCAACCTGCACTAGATTTGAGAGTAGGTTCTGGTTATAATACCTAAATTTGTGCAGTAATTCTGAACTGCTAAATCAACAGGTTTCCCGGTGAGAAGCGGGTTGATAACTGTGCGGTCGGGTCAAACTCAGCGATGCACATACAGTAGTGAGCGTTTGTACACGGAAAGTAAACAAGAAAGACAATGGTCGACAAAAAAATCAGAGCAGGAGTCACGCTAACTCACCAGTTTCTCCAGGTGTTTTCATTATTTCTTCTTCAGCCACTCAGCAAAGCGGCCAAAGTTTACACAACAGGGTGAATCCCACAAAGTTGCTTGTGGAAAAGGAAAGTCAGTCTCTCGGCTTCTTCTTCTTCTTCTTCTGGAAAACTAGGTGAGGATACACGGCAAACTTTTGGAGCTACAACTTCTGCGGCTCCTCTCGCGCCGCTGCCGCCGCCGCCGCGCTCCGCTTCCCCGGCTCTCTGCCAACCGAGCAACCGACCGAGTGCTTCACTTCCCGGCGAGATGAGGGGCCGAGTCTTCGCTGTCGGTTCTCGCTACTCCGGCGCTGAATTCTGTTGAAGTTGCAGCGGAAAAAATGGTCAACCGTCCCGTCCCGAGGCAGCCGAGCAGCCGTTTCTCCCTCTTTTAACAACTTCTTTCGCTAACTGTCCAGCGGCCGTTTACTCTGCTTCAACCGCATCTTCGTCGCTGTTTGACATACCTCCACCGCAAAGCTTTGTTACTTCTTTGACAGAAATAAACGTTGGAGAGGAAGCTCTCTTTTCTTTACAGACTTTTTTAAGTCTTCCACTCCACTCTCACACCATTCAGCGCGACTCTCTCCTCCCCCCGTGCCTCTCTTCGTCCTCGGGGTGTCGTGTTTCGCTCGCTCTCTTCAGAGCGGGGCCCGCCCACACTGACGGAGGAGAAGGGAGGGAGGGGTGGGGGCTAACGTGGCGAGTCACGCCCACTCACCACGAGCCGAGGACTGAGCTGGCGTCACTGCAGCACGCGGCGTTGCCTTGGAGACCGTCACAGCGCGCTGCCGTGGTGACATCACATCCGAGGGCCTACGATTTAGGAGGCGCGAGATCGGCTCGGCTCACCGTGTTCACTTACGTCAATCAGAGGTTATTGGTTCTAATGAGGCCCTTTCATATCGAGATAATTACACTTATTAATTAGACAAATTAAATCTGAAAGCGTCAGTATGTGATTAACAGTGAAAACAGGAAACTCGATCTCAACATTACTGTGTGTTTTATTGATTCAGCCAACTTCTGACATGACACACTATTTTCACAGTCTGTTTTTCTGCAGTGATTGACCAACTTCAGTGTCATACGATTAAAACAACATTACTATATATTTTGTTTTTACTAGAACTGAACTGTTGAGAAGATGTTTGTTCTTGGCTTAAGTAGCCTGTCTGCTTCAGGAGAGAGTTTCTTTGTACTTTACTTAGTTGTATACACACATGCATGTCTGTCATTGCTGCACAAGGGTGATGTGAAAACTTCTGTGCATAGTCTCCAGTACCAAAACCAGCCTTTATTTTCAGATTTTTTGCTTGTATATGGTGACATACGGTGAGGCATCTTTTTATTACTATGGACCCCGTCTATGGAACAGCTCACCTGAAGACCTGAGGACTGAACCTGATCTTAATGATTTTAAAAGCAAACTGAAAACGTACCCTTTTAGTCTTGCTTTTAACTAAATTTTATATCATTAACTCTATTTAAGTGTTTAGCATTTATCTCTTCTAGTTTTAATCACAGGATCGTCTTTTATTGAGCTATTTTGGTGCTCTTATTTTAGTCTTTTACTGTTTTATTTATTTCATTTTATTTATCATTTCTTAAATTTCACTCTGTTTCTTTGTTTTTAGATTTTAACATAAACCTCCAGTCTTTCCTTATCTTGAGTTTTAAAAGGACGTTTCCTCAGTGCGCACATTCATGTTTCCACAAAATCAAGCCCTTTTTTTAAGTTGATGCATTTTAATACTGTTTCTGTTGCAATTAGATTGTGGGGTGGGAATGAGGGGTTGGGCTGGGGTAGATTTGGGTATTCTTTTAATCTTGGGTTGGGGTAAATGTGAATATTCTTGTTTCTTTAATTCCTTTTTCTGTGTAAAACACTTTGTGCTACATGTTATGTATGAAAAGTGCTATATAAATAAAGATTGATTGATTGATTGATTTTCATTTTAACTGCTTAAAGAAAATACATGTTTTTTTTTCACCAATTGTCTAATGATTGAATGATTGGAAGATAATACGCTTTAAAAACTTGTTAGAGTGTTTGTGTTACAGTTGCTGTATGGTCTGACACCTATTATGAGGTGTCAGACATTGCAACATTTCACTGTGATGAAATGATACCTGACAAATATCAGCAAGAATAACACGTGTTGCATGCATATCAGCAAATATATCATTACATGTGGTACTATGACAGTGTTCATTGTGAAAAATCAAGAGTTTATAACCTGGGCACCTTGGCTTACATTAGCCTGGGAGTGCACTGAACTGAAAGCCAACACTGGTATTCTAACAAATCAGGAGTGACAATGCTGAAACCCAGTGTTTTTAAATATATTTTTATGCATCTTAGATTTTCATCTTGAATGTTATTTTTCATTCATGCAAAACGCATACACAGAAAGGGACTGGTATTAAACTGATGTGTTAGACAGATTTATCGAGATATTATAGGGGTGATACCAAAAGTGTCTTATTTGTTTATATAACTAGGTTGAACACTAACAATCCTGTAACTCCACTGGGCTAACCTTGTTGTTTTATTCTATGTATAAATGGGCCAACCAAAGAGACCAAAAGAGTTTTCACACATAAAAACAAACCAAGTCTTGAGGTTAATTTGAACCTGAACCTGCATCCTGTTCTGATCACTCTCCCATGTAGAACTAACACCCCTTTCCTCTTTTTCAAAAGTGCGACCAACTGTATCTGGCCTTTACTCTGCAATCACACACACATGTACAAGTTCTCCAAGCTTGCATCAGCATATAAGGTATGAATGTATGTGAATGTGCATTTTGAGTGCACTAGTGCCCAGACACATCCGGTCATTTTACATGTAACTCTCTGATCTCTTGATCAGATTTTCAGCCTGGCTTGTTAGATTATAAAGAGTGGTGTCATGCCTGGACTTGTTTCCTGTCACCACGAACACGCTGACCTTCTGCTTCCTCACGTGCCACTCGAATGAAGCTGTCATGTGTTATCAATAAGTGCATATGAGTGGGTGAGGTGTCACACATGGGAGGTGATGTGCATCTCCTCCCTTGCGTTCATTTACACTGGCACCTGGCTTAAAGGATGCAGGCTTTTATCAGTGTTTTTGTGCATTTCTTGACCGTGTTGTTACATCTGTGATGCACACCACTGCCCTGCCCTGTCAACAGGATAAGACAGGGGTAGTTAAACCAAGTAAACAAATCCCCTGACAGCAGAAATGTCCCTGCAGCGTGATTTACAAACAGGATTTCTCCTCCCTTAGTTGACCATTCTCTGAGAGAATCAGGAAACCCTCTCTGGTCTGCCTGATAAGAAACTGGACCAAAAAGAGGAAAAAATGGAGCATCCAAGTTGTGTGTTGAACCCTCACACTCAGGAAATGGTTATCCTGTTCCCTCTTCTTCTTCTTTTTGGAGCAGGAAAACCTCTGGACAGACATACAGCTTTTTCTCACACAGAGGCGAACAATTCTACACATTCACCTGGCAGCCCATTTCCTCTAATGTCCTGTTGGAGTGGGAGCCTCAGAAATGTCGTAATAATAACTGTGAGTATATAATGATGGTTTAAAAATGTAGAAAATAGACAAGTAATACACTGAAAAGACGTAATTCAAGCTTAAACAGTATATTTGATGTTATATTAGACAGCAGTTGATGCATACACCTAACTTCCAAAAAAAGCTTGAATTTCAGAAATCACTGTGCATGTATTCCTTTTCTTTGAAACATTAGTAGATGTTGTTAGCATTCAACCTATTCCCTAGCTTATGACTCAACACAATCCCATAGCAAAGACTAATTTAGGATAAGATCTTATTTATGTCTCTTTTATGTTTCCTAGATAACGCAGCGGCAATCAAGATCGAAGAGAGACTTTGTAGATTTCATGACTGACAAAAAGAGAATTTGAGGAAAATTAAAGCACCTGTGAGAGACTTTTGGTTTCATCAATTTTGGCGACCCCTTGTGGACAATGAAGTCTTTTACTCATTAGTTGTAAATATTATATGCAGACCATGTACAAACAGAAATTCAGAAGTCTTTCCAAAGCACACTTGTATGAAACTTTAAGCACGAAATAAACCAAAGTACTTTCAAGAGCGAACTGTACCTGCATATCACAGTCATGATCACTGTGTATTTATTGGTGTGTTAACAAGCACAGATATTTCATGACATAAGCTGTAATGTGAACATAAACTCTGTAATTCTAACTTTAATTTTTTAGTCATCTTTCCGTATTTAAGCCTTAATTATCCTGCATGCTGTAACTTAGCTATTACAGGAATTCAGGATATCTAGCATTTGATTTTTTATTGAAATGCTCCCCTGCTCACCATTTCAATCAAGGAAGCTATGGTGGCCTTTGAAGACAAGAAACTTTGTGATGCAAGATAAGTATGATCCTCCATTTGTCAAATTTATCATCACAAACATCTATCAGTGTAAATACTTTTAAACAACAACCCCTCTCTTCTTCTGCGCCTTACAACAGCTGCCTCTAGCATGGTAGTTCACTAAAGACTAAAACATGTACAGTATGTTATAAATATTATAGTCTGTCCATTCAGTGCTCTTGTAGAAACATGGCAGTGCTATTTTATACCAAGTCTGTTCGCTAATTCTCTAAATGCTGCTAAATACTACACACTCGACCTTTAAATGCTGAAGTTTTCCATTGTGGACATATCTAATGAGCATATTTTTACATTCTGATAAAAAAAAACTAAACCAAGATACATTTGCAACTAACCCTGTCTGCGTTTAAAAAGATGCTATGACCACAGCGATCACTGACACATACGTCTGAAAGCCACAAGCGAACAAGGTCACCCCGTAACCCAAACACCTGTTGCTCTGAAGCGTTCATAACCCTGTTGAAATTCTGCTGAACTTGAGTCCACCGTTTGAATATTGATGCTGTCAGCCAACCATGCAACAAGCAGACATTTTACAGCTGGCAACTGAGTTTATCCAGAGTCTAAGGCTCGCAAACTTGTCTGGGTGAATGGAGCAAAACGCAGCCTCTGGTGCCAAAGTGTGCTCGCATATTTCTGATGACATCAGCCATAAAAGGGGCCCATACGCCAGAAACTTCTCGAGCATAAACAGCCTTTTTCTGATTTTAGGTTATGTGTCTGGTTTTTTTTTTCAATTGTTGTTCAGTGTAGATGCTGTTAAACATAAACAGTAGTCCAACTCAATCACACTATTTAAGGTTCCTTGCGAGTGACGATAAGGCGAATGGCAATAAAACAATAAAAACAAAAAGCTACAAACTAAACAGATGCACTTTTTCTGTTTCTTTTCTTGGTTTTCATTTCCTTGTGTGTTTCCGTCTGTCCTGGCATGCATACGCCACATTTCTACCATTTTCCTGTTCTATAAAGTCTGTATTTCTGGTTGACGTGAAGAGCTCTCTAGCTTCCCTCGACCTCTTCATGTGCGAGGAGAGACGAGAGAAAAGGAATCAAAGAGAGGACAAGAGGAGTGATTTAATGATCAAGTGCAGGGTGGACAAATGGCTTCTCCTCTTTTGATATTTATGCGTGTACTTACTGTACCAGCCTGCATGTGTGTGACTTGGGTGAATATGTCCTTTTGTGTGTTAAGCACAGGAGATGACATTTACAGACAAATCTACGGCACAGTACGTTCTGCACACTGATAAACACGCCGCAGCTCTCAATACCCTCCTTCCCCCCTCCTCTTCCCACAGTCTGCCTGCTTTCTCCTCTTTTCTCTCCCCGTTTACAGTCATACTTTTTGCTTCTCTGTCCACAGCAATCCGATCATCTGACACCACTCATTCATCCATATGTCCGTCCAGCATCATTTTCTCCCTCACACTCACACCTCTTCATGTTCCTCCTCCTGCTCCATCCTCTGCCACCTCTCCACACCTCCATCCTCTCTCTGCCCTCACATTCATCACACACTTTGTCTACTCAGGTCTTTATTAGCTCAAGGATGACAGGCACGTGACTGGGATATGTAAAACTTTAAGTTTCATTGATAGCTTTTAGGGTTTTTTGTACATTTAAAGTTCTTAAATGTTTTTATAAATGGTTTTTGGTCAAACTTTACATGAAACCACCTCATAATGCATCATAAGCACATAGAATAGAATAGAATAGAATAGAATAGAATAGAATATTCCTTTATTGATCCCTCATGGGGGACATTTTTTGTCACAGCAGCATCACAGACAAAGAGTGCAAAAAAGCAGTTATAAAAATAAAGATCCTAATATTAAGAACTTAAATAAATGTAATAATTAAGAAAAAAATAGAAAAAGGAAAAAGGGAGAAGAAAAATAATACTATCTACAATATGTAGATAGTGTTGATAGGTGTGAGTCCAGTTATTATTACAGTTCATTGTAAAGTCTTACTGCAGAGGGGAGGAATGACCTGCGGTAGCACTCCGTCTTGCAAGGTGGGAGTCTAAGTCTGCTGCTGAAGGAGCTGCTTAAAGCCCCCCACAGTCGGGTGCAGTGGGTGAGAGGGTTTATAAATCCTTATCAAAGTGCAGTGAGCATAATGACTTATAAAGGTCTAGTTTTACTGCATTATATCTTCACGCAAAATTAAAAAAAAAAACAGTGTTATAACTCTCGCAACTTCACCTGAGTCTGTAGAGCTGTTTCAACAAGTCCAGTGTTAGCGAGGAGAAGACCACAGAGAACAGAGGTCACAATGTAGAAGTGAGGTGAGGAAAGTGAAAGAGGTGAGGCAATGTTTAAGTATTATTTGCATTTATGGATGTCAGTGTAGAGAAAGCAAACACACTTCTTCACATTTGATACTTAACATAGAAATGTTTCAGTCATTAAATAAAAACACGGAGCAACTGTGGGGAGTGGTCTTGATGATGTGTTTGACAAACTAAGTGTATCACAGAAGAGCCTTGTCCCATTGGTTCCACATCATCTGTAACTCCCTCTATCTCCCATCCCGCCCTTTTTCACCCCCCTGAGCTTTATGCGACCCCGTCCGTCTCTAATCAGAGTGACAGACAGACGCTCGGCAGAGAAAGACGAAGAGAATGAAAGGCTGAGTGGAGATTTTGTCACTGGAGTGTTTGTGTGTATGTGAATTCTCACTGGTGGGTGGGTGAGGGTGTGAGCATCCCCAGATATCTTCCCTAGAGATTGAGACCCTGACCCACCCCCATGTTTTCCTCTTTTTATCCTATGGGCTTAAGGAGATTGCCGTCTCGAGTATAAGTGAGCGTCATGACTGAGATTCGTGTCTGGAAATTGCAACTGCAATGCAAGTGAGTTTGCAGCAGATCAAAGGAGTTTTATATGACTGTCAGTGGTTGCAGCTGCAAAACTTGCAACCTAACCAGCACTGAAGCACCCCAGTTTCTTCTGCTCTGTGCTTCTAAAACACAGATGGCTCAGGTCAGTGTAATTACCGTGGACAATGGGTGTGGTAGCTCACTTACCAGTGCCACCACAGGCAGTGTATACACACACACACACGCTCACACACAGAATGCATGTTTATGCAGAACCTGATTTCTGCCACCAATGGAAGCCAGGTAGGATTATAATTCCTGGACGGGGCGTTAAACAACCAACAGAGGTGTAATATGTACATAGGGTAAGTGATGATTCATACACCAAGTGACGTGAAGGAACGCACTCATGCACTCGCACACACTTACATGCGCAAACAGACATTCTCACACCTTCAAACATGAATATGCACACACTCTTTTTTTTTTTGTTTTAACCCTCCCCTTCTTTTCTTTCTCCGTAAGTGCTGCAATTATCTTTTGCTTGAATCCCAGCAAGTGATTTTACATAATCAACTTCAGACAGTTCTGCATGAAGCACCTGCAAAGTTAAACCCTTGTTCAGCTTTGACTCTTCATGTGGAGAACCTTGACTGAGGAGAAAAAGGTTTAACTTTGTGTGTGACGGTGAAAGGAGAAGGGGAAGATGGGTCGCTAGACTTTAAAAGCTTGCGGGGTGAGAGCGGCCCCGGGTGAAAGAAAAAGCCGGCAGCTGAGGGGACAACAAGTGCAGCAGGGTGGCGGTTAATGCCTTCCTCCTGCATCCCCCTCACCCACACACGCACACACGCTTACACAAACAGGCACACTACACTCACCCTCCTACCTCACCCCTTTTGAAACGGCAAGAGCAAAAAAGGACAGAGTTAGGGAGAGAGGAAAAGAGAGCAAAGCTGCGGAGAATAAGGAGTGGGAGAGAAAGAGAGAGAAGGGGAGAGAGAGAGAGAGAAGGAGAGAGAGGGAGAGAAGACATGAGTCAATGGGTTCTTTGTGATCAAAGAACTTGTTTATTTTCAAGCCTGCTAGTTCAACCGTCAGGAGACACAGCCAGATAGATCTCACTCCGTCTGTTTTTCTCTCCCTCCTTTTTTTTTTTTTACAAATGGGGTTTAAATCTGAACTTAATAGTTTACAATAAAACAATTTGCAATGCCAATCAATATTTTCTTCTCCTTTTCCAGACCAGATGTTTGAGATCACCTTGAGTCTTCAGCAGTCCAGTTGAGAGCAAAGGCATTAAGACAGGTCTTTCTGTATTCCCCCTTTACACCCGTCTTACACACGGGTCTTAACTGAATTCTCACAACTCTTCCCTTTATTGTGGGTTGAAAAAATTTGTCTAACAATCAAGTTAAGACCCAATGTTTCCGAATAGTGTTCTTTACTCTCTCTGTTTCTCTCAAATGGGGTCATAACAGGACTTAAATTGTCACTCTTTGTCAGGATTACAGCGAATAACTTGTTGCATGAAACTGTATTTTCTTCTTTCTCAGCTCAAGATTAAAAAAACTAAATCTTGATAGTTCAACAGACACGTGAGACCTTCCTTATTCTCCCTCCTTGCACCCTGGGGTCATATCGGGGTCTAAATTTGACCGTGTTTATAATTACATTAAAAATTTACAATGTCAATGAATATTTTCCTTTCCACCTAAGGCCAGAGTTTAAAACAAAAGTCTCGAGTGACCAACCGTCTAGTTGAGACCCTGGGCCTCCACACAGTTATCCTCTGTCCAGATCCTCCTTCCCCTCCCTCCCTCGCCCCTCTTCCCCAGCTGGTATTCGCACATGAGTAATGGGATTACCACAGCGAGTGGCGAGGTGGTTGCAGAGGGAAGGAAAGGGGAGCGCAGAGGCTGACGTTTGAGGACAAGTGAGACAGAGGAAGAGGGGGATCAACGGGAAGTTGGCGATGGAAAAAAAAAGAAAAAGTCCACCTGGAAAATAACTGTGGGAAGTTTCACGATGGTGATAAGCTTCGACATTTATACTCCCTCAAACTGTAAACTCAAATTCTCAAGAACGACCACTGATTTCTCAGATTCAGGGCCACTTCAAGAAAACCATTATGACTTACTATTTTCATCCACAAGGCCCCTTGACAGAAAAAAAAACACTCTCTCTTTCTGTTGGATTACCATGGCAATGAGGGAGCTATTCAAGAACAAAAAGCTCCTTTTGCGGTGGGTAAAGTATGGAAAAAAGCAAGAGGCCAGTGCCCATATGAAAGCGGGGTGGTGGGAGTTGGAAAGAGAGGGTAATGTGAGAGCGGGTGGAAGGCACAGAGAATGTGTGTTATATTAAACCAATGTCTGGCAGGGTGTCAAGCTTGTAATATATACGGAGAGCGAGAGGGGGGGGAGAAAGAGCAAAGGAAGGGAGATCAGTTAATTTAGCTCCAGGGACGTGACATTGATGGACGGAGGGAAGAAGGAGAGGGAAGAATGTAACCTGTTCAGATGAGTCAGGGGGAGATAGAAGAACGTGAGCGAGGCAGAAGGGGGGCTGTTCAGGAAGGTGCAAGTGTCAGGCTGTAGAGGAGAGAGAGGAGGTATGCCTGG